GGGACCTCTATAAAGGGCATTTTGAAACAAGCGCATCGTTTCAGAATCAAAATACCGTATCTATTTATACTGTAGGAATCCGATTAGCTATAAAGCTCTTTTTCACAGATGTCTAGTCGGGGCGGGTACGAATGTTACAACAACAAACAGTATAAAACATGATATTAGTGCAAAGTACAAGAAAGGAAAACAAATCACCCAAACACACAAAACTAAACCATCACCATCTTATTCATATTCTTAGCTCTTTCGGTAAAGTCACGTTGAAGGGAAACAATAAAATAATAAAATATATATAAAACAATAAAAAATTATCATGAGGTATGAGCTTATTTTACATACGCGACCTGGCCACAAATGGTAGCTCAACAAAGTGGCCCATCATTTGGACATTTATAGCACCAAAACAATCTAAATAATATCAATGCATTTCCCATCTGCCACACCGAGAGATTGACCCAGCGATCCTCTTATTTTGTAAGTTAGGTATGCTTACCATTACACCACAACAGCGTCCGCATGAATAATATGAACGTTTTGTCAACTTGTACAAACCCCCTGAGTTTCAGGTCCTTCTGATCCAGGTGTTTCCTGCAGTACGCATCACGTATGTGGAACCCCTCCCTTGTGCTTTTTTTCAGGAGGATATCGTCTGCGTCTCTTTAGATTTCACTTGAAAACATTTTATTCTTAGATGTGTTAGAATTGTTACAACAACTAACTGCAACAACAAGCCACGACTTGCTTTTAGTTATTTTAAACAACTGTAGGTGGAATGTAAATATACATAATTGTTCTCCTTGTTTAAATGTGTTTAATGTTATGTTGAGTAGTATTGTGGGGGTGCTTTGAGTTGCAGATTTGTGCCAGAACGGCGCTACGTATGTAAGCAAAAATAAAATTTGCTTGGCTTGGTTGATGGTGTTGGACTGAAGCTATAACTGAAATATAGTTTCCCTCACTATTTTGTTCAATAACTAATTTTGTTTTTAATTTGTCCTGAATTTAACGTGCAGTTTAAAGTTAGTCTCAGGAGGAAAATAGGGTGAACTGAGTTTTGAAAACATGTGCAAGATGGCCTGAAAGCCCATTGCTTATTCGATAATATTTTTACGCTCTTATGTTCTTATAATAGTATGATGCATTTTCAAAGGTGGGAACAAATTGCATGGTGGGAACAGAAAACAATCCCCTCTAAGCTGTTTTGTTTACAAGGATTAGCTACATTCTTTCATGTAAAGTCTAAGTCCTGGTATGTAATCTCTTGTGCAGCTAAATGTTTGCACGGTATTTTACAAATGGGCCTGTGTGAGCATACTTTTCCTGCAACTGTGAGGCAGGCACTTCATCTGCAGAATAATTCTGTGATGAGATTAAAGGTGCGCATCGCCCGCACGAGCGAATGCTTTATCCTGATGGTGCTGTTATGCAATAATGCTACAGCTTATTCTTGTGATCAGTTACTTACATGCTGATTTATTTTCTGCAATTAAATATATCTGGATTCAAAAGATGATTTGCGGTTCGGTTCAACACACTTAGACATTCAGTATTTGTAAGAAAAAAATAAGCTTGGGCCAGAAGAAAACTTTGTTGATTCCAAACTTACGAACATGTCAGATTAAATTTGATCTTTATTTGCTCTTTCGGAAACGTCTTTGAAGGAGGATGGCGCCTTGACAAAAATACATTAGCAGACCGTTAACTTTCAATTATAAATTTCTTTATGTCCAGGCATTGGAGAGATAATTTAAGAAACGATATTCGTTGTAAAGCTAAAAGTACAATTAATTTACATTTAAGAATTATTATGCATAAGAGGTAGCCGAGTAACTCAGATGCTAGTGTTGAGCTGGGACTGCTGATATCCTGCGCTTGAATCCAGGCAGCCACCTGTGATTGAGTTCAGTTCACAATTGTTGCAAGTTCATGGTTTCAGCCTGGTCACCCACAACTGCACAAAACCCATTGTTTATGGTTGAAGTTTAAAAATACATGTTTATCTTGTATTCCTAATTCATTGTTCCAACCAAAGATGCAAGAGCTGCACTGTTTTTCATAATTACCATTCTATTAAATCAACTCCCAATCAAATACACAACCTATAATGAGCAAGTATGAATGGAATCTGTAGCAACATTCCTCATTCAATACGTTCTTGTCTACGCAACATTTTCAATTTTACACCAGTCGAATAAGCTCTTGCTATATGCAATCTGATTAAAATTCTATGCATTGACTATTTTGTTATTACAGTACCTTTAAAATAAACCAGGCTGTCACCTACACTGTGGAAGATCTTGACTATCAAAGCAAACTCTTCAAAAGTATATACTTATACTGTAAACTCATTTATTCTCTACAACACAATCTGGCATAAGCAGCTCTACTCTGCATTCGTGTAGCAGCACTATCCATGAAGAAGTTTTGCAGTAACAGTTGACAATTTGATTTTTTTAGTAAATGATTGTATGCATATAGGTGTATTGTTGCATTTTGAAGGGTTTGTTTGGTATTCAGTGTCTACTAAAGGAAAATATATTGTGTTAGTTCAAAACTCTTCTTTTGTAAACTTTATTAAAACGTCCAAGTTTTCTGAAGGCTTCGTATTGTAAAGTACAATTTCCAAATACAAGTCAGTAAATTTATCTTTCCCCCCTCTCTCTGCTCTAAAGAAGGTCCATTGTCCGAAATGTGATCTTATTTGATTCTTTTTAAAAGGCAGTGCTAATGATGAATGTGTTGAGTTTATCTTTACTGTTTGCACTTGTGCACCACTGCCAATGCAGTCTCCACTCTTCTTTCTTTAACCCTTAAAAATATTTTCACTCTTGTGGTTTTGGCGAGGCCTTGGTTTTACTTGCAAAATATTTTGTGCCACCACGAGGTGGGTTCATGGCTTCCTGGCAAGGTTGAGTGATTGAGGGATGCAGGTAACTTTTTCATATATCTGTCCCTCCACGTAAAAAATGAAAGTTTTCTTTATAAATCGCATCAGCCACAAGGCTTTCTGGGAATGCATAATTTCAGCAGCATTCATTCAATACACACAAACTCCACACGGGTTTCAAAATACAGTGTCTCCTGAAAATGACTCTTGAAACTCACCGAAGCTTGCCTAAGTAAATAAGACTTTATTTATGTATTGATCAAGGGGCCACTGTGATGTAGTTGTGGTGGTCAGTGGGGAGTGGCAGTTTTTTTTTACGTGAAATGAAATGTAAGCAGAACTTAATTTTGTATCCACATACAATGATTTCGTCCATCATCCTATTGGCTTTCCAGACCAAATGAATGAAGAAGCATTTGCTGAAGCAAGCAAACTCTAGCCCAATTTCAATATTTTGAATCTCATCAGCAGTGACAGGCTTGTTAAACAAATACTGTTGGTTTAAGCCGATTTTTATGTAAATAAACACTCCATATAAATTAAAACGAAGTATCTGGTGGTGATGCTGCTGCTCTGGCATTAGTGCACAAGCACAACTATCAATTACAACGTGGCATTAAAAGGGAAAAATATATATAACAAAGTATCGGGCAATGATCCTTCTTCATAGCACATGAATCCATATAAAACACTGTAGTAAAAATAACAATCATCATCAAAAGAACTCACAAACATCTCGTGACAGACCCAACGCAAAAGATCCCTGGGTTTGATCTTTCACGAAACTCATGGTCCATCCTAAATCGCATTCACTGCACCGACCATGGCAGATGCGGATACCTGATGCACACATGGAAAATGTCATACTCTCCAGGAGTGTGCGACTGTGGTCATTCAGAACAGACCGGGCAACGTATAACGACGAAAATCCCGATCCACACATACGAAGGAGATAGTACAGCGATACACCCCGTGCTACTCCTGACGCGGTTTTATGGCTTGAACACCTTGAATGTGAAATTGTAGTTGTTGCTCTGCATCTACATCAGCCATACGAAAAAAAGAAGACTCCGTATAAAATACAACTAATTATCTTGTTCTGCTGATGCTGCTGCACTGACACACGCACAACTAACATTCACACTATGGCATTAAAGGGAAACAAATATATACAAATATATACCAGAGCATGTTTTTTTTTATTTGCATGTTCACCACAAGTATGTGTGGTTAATGTAGACATGATTCCTTTCAAAAAGGTTTCTGTTTGGTGTTGTTACATATTAACACCTGTTTTATTGCCAGAAAGAGTAAACCCTATTCTTACATATGTAACAGGCGACGTTTCGGGCAATGGTCCTTTCTCATGGCATAATGAATCCATATGAAATAGGAACAATCATCGTCATCATCATAACATCAACGTGGTGGTGCCATTTGAAGAGCTCCATCCATCATCCATCCCTCCCATTGCCTACCACGGGCACAGGGAAGGGGCCCCGGGCCCTGATCCGGATAACGAGAAGGGAGGGGGGGAGAGGGGGAGAGGGGAGGGGGGGAGTGGGGAGGGGCCCCACCTACTACCCCCGCCCCCACCCCCGCATTACATTTCCCAACGCTCATTAGCGACGCCCTCGGCCTCAAAGCGCGCGCCCCGATTGGTCAAATCGGCGTTACGTCATGCCATCGGACCAACCGGCGCGCGCGTTCGGTAGCCGTTGCCCACCGCCACCGCCCCCCCCCCTCCTCCCAGCGAGTCCGTGCGGTGGCCGCAGCTTATCTGGCGTGGCAAATGTGATGGCGAGTTAAATGTTAGAAGGCTCGGCCGCGATAAAAACACCATTAAACAAAAACTGCGCCGCCGCCGTTGCCGTCGCCTTAAAGTTTCTCGCCGCCACGGCGTCCGTCCTCGTCGGCGGGGATTTAACCGCGTGCGTGTGTGTGTGTGTGGTGGTGGGGGGGGGGAGAGAGAGAGAGAAAAAAAACCAGTCGCTTCGTTTCGTTCTTCAAGAAACCCCCACCCCCCCTCCCCGGAGACCGTGGACCGCGACGTCGCTACCGGTTCGACGTGGGTAAGTAGCCCGCGAGCGGCGCGCTTCGCCCGGCAGCGCCGCTAGCCGAGCGTCGGGGGTTCGGGCCTAAAACGCCCGATGGCGTGGCCCTCTTTATCGCGACGCCAGAGACGACGACGACAACAACAAAAAGACAACGACAACAACAAAGACGGGACGTTTGATCTCGTTTCGTTTGTTTACGAGTCGCATGTGAGAGTATATTATAGGCGTCGTGGCGATGGTTGATATGTGTATTGGAAAATGTCCCGTTGTGCGGGGAATGCGATAATGTATTGTGGTAACGATCTTGGGTCACGTACAGTAGAGGCACGGGGGGGGGGGGCAGACGGTCGCCTTTGTATTTGAAAATATTACATGGCACGATTTCTGCCATGTAATAAAACAAGAATACGTGACCCCCCCCTCCTCCTCTCTCGTCCATGTCTTGTGCCTTTGTTTGCGATGCGATGTGTTAACAATAATGAAAGGCCCACCCAAATTTGTGGCGTTGTTTTGGACATCGCACCTGTTTACAGTGGAAATTTGTACAAATCTGGGCATGTTTTTTTTTCATGAACCAGACAGACACATTTTTGCTGTGCGACATGTTAAACTGATACTTTTTCACCTTGATAAAATATGAATGCTCGTATGAATAAAACCTGGCCGCGTGTTGGACCAACGTTATTTTCATATTCGTTACCGAGCAGTAGGTTAAGAGTACATGAATGTAATTTGCTTATAGGGCTGAACGTGTCCACTATAATAGAGGTCCCTTTTCATTAATAATTAGAGCGATATGACCTGGGAATTTAAACACACTAAGCTGAACATTCTTTAACCAGGACAGGTTTGCAAGTAGGGCACGTGTTGGTCCCGGTGGAGTTATTTGTGGAACAAGATTTTACAAATAAAATTGTGTAAAATAACCTGCGCTGCTCGCAAAAAAACTGCCTATTTACTGATATGGCATGCGGCGAGTGAACAAGCTTGGCCAGTATCGGCTATTGGTACCGTTCATCTTTATAAATGTCATTTTTTTTTCAATCGTGCCGCACACTGGACCGTACACGGCCTCAGTCAAACAGGCAGCGGACGTGTTATTGACGGCTGCGTAAATGGAGATTTTTCTTAAAGCAAACATTTGCGTACTCTTTCCTTCACGTGTATTTATCGGTTTATCGTACAAATATCCACAAAAGGAAACAATGTAATGATCGGTATATAGTCTATACAATTAATTTAAAATCTACGTGAGGCTCGGAATTACTTGGTTTGTCGCCCTGGGTAAGTACCATCGTTTTGTTTTTGTTATGGGGGGTGACGTTACAAATTAGGTAGACGGCACAATGACAAGATGTTACATAAGCGTTACATGCCAATGATGTGCTTCATCGAAATACTTACCTGACGTGTGGGGAAATCCCTTAGACATACAAGAAAGATAAAAAAACGTAGAAATCATTTTGGCAGGGACTTTTAAAACAAGTTTATTAGTCACCATAACTGCCATGCTATCCGTATCGTTTTCGACTACATCCGTACCAGTTTTTTTCCCATGGAATTTGTAGTCTACAATTTGTCCATTTGGCTTTTTCTGGCAGAAACATAAATAGATGTTAACATTTATTTAGAGCTATAAGCATATACATTGTATATTTAAGCTCTATCAACCTTTAGGTTTTGAGCACGGGTGGGTGGGTTATTCGTGCTGTGCGGCCTTTAACTCAATTAAAGTTATCTTGATTTTAAGACTGTCCATCCATTTTATAGCCTATAAATATTGAAAGGCAATATCACTACTATGATTATCAAGTGTTGTCATTGCTAGATTTTGTTACTCGCCTAAAATCTCAATTGAGGGGTCTGATTGACTCCTGTGAAATTAGGAGATGTATCAATTGCTGCAGCAATGTGTGCGATTCCCAAACTTGCCGATTGCTGTACATAATTGAGTTTAAAATGGGTCCATGTGTTAAGTGTTTCCAGTTAGCGAGTAGTGCTGTCATCACTCCGATCATGGGGCCAAGAAAGGCTCATTGGACTTGCCGAAACATGTCTGCGTTTGAGATAACCCCCTGGAAGTGTTAAAATGTGGTTCTTGTCCTGATGACTCTTGGCACCAGTTCAATTCCTGCTTTTATTTAGACCAACTCTGGCTAGATCCCGTCCTTTTTTCGTACCATACAAACTCTGTTGGACAGTTAGTTATATCCTAGGTTGCTTGTCCAACTTAGCTGTAATGATGAATGCTCTGAGTGGGCCAATCATGGATGGGTTTAATTCCCTGGAAAATGGATATCATGCTGTTGCTGTAATCATATTCCGTGCCACAAGCTACAGATGTTACTTGATCAGCAAAGTTGCAAGACTATATGAAGAGCATTGGGGCTTTTGTCACGGTATATTTGCATTTGTTTCTAATTAAATGGTAATATTGAGGAAGTTGAGGATAAAGATTAGCTTGATACTTATATATACAGTACTTGTTTCTTCATTTCTTTCTTGACAGTTACGTTTTGAATTTACAATCGAGGCAAAAGGGTAGTGCCAAAATAACGTGCCATGCTTTTTGTGTTTAGTTGGTTGTCCTTCCCCCACACCTCTGATTAGCACGATTGGCTACGTAAGGTGCAAACGAAGTTTAACATTCATATATAATCATATGGAGAACTTGATCCTGGCCTAAGTAGGCATTGTGTTGGAAAGCCATCTTGAACAAAAATGGTGTGCTTCAATCGTACTATTCAACATGCAGAATTTCTTGCATTATTATTTTAAAGTATTTAATAATGGTGCATGAGGATAAAAACACCTTAAATGTGTATAACAATATTGTATTATAAAATAACTGATACATTATTCCATTGTATAGATATGCAGGTGTGTTGATGTTGCAAAATAGCCTTGTGAGTAACTTTTAGGGCTCATGATTCATCTTAACGCCTCTGCAGTAGTATTCTGCCCAAGTGAGTTGGAGGTTGGTTCATCTCAAGGATCACAGATCACATCCCTGACCCAGTCCTTCGTCCTTAAAAGTGAGTAGCATTGCAATGGCAGGCTCTTCCTTTGGAGGTGACGCCAAGTCATTTCACCCATCCGCTTTTGGACTTTAAAGGTCCCCTGACACTTTGCACAGTGGAACACGGTGTGCTAGTGTGACCAAATTAAGCATCTGCCTTGAGTCGTTGTTCTCAGGACTTACATGCAGCTGTGTATCACTTAATGACACTACCCATTTACGTAAAAATACTACCTGCCGCTATCCTCTCCAATCGTATGTTGTCCTGAGGCACTTTGCATCGCTAGCTGTTTGTCAAGCATGCCAGGCTGTGTGGTGCCTCACAGAAAGGTTACAGACATGAGTGAGTCCACTCATGGTTCTGCTGTAGTGCAAGGTATTCTGATTGTCCAGTGATATTCTTGGTGCTCCATCTGCACCACATGAGTCGAGTTATTGGTGTCTCCTTTGTGAATTAATGTAGCTGTTGGATAGTACCTCTAGACCGTATTAATGCTTACTGGTTCACTTGTGTGCTTGCAGATTACTCACTTTTGTCACATGGCAGTGGTGTTGTTCATTGATGTATTTGCTGGGGCAGATTGATTTTAGCAAAGGTAACATGGCTGTCCATTAATAGGTAAGCTTGTCTGACTCTCCTTCAACATGAGAAACTATGTTCATCCATCTAGTACGAATTTGTAACAATGACTTCCCTTTCAAACAAATGTGTCAATGTCAAAAAGGGTACGAGTGTTTTTACCAAGTTATGCCGAATATGAATTCTGAAAAGTGTGCCTGTCCACACATGCTGGTTTGAACGTGACAATTATTATACCAGATTGTGCATTGCTTCTTCTTGGAATATTCTTGCCAAGATGATGAACAATTTTAGACAATAAGTATTTGTATGTAGGAATAGTTTAACCCAAATGTAATGCTTTTACAATTATCATTTTATCCTTATTGACACTGCTGTACTTAGTAACAATAAAGTATTTAATGGTGCTGCTTTGTAGGCAGAACCATATTAATGATATAATTGCACATTCTTTATTCAACATCATCCGGGCTGTTTAAAAAGGTGGTAATTTGGTTTAATTTGTTACCTATATACAGGGAAGTCTAATTAAAGTGCAGATAGCCTGTCCACACAAGCAAGGGCCCGTTTTTTTAATGTAATGCATTGAAGCAGAGTAGCTCCATTAAACCATTTATGGCCCCGTTTTACAAGGAGGACCTGTTTTGTTATGACCCTCTGCTTAGTGTGCCAAAACACTCGATTTTTTTTAACCCAGCCTCTCAGAACGTTATTGACACGTTGTACCATTGCTTACACATGTGGTGGCATATCACCTGTTACAATTTGAAGTCGTAGCCTTTCTGTTATTCTATCCCGCTGTGTGTGTGTTTCGTCTAGCAAAGAAGATGTGAAACATTGCTGGCCCATTGTTAGTATAGGCCTGTATGGGGGATGAAGCAATATTTTCAAAAATACTTGAGAAAATTTAATCCGTGGAGTGACAATTTGTTTTAACATTTAATGATGCAATGATAACTGATGTAAAATGTTGAAACGTATATATCAGAATCTGTATTTAGACTGGAGGAATCCGATGAGCTATGAAGCTCTTTTTCACATGTCCAGAAGAGACATATAAACATATACCCTATTATGTATGCCTTTACAGCTGTACTAAATCGGTGACACTTTTCAGTATACAGCAATAGTTACATTATCAGCAATGAGAGCACTTAAACTTCTGGGTAGTATTTATTGACTAGTTAATTAATAAAATCTAATTGTGGAAATAGCTTATGCAAGCACGTGGGAATAAAGCATATCATATTACGCAAATTTAAAAGGGAGATATTTGTTGCTGAGTGCACTAACTAAATAATAATGAATTCCAAAAAAACCTCTTCAATGCTTCCATTGTTTCATGCCGATCCATTCTAATTTAGTAAATAAGTTTTTCCCTCGTGCTGTCCGAATACAAAGAAACCAATCGCCACCAGCATACCAGAAACAAGAGTACAGTGTAGGACCACGTGACTGATTGCCGTGAAGATAGGCGTAAAGAGTGAAGAAGCTTCTTACTCAAGTTGGCCAAGCAGACTAAATGTCTCCTTAATATGTTTCCACGTAAAAATATATAAGGGTATTTTTTTTGTAAACCCATCAGTCCCATGGCCTTCTAGAAATGAATAATTTCTGCATCAATGATTCAATAGAAGCAAACTCAGGACCAGTTTTAACATACCGTCTCCCATCAGGCTTGCTTGATTAAATGCTGGTGAACTACTAAATACTAAAACAACGGGGGGGGCTATTTAAGATATGTGTCCAAGTTCGACGCAAAATGTTATAATACATAATTCAGCATAATCGTTTGCGTAGTTGTGGAGAATAAAAGGATAAGACAATGTCTCCTTAATATATGTCCTTTGACATATTTTTATTTATTTTAAACCCCTCGTGACCCCACGGCCAAGTTCGATTGAATCAAAAGGTGCATACATCTATAGCCATCGGTAATGCAGTGTACTGAAGTGCAGCAGCTATTTTATTTGTTTGTGGTAGTTTTTTTCTAATCCTTTACTTTTTTTATTTTCTCACAGGAGTGCCATACCATCCGTTGGACCCCCACAGGCTTACACTACCGGTGTCCATGAATCAACACAGGTAAGCGTAAGGAGCCCATGCTTGTCTTTAACCCTTACTTTGCCACCGACGCCAGAGGAAGAGTGTTTTATTATAGCGAAGTTTGGAAACTGCGGAAACCCAAGATTGTAATCATTTCACATTTAACCCAAGCATTGACGTCCGAGTGGATGGGTGGTTGTTGAAAATCGTTGTATCCTGCATTTGAACAATTCTATTTTGTTTATTGATTTAGTAATTTATACACTTCATGCTCTGGGTTATGAGAACTGAGTGGATAATTTGTGCTGTAATTTGGAGATCACGTTCTTAAAACACGTTTGAACAGCAAAGTCATTGTTCCATTCTGACAATGCATGTTGGCCCTTGAACCAATGCTCGTGGATAGTTTCTGTGGTCCTTAAGGTATGCAATTAGATAGGACCACGTGTCATAATCTCTTGCCCAGAAAGATTGAACGTTATTAATTCGTGTTGAATCATTGAGCCCAGCAAGGACGCTGGGAGTTGTCCACATTTGTGTGTCTGTTTGAGCTGTGGTAGCAGGGAGTTGTATACTGTTTTTGGCTTCATCACAGTGCTGGTTTTGTAATTTATGTATCGTAAAAAATCTAATTATTTTGACACATGCCATAGTTGTCAACCACCACCTGGGAAGGACGCTGAATTTTGATGCTCCACAGTGCACGAGGTGTAACACTCTCTAACTGACTTAAGCCTCCCAACATGGTGCAAGAAAGAGGCATTTGGTAACAAAAATAGTATATCTCCCGTGATGCTTTGTCGTCATAATTATTTACATTTCTGGGCAGGCAGCTGTATTCGTAGTTACCCAGCTCACATGTAGATAAAGGCCTCGTAAGTGTGACTACAGCCTTAGGCACCTAACGATGCACAATGAGAATATTCCTGAACAATCGTTCTGCCTGATCATTTATGCCGACATTAAATCCCCTGTGGATTGTGATAATTTTGTAAATTTACCATGGCTGCATTTCACGAGACTATGCAATTACAAAATAACTGCATTTTTCTATTCTTCAGTATTTACAAGTGGTGGATGATGTTTAGAAAATTGCTGCAAAAAATTATTCAGTATGTGGCTTATTATCTGAAAACGATTTCCTTAATTATATCATCGCACGACTACTCTCATGCTTAGTTCTGTCCATTACGTTCGAGATAAACAACTGCATTAATTGATAGCTTTGGCATGCACACACTGATAAACGTGCAGCTACACTCACTATCGTGTATTGCCCTTGTGCTCTGGCAAGACAGTGGTGCAACTTTTATATTTCACTGCAGGGTTCCGTTTTGTGAAATGAGGCAGCCAGAATTGTGCCACACTGTCCCCTTCAGTCACATGAATCTTGGCACACATGACTCACCAAGCACGCAGGAAGCTGGGAGCACATGACCTCCTGCTTGTCACTTATTGGGTGTACTAAGCAATGGACGCCACATAGTGGAATGCAACCATTTGCTTCACAGGGCCTGCTCTCATAACACAGGCAAGCGTTGCGACATAATTTGTTCTGTTGTCAGGCTTATCACCAAAGGTTGATCTACTGCTTATGTCCACTCTTAAACAAATGTAGATATGCGACTATAGTCACAGGCTGTACAACATAGTCTCGCGAAAACAGATTATCGCTTAATTCAACGCTAAAATGTGTTATTGTAGACCGAAGGAAAGGCCAAAAGTGGAAAAGTGTACATATCTGTTTAAACTTTAACCATAGTTGAGTGGAATGAGGTGTTAATAAAAAGAATTGTGATCTTTTAGGTGATAAGGGCTGAAATGTAAATATCTACTCTGAATAGAGGGAGCAAAATCTCCTATCACATGGCATGGGAACTAAATTAACATGGGACCATTTGTTGTCAAATCATGTCGTTGCTTCCCTGAAATTCTCGTCATCTTTATTTTTGTGTAAATAATTTCTCCAGCCGTTGGTTGAATCAATAATGCAATGTAATGAGGGTGCTAAGGGAATTGCAAGATTTTTCTTTATTATTGTGGTTATAAAACCAATACATTTCCACAAACTGGTTTTGACTGCCAATAGTTTGTGTGCATGTGCCTTCCATATATGCACATTTGCCTTGAACATTTACATTATATTGCACATGCGCTATGTGCAGTTTGTGTTACACTGTACTTGTGTCCCCATTGAAAACGTGATGAATGATCTAGATGGTCTTTAATCTATTTAAAGAAGCCTCTCAAATGAATTTTGGAAACAAACTCAATTCTGAGAATTAAAATTACATTTCTCAGATTTTAATTACACGTGCTCTTCGGTTACGTATAAACGTGATTTCCTGCTTAAATGAGCATTGAGGCGGTGCTCATTTGTTGTTTACAGCCCTGAGCCATTGGTGGAAATTCCACCATCCTATGGTGGAGACGAGTCTGTCCATAGGACTCCCACCGTTGACTTCCCCACAAACTGGTACTCGTTTTTATTGACCCCGGAGGGATGATGGCCTGAGTCAACCCCCAACCAGGATTTTAACTTGCAACCGTATTGTTGCGAGCAACTCGCAATACTGCTGAGCCACCTGGCCGGATTGATTTAATATACCTCTTATATTAAGTGATTTCCAAACTAATTTTTGTTTTACTCCCAAACAAATGGGTTAAATGCTTTAATGTTAATGTGTATAATGGATATGATAGGGTTGCTATCAAGAGGTAACTTATTTACATGTAGACCACTGTGACTTGTCAATTTGCCTGGCCACAAGCGATGATTAATCCACCGGATATACATGTACAAGGAAAACTGGTTGGGTCACTCAGTATTATAATTTGCGGTCTCACGAAATTGAATATAATTGTAAACTTACAAATATATCTTGATGTCTTTATTGTTGTTCAGTAAATCAGTGTTGTAAATATGTAAAAAGCTGTAAATACCATGGTTTTATAATGTTATTGCTGTGATACCTTTATGCATTGTACAACAACATATTTAAGTTTTAGCTACCATTGTGATTCATATCCATTGTTAACGCATCGTATCATAAATGCATGTGTTTTACGTAATGTTTGAATGAGTATTATGACCATCTTTGTTTAGTTTTGATCTTAAAGAATTCACCTGAATTCCAAGAATCAAAATACTTTACACCTTTGCTCTCTTCTTAGAAAAGGTCTTGCACAAGCTGGATGCAGTTTATTACACCCTGCCTTGTCCTTACAGACAGTTATAAGCTAAGGTACCCACAACGAGGGCTGCCAATGCAATAAGCGGTGTAATTTAATATTTTGAGGAATGACAATTTAGCAGCCCAGTTTTAACATTATGCAAAAAATTATTATTGACGTTGAGGTACAGTGTATTTCAGAGTTATGCACGCACTGAAGCGAAAGCCGTCTTGTTTAGTTATCTTGAAGACTTAAAAATATGTTTTCAGACGAAATGCCAGACATATATAGAATAGAGATATGAATGTTTCACAGGAGAACATTCTTCAGCTATCTCCTGGTGTCCTGTATGTGTTTTAAGCAAGCGACTGTTCACACTGTTTTCTTGAAAAATGTAAACTATTTTATATTACATACACAAATCCCTGAATAAACTAAGTACATGTTAAAATAGAGATAGCGGTGGAGCGGTGGCACTTTGGTTGTTACTATCAACCTGACCATCTGAGTTTGATTCCCAGCCACAGATGATGTCGGTGGACAGTAATATCTTAAGCGGTGTACTGGGCCTTCTCTTCACCAACTTGCACTAACCAATGGAAGGAATTATGGTCAAACAATTCCCACAATAGTGTGGGGAGGCCATATTCCAGCAGTGGACTGACACATGGGCTGTCCTGTATATTATAAATTGTTCCAGTTATAATACACGAGAGATTTGTTAAAGTTAATTTCTTATGCGCATTTTCTTTGCTAGGACATGTCATGGCCCTGAACGATTGTGTATCAAATGTATACATATGATGTTTGTGCAACAGTGAGTTGCGATCCCATTGCATGGACTAAGCTGAGGGTGAGATGGTCGCGTCAGGCAGGGCATAGTATGCCACAATCTTGAGTACACATCATTAAGCATTCTTGATAGGTCATATAATGCAATTTAACCAATAACAATATCTGAACATATTATGGTACTCTGGAAGACTTAATTGTTTTTTTTTCTATACAGGCAGCCATAGGCCTGCATTGACCTGCCCCCATTGCTATGTAATTATTACAATTCATGATTTTTATTCAAATAAAGAATCTGTTCTTTTTTAACATTGTGGTGCATTGTACTTTTTGTAGCAGCAGGTGGCATTGAAATTATTTACACCCAACGTATACGAATTGAAAATAGTGAAGATGCAAATTATTAGCTGGTATCGTGTGTTAATACCAGCATTGGGGAGCTAAAGCAGCTGGGCATGAAGATTGTGACCCCAGCCCTTTATGTGCCACGCCAGCCTTAATAACAGTTTACCATGTAGCAATTCACCCTCCAGTGATCAGATGAATTGTCACGATTCAGAGTCATGATTTGATTTATGAATTGATTATTTTTCATCTAATTTGCTGTCTCTTTGTATGATTTAATTGCCATATCATTTGCATGTAATTTCTTTAAAATATGTAAAAAGGATCATGCACCAACATGTTTGTGTTCGCGGGCTCCCTCCCCCCCCCCTCTGCCTGGTTTGCAGGATGCCGTCCAATAGTCGGGCGGGAAGCCTTCGTGATCCGGAGGTGGCAGAGCTCTTCTTTAAGGAGGACCCTGAGAAGCTGTTCTGCGACCTCAAGGAGATTGGCCATGGCAGCTTTGGTGCAGTCTACTTTGTGAGTATCTGTGCGAACTAATGAAGGGAGATGGATATGGGGGACACCTGTATGGGATGTTGAGGCATGAGCGATTGCAGGATGGTGATGGAAAGTCTCATGGATGGGTACTTTTCTTACATCAGTCTTCATCTTCTCATGAGTAACTTGCACAATAAATCACCTGTTAAGTTTATTTTCTCCACATTAGCAATGTGTGTGTCTTATAGTGTGAAATGTTAGGATTTCTTTCTCGGCAGATCTGACACTTTAAGTAACCTGCATGAATACAAACGGGATGCAGGTCGTGCCCACATAAGCACTGCATTGTTTTTGTTACAAGGGAAGCTACCAGAGCCAAATAGTAAGGTTTTAGATTTGTTGGTGTTTGGGCTGACCTTCACGTTAACTGCAGCGTTATAATGTTGCAACATAATTGCAGCCCAAATGGGGTATTTATGAAATAACGGCCATGCATAAATACTATGTGACGGTGATTTTTCTGTTATAAATAATCTTTGGTTCTAGTTAGTTTGAGTACACTAATTGTGAATATAGAACTGCATATCATTGTCAAACATAGTAATGTGATATAAAGGGTAATTATTGTTATTAGAATTAATTTCGCATGAATGCTCACCAAAACCCAGTGATGTTTGAGGTGTCTTAGCCAGAAATGTGAGTCATGTTCTGGGATTCGTACTGAGATTTTATGTGCAACAATTTTCCATTAAAATGTGGTTTTACTTAATACGTTACTTTTGACACGTCTTGCTTTTGCATACGCATTCATACGTATGTGTTTCCTGAATGCTTGAAAAACAAAAAGTCCCCCTGCATGTACACAAACGTGCACATACTTTACAGATGACCCGCAACTTAAGTTGGCTTGAGATCACCTTCAAGCAATCTTGTGGTTATATAATTAAAGCCAGAAATGTGTTTTTATTGTGACTTGCAGGCACGAAACATCCACACCAGTGAGGTTGTGGCTATTAAGAAAATGTCCTACAGTGGAAAACAGTCTAATGAGGTAAGGGAACGTTTTCAGTTTGCTGTATCAGTGTTTTATTTGCAGTTCTTTTAATTAAAAAAAATCCTACTGGTGTTTCCTAGGGTCAGTAGCAACACACAGCGATTTGAAGTTGTTTTGGATTGTCAAAATAATAAAATATATAATTCTGAGCATTGGATGGAAATCTTCACTGATTTTATTACACGTCCCTCTTGTTGGTTTACTGCATTCTGTTTTTTTTATTGTGATCGATGCATTCGTGCTCTTCTTAAGAGAAGGTTTCACTCGCATATCATAATAATACCGTTTACTTAATGCTGATACCATTGCAACTGTGTGAAAACCTATTAAAATATTTAAACTAGCCTCTGGCTTAAATACAAATGATTGGTATTTAGATGCACTTGACTCTTGTCTTGATCTTAGTCCTCTGCCGTTTAATGCCGCTTTGTCATAACATCTGCTAACCCACGCGTGGACATGCCATCACGTGACTGTAGAACTTGAGTGAACCTTGCTACGTGTGCTTACAGCTGTGCTCCATTCGTTTCTTGTTCCCAGAAATGGCAAGATATCATTAAAGAAGTGAAGTTTTTGACGAAGTTGAAACATCCCAACATCATTGAGTACAAGGGTTGCTACCTCCGTGAGCACACTGCTTGGGTGAGTTCACACGATAAAAACACAAACAAAAATAAAGATGCATGATTTTCGTTTATTGAACATGTTTTTTAATCATGAAATGGAACCTAATGATTATCTTTTAGTAAAAAGCAATATCCTAAAATACAAAGAGTTGATCATGAACAGTTGTACATTCAGGCTGTGGTTGGTGAGCCAGTGGCTGACGTAAGAAGTAGCCTACTGAACATATATCTGAAATTATCTGAATTGTTGCTGGCGAATAATCTGAGTGGGCAGTGGTGTAATGTGTGGTTCATGTTTTGAAATTGGTAACTGTAGTCCCACTGGTTTAAACGTAATGTTTCTTTTCATGTACAAAATAGCTGCATCTCCCTTGTGATATTCTAATGTACTTCAGTGTATACGATTGTTTGTGGAGTAAATTTGAAACTAGGATGTTCTTCCGTGGGCTCGACAATGAAGTGCGTGTTTGGTTCACTGGCCATATCCCAAATTGCTCTCTCTCCACTGTGGCTAGGAATTGAATGAGAGCACTTTTCAGAGCTTACCTACGATACGAAAATTGGCCAAAAGTCAATTTTTCTTACAGTATAGTGATTTTTCTTAAATCCTAAATGAATTGGAGCCACACTGAGGTATGCAAATGTAAATTCTAATAATGTGTGCAGTTAAGTGTTCATAATTAAAACTTTAAACAACGTAAGTGGGCTTCGGCAGGACATGTTGCTGTAATTGATGAATGGCCAATTGGATGTGCAAGTGATGGAGTAGTAGCCAAAGGAGAGAGCGTTCCTGAGTTTGGGCAGTAGTGAGATTGCTATGTCACAGGACACTGAGGGGGAAGGCTTTCATCCAGCAGTGAATAGACAATGGCCGATTATGATGATGTTTGTCACGACTTTTTAAGAGGTTATTTTGACTTGTGCTTGTCAAGCAATGTTAATTCATGATTGTTGCATATTAACAGGCTTGTGCTATAATATCTACTCTGTATTTTAGATGATAATGGAGTACTGTCTTGGATCAGCATCTGACCTACTTGAAGGTAAAATTGTGACCATAAACAGTATATCTTTCAAGATAAATGCCAAAGATATACAGAACACAACAAGAGTGAAATAAAAAAGGTTGTAATAGAAGCGGCATTTGAAGCTTCATGAAATATAGTGTGCCAAAGCGCTGCATTATTATATTAGATTGTTTTGGATACCTTCACAATGAAGTCACATTAAAAGCAGTTGTTTCAACTTATTAACTGCAAATATTGTATAAACTTTAATGAATCAGTTACAGCATTCAAATATTTCTCATTGTTGCTTTGGAAAATGTGGCATCTGTGTGTTTTCATCTTTTGTGGCCTGGTTGGTGATGATGGTGCCCAGGCTAATGTTGGCTCAAATGTAATCTTATAGCCCAAGAATGATACAAATGAGGGTTGGGATTCAATATCTTGCCTATGGTAAGGGCATTATTAATGGCCATATGTAGAAAGGGTAGAACGTTTGACCTTGGTCGTTAATGGTGGCTTGGCGAGTCCGGCCTCGTGTCAGCTCATCAAAGGGAGACGTGAGGCGCTCCTGTCCGCTAGCCTTCGGGGCATCCTTGGGCAGGGTGAACTACCCCATCAGCTTCCTAGGTCGGGGCACAGTGAAGCCTGGGGCGGTAGACTTGGCAGCACTCGCAAGTAGCTGCAGTCTCTTTGGCCACCAAGGGGGGGCGGCGGTCCTATTGTGCAAACCCCCACAGGAGTAGCTCTGGCCAGCTTGTGATTGTACGAGCAATCTCGCATGGCTCAGCTTGTTCTGTGCCTGTGGACATTGGCTAGCTTTGAGAAAAGGGTAAGGTCAGGCTTCAAGGCAGAATCTGCTGCTGTAATGACAGCAGATGGTAACACCTACAATGGTCAAAGTGGAATGCCAAGCAGCAGTCACCCTATCTTGCAGCTTGGGCTTACAGAGAAGGGTTTTGGCCTGCGAGGTAAGGGAGGAGCCCCTCACAGAAAACCCACCTCGTGCTCACAGGGAACGGTTTTGATCATTGAGCCAAGGAAAGGAACCTGGCCCAATCCAAGGACGGTCAGACTTGGCCAGCCGGTTTGTAAAATTGTGCTATTCAAAATTGTGTCATGTAGCCATCTTAATTGCACAAGGCAAAGAAGAAGACGACTTTAGCCTAGGTCGATCTAACCTTTCCTTGCTGGCCTTTAACGGTGCCTGGTGTGATGTTGTTTTTTTGATGCTTTGTCATTGAACGGTTTTGGTTTATTTTTTGTGTACAGTGCATAAGAAACCTCTGCAGGAGATTGAAATAGCTGCTATTGCTCATGGAGCCCTCCAGGGGCTGGCTTTCCTACACAACCACACTATGATCCACAGGTAATCATGTCCCATTTGATTTGCCTTGAACTCACAACACCAATCGCCGGCGGCACCTCCATAGCGCTGACGTGATACATATTTTAGGTTAACATTGCATTGCTAGAAGAGTTAAGTGAGTGAGCAGTGTGTTTCTTGCATTTGTAAAAGGATAAGCTGAGATTGCGTGGGTATGTGGGACTTGCAATTAAATTTGTAACAATGCAGGAAATGTACTATTTGCTCCAACTGTTGCAATGAATTGCCGTCACTTAATCATGAGTGTGATATTCATGCAAAACCTGCACTACAATCTCGCAGCATCATCCACCACTAATCCATCCATTAAATGTTGTGAACATTGTTTTTTGTGGAATGTTCACTAAATACAATTAATGATTAATACAAATTATGCATTCCTTGTACTGCTCATCACACGATAAATCTTCGTCTAATTATTTGAGGCTAGGCAGTTGTTATTCATTGGGTGTGTTTAGGAATGCATGTGTGCAGGCATGCAGACATGGGTGTGGTGTGCGCGTGGTTGTTGTTTTATTTGTGTTTTTAATTGTGTGTGTGTGTGCGTGCATGCGCTTGCATGCGTATACAGGGATGTTAAGGCGGGAAACATCCTCCTTACAGAACCTGGCCAGGTTAAGTTGGCAGACTTTGGCTCGGCCTCCCTCACTGCACCCGCCAACTCCTTCGTGGGAACGCCTTACTGGTAAATAACGCATAGCTGTAGCCAGCACTCGCAAACAACTCCACGATGTATTGGTATCCATGGCTCGTTCAAAATAACACAGTAAGTGTAATTCATGAACTTGTTCCTATTGTAGTTCCAGCCATCTTGAGTGTAACTTAGAATCGAATCGCAACAACCTTTGCAGTGTCTGCTTTCACACTGTTCAAAAAAGTAATTTAAAGTGCGTACATCTTTAACTCTCTCTACATTATTATCTTAAGTAATTTTAGAATTATGAAAAATGTAAAATAATGAAAAACCAAGGTTATATATATTTATTAATCGTATAACTATTACGATAATTAGCTAGTGCTGTCAAATGCAGTGGAAAATCCCAGTACAGAAAATTGTTTCCTGTAAGGTTGTGAGACTTTGAGATTTTTGATTGCGCAAGCAAACAGGACGGGCAGGTTGTGATTGTGTAATTTCAAGGCAGCATACATTATTTTCATGCAAGCAAAGAGATTAAGTAGGGGAGTGCAACGTAGCTCAGCTTATTGAACAACATTTCCAAACTGGCATATTACATCTTGAACAATGGCTATACAATGTTGCAGTCAAATTCAAAATAGCAGGTCAAGAGATAGCTGTAATCAAAGGAATATGACCTGTCTTTCTTTTAGGTGAGGTTCTTGCTGGGTCGTAAACTGTGCCCAGTCCTATATTTTATGTGTGCCAAGTGCCGGTGGTTACTCACAATATTTAGCTTGAAAGCAAAGAAGCATTTTTATTCAGTTTTAAGATAGACCATTGAACAGCCATCTGTCTAATTTTAAGTCATAGTCGAGTAAATACCAATAGGATATCAGGTTCATCTTAGTTTTAGGAGCAAACTAATTTTCAATTCAATTGCAGTGTTATTGACATGCGTGTTTTTTGCTTGTCAATTTAATTGAAAACAAACTGCAGTAAAATCAAACCAACCACATTGCTTTTTGCCAAAGTAGTACCCTGAAGCATTTCAGATATTGTTTTAAATTATTTCTGTATATTTTTTGTTACATCAATGCAGCTGCAAAACATTAATCCTCACTTTCAGCAGCAATGTTAACTGGTGTACATAAGTTGTGTGTATTTAAAGTTAACATCTGTTCGTCATCTCTAGAACCCTTTTCATCTTTACATCCTTATTTCTTTATAAATTGAAGGTGTTTAACATTGTAAATGCAAATAAATTAGTAATAAAAAGAAAACCAGAGCAACACCAACAAACGTGTTACTTTAATGACAAAATGAAAGCAACACGGTGTGAGAAAATATCTTCAGGTGCATGATGGTGTCATATAGCGGTGCACAATTTTATTCAAGCACCTTTGAGGCAAGGGTTGGTGGATCGCATAGATTGCGAGACTTTCATATTTTCTGGTTTGCAAAGTAGCCAGGAAATGGAAAAATACAGGGTTGTGAGCCCATCTATGCAACATTGTGTGATGTATGTATGTTGAACTTCCTTAAAAGCATACGTAGCCAACCGTGCTAATCTCAGGTGTTCCCTTTTTCAACGGTTTTACTTAATATTCTTAGTTTTTTCGGTAAAGTCACGTTGAAGAGAAACAACAAAATAACAAAATATATATAAAACAATAAAAAATTTTCACGACGTTTCGACCATAACTCAAACGGTCATCATCAGGTGTGTCGGTTTTACTTAACTTGAAAGCTGTGTCGTGGTCAAATATTGCAATCAAAAGTTAGTCTACTTCCTGTTGTCCAAATTTTGCACACCACGTACTCAGATCCGGTGACAATGCATGCCTGTATCGGCATCAACTCATCAATTAATTGCCTCCTTTCAAGCAATAAAAAAAATTCATGGGCGGCATATTCATTATATATTCTTGTGTAGGTGAAAAACGCCTCGGTCCCTAAACTGTGGAATCGGCTCGCACAAAAATCAGGCACCGCGTGTCTCTTGTAATCAAGATGTCGTCCACTTCCCGTTGTCCAATCGAGTTATTTACTTTTTAGTGCACTTTAAAATAAAACCGTCGTTTAAAAAAAATTTAAAATAAGTTTTTGTGTGTGGTTTTCTCCAAGTACTCTGTTTCCTTGCACATTAAAGACAGTTTTACATGGAACTGACCAAACATCTCAATTCTGGGACTGTTACGTAAAATGACACGTGTACATTTATACTTGTGTTTCTATAATACACATTTTACATTTCTTAAGAATTGTGTAATACTGTAATAACAACATTGTATGTCAATGATTCATACTTTCCCCGCGACTAGTTACATGAATTGCGTTTACATAGCGTGTATTATGTCACCTTGGAAAAACATTTTAGAGTTGTAAACACAATCATGGTCAGACCGGTTTATGGTAGAGCTAGCCGAGGAATAGCTGCTCTGGTGAACTTCCATGCCCCTCCCACCCTCCTATTTGCAGGATGGCTCCAGAGGTGATTCTCGCCATGGATGAAGGCCAGTACGACGGCAAGGTGGATGTGTGGTCTCTGGGCATCACGTGTATAGAGCTGGGTAAGTGCACTCCGCTGCAGCCTGATTGGCTCTACAGAAATGCACCAGTGCTGCCATTTCATTTTTGTCACTGCCAGCTGTAACAATATCTTTATGAGAATGTCACAATTATGTAGTGATTCTTTGTTTTTGTCTGGGGCAGTCTACAGTATGTATTGCTAAAGAATGTGATTTTGCATCTGTTAAGAGTAAATTTATATGCATCACTATGCATGTTATAAGCTATTCAGTTGAGTACTAAGAATTGTAAATGTCATACATTTTTAATTTCAGACAAAATAAGATGGCGGACAATATGAATGAAACAGAAGCACCGACATGACACAGTACAAATAAGACAAACTAACCAAAATGAATCTATGCTTAAATGAAACTGAACCCGAATCGTGACGGTTCATCAAATCTTGGGAAGGTTAAAATGTTCCATGCCTTATGATGTCTCTAATGCCTTGGCTCACTTTTTTTCTTTCCATCTTCTTAGCTGAGAGGAAGCCCCCACTGTTCAACATGAACGCAATGAGTGCCTTGTATCACATAGCGCAGAATGACTCTCCCACACTGCAGTCGCCCGAGTGGTGAGTACCTCACGTGTAGCCACACATGGGGAGTCTTGCTTTACCCTGTACACACACTTTTGTATCGCCCTAACACTATATGCCACCAACTTCAGCTTCAAGCAGCAGCTGCTAATTGCCCCTAGCAAATGTGCCCACCTGTCCCCTATTTCAACAATGTACTATGTTACCATAATAATCGAGCGTGTAGTCATTAGATGTTGGAGTTAAATTATTTTGTCTGAAACATGACATTGCCTATTTACGTACATGTCAACTGTTTATATAGGGGTGACACGGTGGCAAGATGTTAACTACCTCACCTGGAATACAGGAGGGCCATGGGATTGATCCCGACCCTGATGCCTGCCGTATATTTGGAGTTTGCATGATCTCCCCATGGTCGTGTGGATTTTTCTCCGCGTCCTCCGGTTTTTTCCTTCATGTTTAGAAACATGCGTTTACAGTATTTGGCTGCTATAAATTTCCACGTGATAAGCCACTTTGTTGAGCTATCATTTCTGACCAAGTCGTTTCTGCAAAAGAGCTATATAGCTCAGGGACCCTTATCTGGTAAAATAAAAATTGTAAGTAGTTATTGTAACCATTGAAGTTATCTCTTTATTTAATGATTAATTATTTGCACATTTGATCACCCATCGACTGCTATTTATTGTAATTGGAGTATAAAGCAAGTAGCACTGATCTGAACATTACTGTACGAAACATCTATTATACATTTTTGTTAACGTTTTACTTAAACATCAGTCCCAAGACTTATTTGGCTGCGTGTAAGTTTAAACTATAAAACCCACAACAAGGGGTTGCAAGTTGGCCAGAAAATGTCCAACTTGCAGCATGGCAAACCCTGGTGTCACCCATTTAAGAACTAATCAGACTCAGCCCTGCTTAGTTTCTAAGATACCACGATCAAGCACATTCAGGGTGATTGGTTTTACTCAAAATTAAATGAGATGTAATGTTCTTGTTTTTACTGATTAATTGTTCTGAGATTAGGAAGACCCTTTTTACAGTCATTATTTCAGTTCCGCATGCTGCCTCTGTCTGCTGTCCTGGCATAAATAGCCACTGACACCAACCTCTTGACTGTGAAATGTCATGCAGGTCAGACTACTTTAGGAACTTCGTTGACTCCTGTTTGCAGAAGAATGGACAGGATCGACCCACTTCTGCCGGCCTTTTGCGAGTAAGTACTGTACCATACTTTTTTGTTGCTGTGACTTTGGCACATACTTGTAAGTTGACGTGATTTCGAGCTGGACATGGGTATTGTAGGGTTGACGAGGCCAGATTGGGCGTCTAGAATAGCCCACACTTTAAATTTGGACAGGTGCAGACGATGATGCTTACTGTGGAGGACTGCCTTTATAACCAGACTGCATGGACACCTTGGAGTATTGAACACTGCAGACAATAACGCTGCAGCCTGGCTTAACCCAGTATGCCGACACTAGACTAATAAATGCGTCTTGACGTGTGCGCCTGTGCCCACCACCCCCTTCATGTATCCAGCACGCTTTTGTGATGCGAGACCGGCCCGAGTCTGTACTCATCGAGATGATCCAGCGCACCAAGGATGCGGTGCGCGAACTGGACAACCTGCAGTACCGAAAAATGAAGAAGCTGCTCTTCCAGGAGACTCAGAATGGTCCGTCTGCAGAGCCACAAGAAGACGATGAGGTGAGCTTGGCCAGGATAATACCTTTAAAGTCTGGTGCAACACATCCTTCGGCCACCCCTAATGTACGTTGTGCTGTTGATGTATGTATTTAGAATGATACATTACTATCAAGATGCCTTTGACCAAATCACCTGGAATGCATCCGATTCCAGACGCCAAGCAGGGTTGAGCCTACATAGTGATTGGATGGGTGGCCACCGCGTATAAAACAGTGTGGTCGGCTTCTGTGTGGTCACGTTGTCAGCAAAGGGCAGTGCAGCAAAATCCATTGTTGTACTGTCCTATGTATACTTCGACTTCTATACTCTCAGCCTTTACCATTCTGCACTGACTAGCATGGTTAGTGTAGGCCAGTTAACCCCCATGACCTGCACTGCGTGGGGAGGCCCTTATCCAGCAGTGGAGTGGCAATAGGCTGTAGAACCTATTGTCGACTTAACAATTATTGAAGGTGAAAATTACAATCCTAAAACTTCGATTTCAAGCTTTCGTGACTGCAGGGATTCATCTTCTTGGTTCTTTCGGTAAAGTCACGTAGAATGGGGATAACATAATAATAAAAAAATTAAAAAATATATTTATTTGAAAAAAATAAAATATATTTTTATTATTATTTTATCCCCATTCTACGTGACTTTACCGAAAGAACCAAGAAGATGAATCCTAAAACTCTTCTTGAAACCATGTATTTAATCAATTTAAGCTGCCAATGTTAGTCTGCTTTAATCTGATGCCTGCCACGTGTGCATCTGTCTACATCACTTTCACGCTGACAAATGATAAACTTATACGCAATCCAATCATTTTCAATTAAATGTGCCATATACGCGTGAATAAGGATGAGCGACCAATTGTTGAATGGATTAATGAACGTGCGCATGCCCGGGCAGGAGGTGGATCCGTACCTTCACCGCTCGGGCACGGTGAGCAGCGTGAGCAGCACGCAGTCCATCCCCAGCACGTCGGTGAGCGCTGGCAGCCAGGGCAGCAGTGTGGCCAGCATGCCGGAGGCCCCCGACCCCGAGGGCCACCTGCACATGATGTATGATGACTGCACTGTGCTGTCCAGCAACTCGGTCATTCACGTGACGCCGGTGAGTGATGGGGCAAGGTCTGTGACGGCTAGCGCAGAGGTCACGTGCTCCTGTTCGCTTAATAGTAATCGTAACATTTGCCGTATTCTCTGGATTATAAGACGCTCCGAAAAGTAAGACTTGCCCCCAAAGCTTGTGCGTGGTTTCGTTAAAATATATTCAAATATGGTTAAATACACATCGCACACTGGGTTTGAAATGCCTCCTGAACTTATTCTTTCAAATACAGGGGAAAAAGGTGCGACTTATAATATAGAGATTATGATAGTCTGGTAACCATTCCCCTTTTTCCCTCCCTCCCTCCCCATTTCGCGATTTGATTAATTGTAACCATTCAATTGGGAATCGTTTATTTGTTTTGTTTTTAATGCCTTGTTTGTAATGTCTGCCCTTATTTGTAGTCTGTTCTGTCTCATTTGTACAGTGTCTCGACTTGCCTTGCGTCATTTCTGCATTTTTGTTTTGTCTCTCTCCTACCATTAGTCTAAATTAATGATTCGCATAGCATTAGCACGAATCTAAATTAAAATATTCTTAAATCCAGAAATGTATGCATGTGTCAGGAACTTATTAATGTAAAGCTATGGCTCATTACATGTGTGGGGGAAAAACTAATGTTATGGAATTGCATACAAACTTGCTTGCTTGTACTGCCTTCTGCAGGAATTTCACATCACAATGTCAGACTGATCTACCAACCCCGACTCCCAAAGTGCTGGATTGCATCCATAGCATAAACATATACACTATAGTGTGTTTGTGTGTGCGTGTGCTTACTTTTGCAGGAGCAGTACTGCCTGCTGGAGGAGCGACTCCGAAGGGGCTCGGACCCAGACACGTCACGCACCCCTCCACTACCACCGCACCGCGCTAGCCAACATCACCGCCACCACAACCACAACCACTTCCAGACGATTCGCACAGCCTCTGTGGTGAGTGCAACAACACAACTGCACCATCATCCCTATGCTCGCATGTTTTTCCAACACAATTAGAGCACTTGTAGGGATTAATGGGTGCGGGTGTTCCGCATTCGTTTGTTGGATTTGATCCCATGACTTTGCAGAGAGGTGGAATTACACTTTTAGGATGTATTGCATAATTTCTCTTGAGGAATGGTAATGTTAACGTAACAATTTAGTTTCCATTATAAGATACTTTATTGGAGTCGGCAGTTGCTTGAGTAAATTGTCACACAGTTTACTAAGAGTCGCATTCTGAACTAAAGGAACCAAGGAAATTAAGACTAATGAATGACTGATGACCTTGGACTTCAGTGAAAAAAGTGTGATATTGTTTACCATGATAAGCTTTCGGGTTTAGACAATTCTCAACTTCCTTTTCATAGCCACTGGAGCTATGCACTTTTTAATCTATATTGAAAACGAATTTCTTTAGAACTGCTTTTATGTTTTTCATTTGTTGTCTTTCCCTCACCTATTAGCACGATTCACTACGTACAGTGAAAAAAGTTAACCATCCATAAATACATTAATATTTATGAATTTAGACTTGAAAATGGTTTTGTAAAATGAAGAAAATTGTCTGTAGCATAGGGGACAAATACAATCTTTGGTGGGGGACTTAAACTGATATTTTACAAGCATTTTTTGTTAGTGTAAACGAATGTTTAAAAGAGGCGAAATGATATGACACCTTGTAATTTCTGCTCTTCAGGTGACGCGGCAGATGCATGAACACGAGCAGGAGAGCGAGCTGCGCGAGCAGATGTCGGGCTACAAGCGCATGCGGCGACAGCACCAGAAGCAGCTGATGGCGCTGGAGAACAAACTGAAGGCGGAAATGGATGAGCACCGACTACGCCTTGACAAGGAGCTGGAGACGCACACCAATGGAGCTGCCAGCGACATGGAGAAGCTGCTCAAGAAGCACCAGGCCCTGCTCGACAAGGAGGTAGGCCATGGACGTGCCCGAGCACGGCGTCTCGGCACGACTCGGCCTCCTTCATCGAGGAGACCAGTGCTGCCATGTAGAAACGTGCGTTCAGAGAGTATTCGGCTGCTATACATTTCCACATGATAAGCCACGTCGTTGAGCTATCGTTTGTGGCCAGGTTGCTTTTGACCTTCTTTCGCACTGTACGTAGCCAGCCGTTTTAATCAAAGGTGTGAAGTGGGCCTTATCTGGTAGTAAAGTAAAAAAAAAAATGTGATCTCGACAAATGTAGGCACGAGTCTATTTGAATAATCGGCATGAAAAATAACAGTAGCTGATAGTAGCGATGATGTCACCAATTTCCGTCCATCAACTTCTAACGGCAGACGTGGGGATAGAGGGAAGACATTTGTTTTCCAACTGTTTCCGTGTAATCTGTTTGCTTGAGATATCAAACTGATTTTCAGAAGCATCATCGATTCCCTAAATAATAGCTCAGCTCTAGTGCTGCCCTAAACAGTGTTCTAGTTAATTTGTGTGTTAATGTGTGGGAAAAATAATCACACATTGGTTGTTTTAAGCAATACATTGTGGAAGAAAATTGGTTTGTAATCACAGTTTATGGTTGTCTCTTACAAATAATTGCCTCTTTTGCTGGTATTGATTCTTGCAGCATCTACAATACGTGTTCCTTAAAATCATATCGTATGATTATGGTGCCAATAGAAGTAAGCCAAATGGCTTGTGTGAGTGATGGAGCGACACAATTTCGTTACATTTAAATTGATTTCTAGTTGTAATAATAGACGTACCTTCCATCAGATTTATTATTTCTTGAGAAATGGGCCATGATTTAGTATTTTCTGTGATGAAACATAAGGCTGAATGTGTTTCTCTGCCACCTGGCCATATTCCAGGTGAAGGCTGCAGGGGCAGAGGAAAAGAAGTTCCAGCAGCACATCTTGTCCCAGCAGAAGAAAGAACTCAACAGCTTCCTGGAGGCACAGAAGAGGGAATACAACATGCGAAAGGAGCAACTCAAGAGGGTAATGACAAAACGGTCACACGATAACGGTACCCATGAATTTAACATAGCTTTGAGTGCACGTGCTACCACTTTGTTGGAAGGTAAGCACTTGCGCGAAGTAATATGTCCAACGCGGGCTTTTATCCTGTTTTTAATGTTGGCCACATAGCTTTAAGTAGTTGTGGCTACCCACCCTTTACCCCTCCACTGGGTCAAGTCATTAATTTGTTTTTACTATTGGGTGGACAGGTGTTGGAGAATTTATATAACTTATCATAGTCCATCATTTATTGTAGGACCCTAAACCAAGCTGTCATCCTTTCTCTAATTTGCACACCAATATGTTCTGATGTTTTGTATGGAAATATAGCAAATGCAACTTGTGTACTGTTTAAGTACTAACAATCCCAAGTTGTAATGTTTGCAAAACTAGTGATATGTCAAACTTAGTCTAACCTTTTTAATACAACCAATCACATTTTTTGACGCCCGAAAAGTTTAATGGCAGTTACTCAATCTGGAAAAGAGACTGGTGCAATGGGACAGCTGACTCGTTCATCCGGGCTAATATACCCTCTTGTTTTCCTGTTTTTTTCTGCAAGGAGTTGAATGAGAATCAAAGCACACCCAAGAAAGAGAAGCAGGAGTGGCTGTCCCGGCAGAAGGAGACGATTCAGCACTTCCAGGCGGAGGAGGAGGCTACCATGTTGCGCAGCCAGCGTCACTACCTGGAGCTCGAGTGCCGGCGCTTCAAGCGGCGCATGCTGCTGGAGAGGCACAACCTCGAGCAGGGTCTGCTCCGAGAGGTAATGCTACGTGTTGGCATGCGTGAATCCTGTATACCCATGTGGTGTTGATGCAACACTCCTGTAACGTGTAGCAGACTGTTCATCTGACATTGACTTACAGCAGATATTTGGTTCACCGGGCCTCTCGGCTCGTTCAAATTCCACCTTAATACACACCCGTTCTTAAAGGCCTTTTTACTGAATATTTTTTTATACTTTCGGTTAACAATTTGGTGGCATGTTCTAAACACTAGCTTGCATGCCTTAATTGTTTATTCAGGTTTTTTTTCTATAATGTTTCTGTTTTTAGCTATGTACAGCACTTCGTGACTTCCTCTTTAAACATTGCTTTTAGAAGTGTATAATATTATTATTTTACTAGACTGCATATGTAATTTCATGCATGTTGCCTTTTACTTTCAACTGATAATGACAATTGACAATGTAGCAACAGCCATGGGTATGTCACTGTGTATTTGCGTTCCCTCACCTGCGCGCGTGTGTGTGCGTGTGTGTGCGTGTACGCGCTTGTTCGTTTGTCACGTGCTCACAAAAGGAGCTGAACAAGAAGCAGATGCAGAAGGACTCGGAACATGCGATGCTGCTACGGCACCACGAGGCCACCCAGGATCTGGAGTTCCGTCACCTGAACACGGTGCAGCGCATGCGCAGCGAGCTGATCCGCCTGCAGCACCAGACGGAGCTCGCCAACCAGATGGAGTATAACAAGGGGCGTGAGCGCGAGCTACGACGCAAGCACGTCATGGAGATCCGCCAACAGCCCAAGTGTCTCAGGGTCAGTGTTGAGCGTTTAAGATGCTGTTCGGGAATCTGAATGAGAATATTTATTTACTGGAGGAATCCGATGAGCCTTTATCAAGCTCTTTTTTTCACGGATATCTATTTGACCGAGTAAGGTTGAAGTGTTATATGGTGGGTCGTTCTGAGTGAGGTTACCCGCAGTAGTTTTTAGCGAGGGACGATGGTATTTTGGATTTTAAAGGTTTTGATCGATGCGAAGCATTTTTTGTAAACAATATTTAACAACACAAAAACGACATTGATTACAAGAAAAAGGCATTGCCAGTTGTTTGAGTCTTCCTTTCGGTAAACAAGTCACGTGAAGAACAGCCCATTCATTGATGAGAATAGTTGTATGTAGAGAGTGGGGTGTAATCTCAAGTATTTTTTAAATATGCATAATTTCACATCTAATAAAAGGTATCATTCATGTTTGCACGAAAATTTGCACAATTTTTTAATATGATTATGCATTCAAACACGGATCTATTTTAACCAAATGTATGTTTTAATGTCCTACTTTAACCTGTTAACTTCTTGCTTAGCTCCCCTTTTCATGCCTTATATGATTCAATGCACAAACGTTGTTTCGTTCACTGCACAGCATCCCTATAAGCCACCACCATGAAACTGCCTCCACAATGCACATGACATCGACAGCTACCTCAATCTTGCTTCTCTGCCCCTTTCTCCCTTTCTGCCGTGATTCAGGTAAAAGAAATCCAGATCAAAAAGCAGTTCCAGGACACGTGCAAGGTGCAGACACGGCAGTACAAGGCTCTGCGCAACCATCTGCTGGAGACCACGCCCAAGGGCGACCATAAAGCCGTGCTCAAGCGCCTCAAGGACGAGCAGACGCGCAAACTCGCCATATTGGCAGAGCAGTACGAGCACACCATCAACGAGATGATGTCCACACAGGCGGTAAGTGGTCATGGTGGAGGTCACCCCTGCTTTTTTATTTTTAATCCACGCGCATTTTAAGCCGGTCGTTCCTTCTCGCCGTTTAATCGTCACTCAAATACGAATGTTGCTACCGCTTGCAGCTCCGCCTGGACGAGGCACAGGAGGGCGAGTGCCAGGCCCTGAAGGTGCAGCTGCAGCAGGAGCTGGAGCTGCTAAACGCCTACCAGAGCAAGATCAAGATGCGCACAGATGCGCAGCATGAGCGTGAGCGCAAAGAGCTGGAGCAGAAGGTGTCCCTGCGCCGCGCGCTGCTTGAGCAGAAGGTGAATGTATGTATTTGTTTGCGCATAGGTGCACGTGCATGCTCACACCCAGGGTTGCCGCGAGTTGGCTATACTACGATATATCGTGCGATTATAATATCCACAATAATCGCATTTTCCCATGCTGATTTTCCTACGTCAGTGCTGCCGTCCACAGGTTTTCATCATTTATTAGTTTAGCATCTTCCCTGCAGGGCCACGGAATGTGTACAGAGAAAAGGCTGTTGGGGCGGGCACTTAGTGGCATGTCATTTACTCAGCCTTGCAAATTATTTTCAAACGCATTAATTCAAGTTGTAAATAAAGAGTTCTTGCCCATTAAATTGTTGCTCGGAAAAGTGCTTATTTTTTCCGCAGCAATTGTCATAATTTAAGTTAATTTAAATTGTCATACAGTAATATGTTATAAGTGTTTATAAAGGTACAATGATTAGAAATTGTATGGAAGGCTGAAGTTAAGTGAAATGTCTAAAACACAAACAATACAATACGAGTCAGAGAAAGTTATGGGTCAATTTGTGTCGTGATTATCAAATTTTATATCTTATCGTAAACAATGATGTTGCGGCAACCCTACTTATACTAATACCTCACTCGCACAACAGTCTTTCTATTGTGATCAAAATTAGTGTGATATGAAAAAATGGATAAGCATAGAGAGCTCTTAATGGTTTCACATAAGTTTTTGGTGTGATTGTAGACTGCATATTAAACAGATGCACTTTTGTCAGCTTGTGTACCTAATGCCTGATTGATCATTTGTTGCTCTTATCTCTGCTAGTTCTTATACTTGCAATGGTGGAATTAATTGGAGTTGCAGCACTAAAATGTGTTTAAAATCACCTAAAGTGACACGGTTCACAAAACCAATTTTTACGTTTCCCCATGAACCCTTTTGTGTCCTCTAGATTGAAGAGGAGATGGTAGCTCTTCAGACAGAGCGTTCAGACAAGATCCGCTCCCTCCTGGAGCGCCAGGCTCGCGAGATCGAGCTCTTCGACTCAGAGAGCGTGCGCCTGGGCTTCAGCAACCTGGTGCTCTCCAACTTGCCAGCCGAAGCTTTCAGCCACAGTTACCCGGGAGCCCAGGGCTACTCGGGATCCCAGTCAGGCTATGGGGGAGCTGGTGGCGGCGGCGGCGGCAGTGGTGGCAGCCGTGCGGGCAACCCTGGCATGAGAAACAGCCCCCAGCCCATGCGGCGCACGGCCTCCGCATCCGGAGGACAGGGCGACCGTGGCATGAGTCGCAGTTCCAGCGCCTCTTCTCATTTCTCCAATGGATCCTACTACAATTAGCATGGGTGCCACCCCCTCCCGCCCCCCGGGTTGTGTGCTTGCATACTGCCCGTGGCTCCCACTCTGTCCCCTCCTTCCCTCCCTCCACGTCACATCGCCACTGAGCCAGACCCACAGGAGAGGAGCCGGGGCATGAGCACACGTGTTTGTTACGACTCAAGATGGAAAGTCGGACTTTATGTTTGCACCACAGTCCCATTTTTTTATGTTTGCTTTGGTGGTGTTACCGACGACCGACCGTTTAAGCGTGGGATTGTCATTGTATACATTTGGCTAATCTGTCTTCATATTTTTGCATCTCCTGCCTGTGGAAGTCAGAATTTGCTCAAACCCCCAATTTATTGGGATTTTAAAGCCCTTATTGCTTTTAGCAGTCTGTCAATATTTTATTTGCCCCACAATTCATTTGTCTTTACACTTTGGATTAGGCCAAAACTAGAGCGTAAAACTTGCCTCGGGTTTTTAGTTTGGCCCAACATTCTTGATGGATCCATGGCTATGTCTAAGGCTTTTTTGTTATTTTTTTCAATAGCCCAGGGTTTGTAACATAAATGTACTGCATTACAAACAGTGTTGGGGCAGCTGAATTAGTTTTAAGTTTTTATACAAAGTAATAGAAATATGATTTTTGTTTTGACTTAAGACGTGCTGTTAGGCACTGGCTTGCCTGTATATATCTGCTGCCATTCTATTACGTTTACACCTTTTGGGTTTTAAACTGTGAATATGTCACAATGCCCGGATCTGTGATATCACTTTATCCACCGTGTACATCCCTTGTCATCTATTGTTTAAATTCAGTGGAATAAGCTTACACATAAATTACATTGTTTGCATGATACACTGAACTATTGTCAGCATTACAGGGTTAGGTTTTGAAGAAAAAAAAGGTTTGTGCTTAAAAACTACACAACCCACAAGGCTATAGGACACTTGTGCTTGTTCTTCCATACTCGAACAGCATTCCTCACTGAACATTCATGGTAGACATAAGCAGAGGCCCTTGCTGGCAGAAAGACAGATGTGTGGCCATCGTTTAGAGCCATGCTTTTTCAGTTCAGGCAAAGAAAATCGGAGAATTGTGCTTACATCCAATTGTACGTCGTTGTGTACATGTGGAATATTGTGAGAAAATGTGGTATGTTTTCACCATGCATATTTTTTTGCGCACATAGTATCACCTCTTATCAGAAGTGACATTTGCAGTAAACGTAATCATGGTTTATGGTTATAAAATGAGAACAAAGGTTTTATTCAACACGCTTATGCCTAGAGCCTTCGAGCATGAATAGGGTAAACATGCGCTGGGCAGTTTGGTGTATTGTAACCGTGCGTCCAGGTGTTGGGCACAGCTGCCGCCTCGAGCTTAGACGCGGGTGCTCTCAATCATATCACACGTTCACTCCCGCAACGGGAGGGAATGCTTGTAAAGAACTGTGCCAAGCATCCTGAAATACCAGAGCAGTTAATGCATATGCTGCCAAATAGGATCACCTCTTCACAGGCTTTGTTAAACATTTGCCGTGCCGGTGGCTATTGCAAGCTTGCGTGTGTTCATGACTTGTAAACTGGTCGGTAGGAACGACGCCTGCTCTTTTAACATCGCAACCATCTAGTGGCCTGATTGGTTTCAATGTGGTTTCTTCAGTGGTGTGTCTAACAATGAGTACTGCATTTTAGGGCCTCCATTTGTACTTGCAGCATCGCAAAGCCATTTTACGTAAATTGATATTTACAGTTTAGCAGGTGACTGTGTTTCGTGTATATTTGGAATTAAATTAGATGTTAAGGAGAATAGTGTCTTCCCAGTTATTTTGTAATGGGCACTCCTTTGCTGGATTGCTTTAGAATTAATGTAATGAGAATGTGATGTATGTTAATGTAACTAATTATACTTAGGTTTTGTAAATACATTTAAAGAAGTGACTAAATATTTCTTATTTATATGGCATTTAGCTGTCATAAAAAATATTTTTGGCGTAGCAGAAGGCTCAAATGAAAACAAAGCACATTGGAGCTCAACTGTCCAAATTACAATCTTGTTTAAATTTAGCTATTTGTGTCAGGTGCTGTTAAACTGGATGCTTTTTTATTTTGAGCTGTGCATCTCAACAAGCCTTAGGCTTTAGTTTTTCCTAAGCTGTTGCCTAGCCAGAGGTGGTGTCTCACCAGGCATGTTGGTGCTAGGATCGATTGCCTATGCCGATGTGAGGTCCCAGTCAGGGTTGATGCCAAGTGCGTGTTTGTGCTTATACAGCTTGCCTCATCATAGTTCTGGCCATTCTAGGTTTAAGGCCTGGTAAGAGCTCAAGCTTAACCATACTTTGAGACCCAAGCCAGAGTTTGAGATGGCCGACACCATGTTTCACTCTTCCTATGTACATTGTCACGTCATTTTAGATTTGCTTTTTTTCTGTTGAAATGTCACAGTCGGTGTATTCTAAACTCACTTATATTTGAGTATAGTATACACAAGAATAACATGTAACCTTTATTAATACCAACAGATAAATATACCGCACTGATTAACATGGTTGGCTACGTTCGGTGCAAAAGAAGTTATACATACATACAACACCACCAAAACCATGATAAACGTCATAGACATGCCTCGGTACCAAAATAATGGGAGAAACAAGTACTTATATTTACTTACTGTTCATGACTTGGCACCTGACCAGATTCAAAGCCTGGGGGGGGGGGGGGTATTGAGACACGAGTTTTGAATCAGGATCTAACTAGGATACAGGCTTCGCCAATGAAGGTAGCATTCTGCCAGGGTTCTTGAGAGATGGCCATTTTTAGTCTGGATTAGTGCCTGAGCAACCATTGAGCCCTTAGGCTGCACCGTTTCGTTCTTGCCAGAGCTGATAAGGGTCTGGCTGAGTTAGAGGATTAGCCGGAGTCGGATGCTAATCTGAGTGTGAAGCCAAACCAGGAGAAAAATTGTGTTCTTGCCAGTGTTGAGCGTTTAAACCATGCTGCTTGTGGTTTGGCTAGCATTGGTGTTTGCCAAAAAAATGGATGCAAATGTTACACACCTTCCTTTGCAATCCCATGTATTTACTGCAGCCAGGGTTGAGGTTAGTTCTTTGGGTGCCACAGTTGAGCCCTAATTTGTTGACTCTTGTCATTGACCATAATCCAGTTAACACCCTTGCCAATCAAAACAGTAAATGTGTCCATACGGTGTGCAAATGAGTTGTATTTTGGTTACTTGGAGGCTTCATACATTGTGCAATTGCGCTGTAGAATTGAAGCAGGTGTAAAAAAAGAAGTAAATGCATAAATGTTCTTAACTTTAATGCATGTCTTGTGTTACTTGATATTTTAATTTCAGTGTCAACTCCTTGAGAAATTCAGAATGTGCAGAGATCTAAGTTAATGTAATATTTAGCCTACTACTTTATCCAGTTGTGTTTTGTTGTTTCCAGGTGCGTTTATATTTTGGCTGAGCCATGGACTGCACATGCTGGTTGCTAATTATACAGCATTCTAAAAAGGCACCCACAGCCACCATTCTGCACAGCATGCATTTAAAAGCTTTATACAAGCATACGGTACCATGTGTCGCGTTATTCAACTGTCAGGACATTAAGAAACAAACGTTGAAAAAGGGGTAAAAATATAGGTTACAGTAGAGCAGTACAAGTGGGGTCTGTGACGCTGAGTAAAAAGGTGTTTTGCACACAGTGAGCAATGTGATCGGTATTGTTGCCGAGATGTTTATATATCTCTTTGCTGAAAAGGTGCGCATAGATTTGTAATGTCCTGCAGCTTTCAATTAATCCCTGTTCAAAATAGAATGATAGGCATTAACATCAGGAGCTGGAGCCTTGTTGAGAGCAGTGGTGAGGTTTAGGTCCAGCTAGGAAAAGACTTGTCTGCTCTATCTTAACCACGTCAGGTGTGATTAATTCCAGGTACATACAGAATAGTACTATACTTGTCTTTTCTTAAATTAGCCACATGTCTTTTCGAGTAATACAGCGTGGAGAAGGTCATGTTCTGAACCGGATTGCAGCCATGCCACTGGTTGGTCGTGACTGATGCTCAGAAAGGTAACCTTGATAAACAATTGTGATGCCGTGATAGTAGCATTCATTTCTTAAGGCACGCCACTGTTTAGGCACATGCACAGGCCACATGCATGTACTTTTCTATAGAATACATGTAAAAAAAGAGGGCAGTGATGTAACAACAGGGTCCCTACCATTGTTATCTCAAGGAGTTACATGAAACATCCTTCAGTTATAAGAGGAAAGCTTTAAACATATATATGAAATAATGAGCTGAAACTTGACATTTGAGCTTCAACAAGTGTACGAGGCACACCGACAGCTGGTGTGCAATACTGTCACTCATGAGATCTCTCAATTGTTTGAGAATATAAAAACACACATCTTGACATCAGGCTGGTTTCTTTAGTCATTATTTCACTGAATGCACACTACACAAATTTGACCGGGCCTGCAATTAATGCAACAGTCTGTGCTGAGTGATCCCTTTGAGGCACCAAAAGGCGGGGGGGGGGGGTGTCCACTGAGCATCGGAGCACAACGGCACCACGTTTAGAACTCGGAAATAACACGTAAAATATTGCTGTTGCACATGGAATCTATTGAGGCACATAACGAAAAATGATCAATGTATCCATTTCCGACGGTGCGTGCACTCCTTGGTGACTCAAATGCCCCGAGGCGACCCTCCCACCACCACCACCCCCCTTTTTTCAGTGCAGGCACATGGGGGGCGGGGGGGGGCATAGCTCTTCAGGGTCGTGGCACCGTTAACTGCAGCGTGTTCTGCTTAATGTGGGTCGTAAAGAGTTCCTCGTGTGCAGGTGTGAACTTACAGCATCGACGATAATTTTGTGGGAACGTTTATGGCACTAAAGTGGAGTGCCGCGTGTGCAAAAAGTTATCGGATTTGAAAGAGGCACACCGTTACGTCACATCACTCGCACACGCCTCTTAACATCGCAACATCACTGACACACTCCATCGCCCTTCTCACCCAGGGAACCAGTTAAACAGACTAAAGCAGAGGTATCACTTTTACTCGGCGTCGGCTTCAGCTGGTTTGTTTATATTGTGCTTTGTGTTTCAATATCCACCGTCAGGTTTCGCAGCCACCTACGCGGGGCACAGGTAAAATAATTCCGGTACTGATCGTAGTTCAGTCCAATAAAATCCGCCGTAAAAAATCAGGTAGTACGGATTTCGCATTTAGTGATGGGTTTGTTAATTTAGCCTATTTTCTCTCCACCGTTTTAATGATATGTACACTAACACGCACACAAGCTGCAGCCCTCTAGTGCATGAAACATTGCATCGTATGGGGTATCGAATTCTCTCTTAATACAAGCGAATGCAGCCACGTGCTTTACTTTCTCCAATGTGGCATCTGTTTTTTAGGCCAATGTTGACGCTTGACTCGCAGCAATGTTTATGCTTAGCAATGTTTTAAATCACAGAAATGGAGTGAAAAAAATAAGACTGCTAATTTTTGATCACTCATGGGACACCCTTTAGCAAGAATGTGTAACTTTAGACGCAATCCATTGTCTCTCCATGCAATTATTGTAAATTGGATTATGAGCATAACTTTTTTTTTAATTGGTACATGTGGAAATATGGTCTGTGCAGCGTGCGAGATCTTAAACTCTTCCCAAACCTCATTTATAATATTGATACATAGTGTTGCATTTTTAAAGGGGAAACAAAGTATTATCATTTACAATGCATCGATGGGCAGCTGCATGTCGTGTCTGTGATATGCCCAGTGCTCCAATATGCACATTACCCGGTGGAAGAAATTCGTTTTCTGCCTTTAGCCCTACTTTTTTTTTGCTAAACATTAATTGACTGTTGGACCGTGCAGTGTTCTTCGTTTTGAATTGCAAGTGTTATTATTTTCAGCTCCTAAGCAAGTAAAATAGATGGGGGATTTACAAAACTGGGACTGAACGGAACTACGGGTTCTCTTAACGATGGGATGGCCATCGCGCTTGCATCTGGGTCGTGTCGAACTAATCTTTGCACCATCAATCGAGCGCTTGTTCCACGAGACAAGTGTGCGGGTTTGTGACTCGGGACGGCTTCCTGTACCCAGGGGACGCATAGGGGGGCAGGCGGTGGCCTCCCAACGAAAGAGCGGTCGGGTGGCCCTGCCAGTACGTGCGCTTGCGTCTTGCACGCCAACTTGCACTCGCAAAATGCGCGCCCATCTGGCAATGGTTTGTTGACAATGGGTGGCGTTTCCATGAGTTCAATAACATGTTTTGTTTTCATTGGCATTAAATCATTTATTTAAAAAAAAGAAGTTTGGATCTCTGTGCTGGCCCATTTCCTTTGTCGCCGGACATTGCGCACCGATGTTCATTTCACGTTCGTCCCGTGTTCTGTATAGCTCGCTCTTCTGGCAAGCGGTTCCTTGACCAATTTCTCTACACATTGGTGTTCTTACAAATCAAATTATTGTTTTGCCACCATCTCGCATAGCGAATCTTAGGCGAACAGGTTTATCACTTCCTGTTGCAATCGTAGTGTCATTTACAGCTTTGCAAACTGAACCGTTACGCTTCTATTATAACTTACTAATAGTTAAGGCTTTGGATTTTTTTTATTGGTGTTACAGAGTTGTGGGCAAAGGTTGAAACTGAATTGGGATGTGTACAGTAACTTAGTTGTGAACTATTAACGCACAGTGGATTCTTATTTTTTATTACGATTATGATCGAGGCGTTTGGTCATGCGGTCCAGTTCAGCTGAGCGGCCGTAAGGAAAGGCTCGGTGTTTTTTGTTTGTTGCTGAACTAACTTTACAGTATTTGTTTTTATTATTTAGCGCTAATGTTATCCGAGAAACGTGAATTCTCGCCGCGTTTTACTGCAATTAATATTTCACAACTGTGTTAATACATAATATATTGAACGGGATGGGATACACCTATTTTGATTAAAACTTGGTTCGAAGTTTTAAAGTTCTGTGCATATAGTTATACGGTGTAATGTAAAGTGAGCGGAAAAAAAAGACCTGCACATTTTAATAAACATTAAATCTCACAAAAGGAACCACTTGAGCTGATGTACTTGTTTCTTCAGGTGAAAAATACTCATTTAATGTGAAATACGTTTAAGGCAAGATGAATTAACTCTACAGATTAAGATAAATTTGGATTGCTTGTTCAATTAAGCGCTGTTATATACAGGGCTCATGGGAGAGAAAAAACTTTTCGCCTCTGTGTGTGGTAGTCGTGCGTTCTGCGGGCGATTTCCCTTGTAAAAAAAAATGCATCTTAAAATGAATTTCGCACCCACTCCAGGGACGACAATTTGCGAAAGTAAACGAGCGCAGCGTACCGTTTTTTTTTTATAAAACAGTTAAGTATATGCTGTTGTGTAGATGCGTACAAGTATTTCCTCGACGGTATAAAATATCCCTGTCACTTGTCACCGTGAGAGTTACTTTTGGTGCGCGTCTCTCAAGAACTCTGTGTGTGTGTGTACGAGGGACACGCTTTGGCTGCAGCGGTGTGCTATGGTATTAGTTCTGTGCTGTAGTTGTACTTCAATACGTCGTGCTGTGATGATAACCCTGTGATATATAGACGCCGTTTGCTCAACTGGCACGACACTGCTATGCAGGATGGCCAGACCAGCATCTCCCATTGTTAATTCCGCGCTCAGACATCTCCCCCCCCCCCCCCATCTTCACGCCACCAGCACACACTCCCAATGCTTCATGTCATTCCACATTTTTTTTTTAAATCACTCGCACTGCACGTCTCCCTATGACGCTGGCGTGGAAGTGATTGTTATCCTAATTGCGAACTCTTTACATCCAGAGTAACCTATACGGCCGACTTTTGCTGTGGCGGCTCGACTTTAGGATTGCAACCGCAATCAACCCATTGTCCTGCAACACACAGGCTGATAATATAATTCGTGTACTGTCCTGGGAAGGAGTAGAGCTATAAGCCAGATGATCCAGGGCAATGTTTTTCAAGAGTTCTCGTGAGCTCCCTATCAGCAGCTTGCGCTGATGATCAAAGCAATCAAGAGCTTTGTGTAAAGTGTGCGGAGGCTGACATTGCTTCTGAACATCAAAGATGAGCAGAAATCCGCACCATGGGGGGTGGGGGTCACGAGAACTCAAGATTTGAGAAACGCTGATCTAAGAGGAGGGATCCGCACTCTTACTTCTCTGGTCGTGGCCCTGTGTAGCCGATATGATTTGTATGCCGTGCATAGTCGTACGCACTTCACAGGAGGTTGTCCTGTTGGTTAATATTGCTAACTATTGAGGTGTGCATGCATTGTTGTAAAGGGATCATTATTATGAGCTGGTGTTTCTCATTTATATGCAAGTTGAAAAGCAAATCTACTGGAGGTGGTCAAAAAGAATGAGGGTGGTATATTAAAAGTAGGCACTTTTTAAAGGCTGAACTTTACATAATGTAGATGTTTTAATAAGCATAAAGGAAGAGGACAACCATGTTTGTGAAGTCTGCCTTATCGTTTCTTTATACGTCTGTTGAGGAACAGTTGTACTTTACAGAAGTGAATTCTGTTTTCAATGTAAGCGCACATTTTAATTGTAATATACAGGTACAGGAAGAACAATCCGTAGCTTTGTACTGTACTGTATTGGTCGCAAATGAAATGTGGGTTTCAAAATATTGCTAGTGCTATGTTGATTTTGTTAGCGACTCAAGTCTCAAAATATTTGACCACCCCTTGTACACAACCTAATTGTACTCTTCCAGGTGGGTTTTCAGAAAGACTCTGTAAATAAGAATTATCTAATAGGCTTTGCTTTGTACAATGAAAGTTTTTAACGTTGCTTGTATTAAGTGATACGTGATGAGTGTCTATCAAGTGCCACAACAATCGATATTTTTCAACAATGTTACCAGGACCACGGCTCGGCTAGGTAATGTCAAAATAACACCCTCTAACTTTCCAGCATTTTTCCTAATCACTGCCTCCACCCATGCAGTTGTCGTAATGAAGTGATTGTGTGGACGTGTGTTAAAAGGCGCAAGGCATTTGTGCAGACCGAGTCAATTTGACCCTGCCATGTTACACATGCCACACAGAACGAACCCTTGATTTTGTAGCATTTGTCCATTGGCTTATGGCCAGTGTGGGTTAAATGCACGCCTCTGTCCGTCCTTGTTATCCTTTGGACAGAACTTGGTTTGGGTATCTCAGAAAATGTGTACTTGCATATTTCTCCTCTGCGATTATAAATCTACTCTTATCAGGCAACAGTACAACCTGATTTTTTTAGGGGTACATTATACATATTCATTAAAAACATTGCAAAGTTTTGCAAAAAAATTACTTAATACGACATTCATGGTCACATTTTATAACTGTATAGTTTATAATGTCCTGCTTTGGGTGTATACTGTAATGGTCTCTAATATGGCCAACATGGTTGTAGCTATGCTTTCAATATAACGTTATCAATTAACACATTTTTTTTAATGTGATGTTGAGAGCGTAGTTTGCGATTAACTATTGCCATCTAGTAAACAGAAGGCATCTGAAGCGAAAGCGACTTCAACTGTTACTTAAATGCTACTGGAAATGCATTAAAATGAAATATCTTTCATGCAGTTTTGCGTGTTTTGTCATGTTTAATTTAACAAGAGGTAATTATATTCTTGGTTCTTTCGGTAAAGTCACGTAGAAGGGAAACAATAAAATAAAAAAACAATAAAATTCTCACGTTTCGACTGCAACACAAGCAATCATCATCAGGTGTGAAAATTGTATTGCTGTGGTTTTCACACCTGATGCTGATTGCTTGTGTTGCAGTCAAAACGTCGTGAGAATTGTTTTATATTTTTATTATTTTATTGTTTCCCTTCTACGTGACTTTACCGAAAGAACCAAGAATATGAATCCCTACTGTCACGAAAGCTTTAAATCAAGAGGTAATTACTGAAACTTCTTATATTTGATGTTGACTTCACATGTGAAAGACATTTTAATTGGATCATTATAAGGCATGTAGGATGTAGTATTACGATTTCCACTTGCCATAATTCACATTTTAATTAAAGTGCACATTTGGCTTGAGTCATCTTTGGAATATTAACTCTCAAAAGAGAAGCAACAGTTATGCCGATTTTTCAGTAATAACTTGAAGTGCACTCAACCCTGTTGGTACACTGCCAATTGTTTTCAGATTACATACTTCTGGTTTATTGGACTCAATGTATCCCATATATGTTGGGCATCCAAGTTCGTTTAGCATCATCTAAATGAGGGGGTGGAGTAGTGGCACAACAGTTAACGCACTGCTACCACAACTCGATAACCGGTCATGGCTAATTAATCACGTGATATCTGAACTAATCAGTTCTGGCACAACCTCCACCATCCAAATTTACTGAGCATTACAGTACTATAGCAGCATTGACAGCATGAGGTACTTGGTTTATTTTGAGCCATGCACATGTAGGTGAGGATGGTGTGAACATGAGCAGCTAAGCCACGAGAGTTATACAGAATGGAGGCCTGGACTTCAAAGGTCCTAACCTACCATTTACGATTCATACTTAATTGCAAAACCAAGCCCCCAGTAAGTGCAGCAAAGGTGATTATATAACCCTACACAACTATTAATACCCACCAGTGGATGAGATGGTTAAATGGCAGCCATCTGCCAATTAACAAACTTTTGCAGCAAGTGAAACCTGAGAATGCATGCATACCTTCAAGTGATACACTGCAATTGCATAACAAATAGGCAGCTAATACGATGACATTTACTCCGCTTTATTGACGTCCAAACAGACGAACCTTACAGCTCACAATGAGGGAGACAGACTTAGAAGACAAATGCCAACCTCGAGTGGGAGCATTCTCAGGGTGTCTTGTCGAGTGCTTGTAGAATCGCCAGTGTGAATCCTGCCGGATACGCATGCTGATTGTGTACTGTGTATTCTTGTGTTTATGCTTCAGATGTGTGGGCCATGTTGTTCGCGTCTTGTGTAGTAAGTCCATTCTGTGCCGTGTGATTTTGCGGTGTCATGTGTGCACTGAGCGCCTCTCGCTTCTTTGCATTTCACCCGGCTCTACAAGTTGTCACTTGAGGATTGTGTCTTCAGCTGCAGGTAGAGAAGCACAAGTAGATACAGCATTAGAAATTAAGTACCAATTTCATATGGAAGAAAACATTGTCAGACATGCAACAGGAGGAAACCACAATACCCACTAAACTCGGCAAAATAAATGTATAACACTGCAAACTACATGAACACTGTATGAAATATAGTGTTCATGTAGTGCTTGTCAATTAGCCTAAATCTGGCTCGTGAAAGCAGTGGTTTGCCAAAACTTGGCATGAACAAAAAACACACGATCGAAATATATCACCTGTGTTCCAGTAGCTGTTTCAGAACAAGTCCCGTTGCAATAAATCTGTGCTAGCTTGTGTTTTATAAATTTCTTGTGAACAAGAAGTTTGATGCACATGGCTTTTTGAAGAACAGAGATCGACCGAGCGCTGTGTGTCGAAAAGGGTGTCACGTTAACGAGTGACAAGGTTGAGTGAATGCGAGTATGTACATGCGGCAGCGATCTCGCGTGCAATCCGTTCTGCCTCCTCCCGCTTCTGCCGCTCCTCCTCCTCTATCCGCCGCTCCTCTGCCGCGATGGGCTTCAGCCGTGCTACACGTGAAGCCACATATTTAAATGTCAATACACAAATACATCTGCACACTCCAGCTTACATTGTATGAGATGTTCTAATTGCACAAAGTTATCTTGCCATAACTGGACGTGATATTGACACCGTTATAATTTTGCACCATAGTCAAACCATGTATCTTGTAAAATAATGTATTACACGTCAACTTTACAGCATACAACTATTGTGCTTATACTTTAAAACACGATAGGATACATTAACAGCATGCAAAGTCCAAGTAATTTTTTACATAACGCCTCTGTGTGCTATCTGCATGACCTTTGGAAAATTATGTCACAAAACTTATTCTGTAATCCTTTTACATGAGATTACACATTCCCTATCCATCGGTGTTTGATGCATCGCTATCGGACCAAAGGTCTATGGACCAGCAATAACCCAAATGTTTTGTTAAAAATAATTGAAAGTTTAACATGTAGGCTTTCGCAACCAATATCCATAATACAGGATTTTTTTGGGTTCGATCCCCTTGAAGCTAGCCGTAATTACTGGCGAAACGTCGTACTCATTATACACACCGGTTTGCTGTACTAGTAACGAAATGGCATGTTCTGTTTACGTGACAACCCTTACTAATTAGTTGTGTCGGGTGGTTTTGGGCTTAACGACACGTATATTTACGCGATCCAACCCAAAAAAACCTGTATTATGGAGATTGTTAAGATTTTGGTGCAGTCAACTTGTTTGACTTGTGAATTCAGCTTAATGTGGTGGCTTAAACCCAGATTGCAACCAAGGGACTTTGCGGTGCACACTCGTAATCGGCTCCATGAGCCAACCAGCAACTGCGCAATATTTGGAGGACGATCCAGCGCACAGCTCAGTAAATACTCATGGTCACTTTACCCAATCTGACGGAGCCGTAGACGATACCAAGTCCCAGCGCAGAGTAGCGCGCCATCTGAAATGAAGAGCACCAGAAAATCCACGTTTAGTCTCGACAACAGCTCGGGTAACTGTCATAAAGGGAATAAATACATTTAATCTTACAACTGGACAAATAAACTCAAGCTGCGTGTCAAGGGTTATCCGACACGTTAAAGGTTGAACAATGAGAAAAGCCTCTAAAAGGACGGTCAGGCGCAAAATATCAGCACTGACATTCCTGCATTGACGTATTAAACTTTCGTAATACCGAACTTTAACTTTTTTTTTAATCAAATAAGGCCCACTGAGCTGCGTAGCTCATTTTCTGAAGCGAACTGGCCACAAACAATTACTCAACGAAGTGACTTATCGCGTGAAAATTCCAAGCAGCCAACTACTCTAAATGTGGACGGAGAACCCGGAGAGAAATCCACGCGACCACGGGGAGAACATGCAAACGCGTCAGGGTCGCAATCGAACCCAGGATCTCCTGCATACCGGGCGAGGTAGTCAACATCTCCTAGCCACCGCGGCGTCCTACAGAATAACTTGTTTCTTCCTTCTAAAATGTGCCTCACAGACCAGGTCTGGTCCCGCACGAGTCGAAAAGCTTTGTTAGATTGCTCGGGAGGACGATCGCGATGTAGCGCGTCTGTATTTGCGCTCCCGAGTGCCATCATCAACCTTGAGATCGCCCGCACATCCGAGCAGGTCAGCGCCGCACGTCATTTCGCGCTCTATGCATGGCCCTCAGCTTTGTTAACGCAGCGTAGGCACGCGTCGCCACGAGTGAGTAATACTGCCTCGTCCTGGGTTTCGACGAAGAAAACAGCGCGGAAGAACCGGGCGCCACCTCGCCTACCGAGTCCCGGGCAAGGTGACCCGGGCAAGGCGACTAGGCAAGCCCACGGCGCCTCGCTAGGCCGCCGCCTAAGAGCTCGGCGCAAAGGGAAGCGTTGGGGAAATACGAGGGACTCAAACGCGCGGCGACGCCGTGAAAGTTGCGGGGATGCTTCCCGAGGCCAGGTTAGAGAGGGACGCTCAGGGAGCCGCGCGTGAGGCGACAATAACCTTGATGAGTGGAGACACTTGCACTGGGGGCACCATCTTGCTGGCCGGCTGCTGCTGGACGACTCGTCGCGCGCTGACGTCACCGCGTACAATTATAATGACGTCTGACGTCACCGCGTACGATGAAAACGGCGCGTGACGCCACCGCGAACAATTGTAAAAACTTGCCTGACTTTTTAAATTTTGATTTAAAGCTTTCGTGACTGCAGTAATTCATATTCTTAGTTTTTTCGGTAAAGTCACGTTGAAGAGAAACAACAAAATAACAAAATATATATAAAACAATAAAAATTTTCACGACGTTTCGACCATAACTCAAACGGTCATCATCAGGTGTGTCGGTTATTCCGGTTATTCCGACACACCTGATGATGACCGTTTGAGTTATGGTCGAAACGTCGTGAAAATTTTTATTGTTTTATATATATTTTGTTATTTTGTTGTTTCTCTTCAACGTGACTTTACCGAAAAAACTAAGAATATGAACTTGCCTGACGTCAATGCGAACAATTGTAAAGGATTGCGGGACGTCACCGCGTACAAATATAATTGCGCGTGACGTCACGGCGTACAATAAAAAAGACTTGTGACGTCACGGCGTACAGTTATAATTGAGCGTGACCGTTGCCAGCCTGGTGTGCTGTGAGGCAATTCACGTGGTAACGTCACGCTCAATTATAGTGACATCATCGCGTAAGATATATTTTTTTAAGTGGCGTGTGACGTCATCACGAGCTGGACCCCCACAGTTGTTGCTGGGTGCGACCTCGCGTCATCCGGTACACATCGATGATGGCGCGTGACGTCACCGAGCTTGTATCACGACGAGACATGTCGTCACGCGCGCCGCCGATTCATTGCGGATTAACGAGACGCGTGACGTCACGGCAACTGGTCACGTGAACCACATCACGGTCATTTTCATTGACTTTGCATTCAGAGCATTGAGGCTACCACCAACACTGCCCGGCTTCCTCTACACACAGCTCATCAGTGACCCCACCACCACACTGCCGGCTTCCTCTACACACAGCTCATCAGTGAACCAACCACCACACTGCCCGGCTTCCTCTACAGACAGCTCATCAGTGACCCCACCATCACACTGCCCGGCTTCCTCTACACACAGCTCATCAGTGACCCCACCACCACACTGCCCGGCTTCCTCTAAAGACAGCTCATCAGTGACCCCACCATCACACTGCCCGGCTTCCTCTACACACAATTAATCAGTGACCCCACCACCACACTGCCCAACTTCCTTTACACACAGCTCATCAGTGACCCCACCACCACACTGCCCGGCTTCCTCTACACACAGCTCATCAGTGAACCCACCACCACACCGCCCGGCTTCCTCTACACACAGCTCATCAGCGACCCCACCACCACACTGCCCGGCATGCACGACACACAGCTCATCAGTGACCCCACCACCACACTGCCCGGCTTCCTCTACACACAATTCATCAGTGACCTCACCACCACACTGCCCGGCTTCCTCTACACACAGCTCAGTGACCCAACCACCACACTGCCCGGCTTCCTCTACACACAGCTCATCAGTGACCCCACCACCACACTGCCCGGCTTCCTCTACACACAGCTCATCAGTGAACCCACCACCACACCACCCGGCTTCCTCTACACACAGCTCATCAGCGACCCCACCACCACACTGCCCGGCTTCCTCTACACACAGCTCATCAGTGACCCCACCACCACACTGCCCGGCTTCCTCTACACACAGCTCATCAGTGACCCCACCACCACACTGCCGGCTTCCTCTACACACAGCTCATCAGTGAACCAACCACCACACTGCCCGGCTTCCTCTACAGACAGCTCATCAGTGACCCCACCATCACACTGCCCGGCTTCCTCTACACACAGCTCATCAGTGACCCCACCACCACACTGCCCGGCTTCCTCTAAATACAGCTCATCAGTGACCCCACCATCACACTGCCCGGCTTCCTCTACACACAATTAATCAGTGACCCCACCACCACACTGCCCAACTTCCTTTACACACAGCTCATCAGTGACCCCACCACCACACTGCCCGGCTTCCTCTACACACAGCTCATCAGTGAACCCACCACCACACCGCCCGGCTTCCTCTACACACAGCTCATCAGCGACCCCACCACCACACTGCCCGGCATGCACGACACACAGCTCATCAGTGACCCCACCACCACACTGCCCGGCTTCCTCTACACACAATTCATCAGTGACCTCACCACTACACTGCCCGGCTTCCTCTACACACAGCTCAGTGACCCAACCACCACACTGCCCGGCTTCCTCTACACACAGCTCATCAGTGACCCCACCACCACACTGCCCGGCTTCCTCTACACACAGCTCATCAGTGAACCCACCACCACACCACCCGGCTTCCTCTACACACAGCTCATCAGCGACCCCACCACCACACTGCCCGGCTTCCTCTACACACAGCTCATCAGTGACCCCACCACCACACTGCCCGGCTTCCTCTACACACAGCTCATCAGTGAACCCACCACCACACCGCCCGGCTTCCTCTACACACAGCTCATCAGCGACCCCACCACCACACTGCCCGGCATGCACGACACACAGCTCATCAGTGAACCCACCATCACATTGTCCGGCTTCCTCTACACACAGCTCATCAGTGAACCTACCATTGCATTGTCCGGCTTCCACTGAAACAACTGACAGCACTTAACCGGATTCGCACCAACTGATTAAAAAAAGGAGCTGCAGATGACCAAGTCCCTTGCTTTATGACCACGTTCATCTGCAGCTCCTATGCATCCATAGCCCTATTTGGTAAATCCACTGTTGGATGAGCGCTTCTCTCATGCCGTTATTTGACCATACTTCCCCACGCCGGTCAGTGCGGGCGGGTGACGGCGTGGTGCCACGACCGTCCAGCACAGCACTGCATGATGTCACCGCAGCACTGCCCTCTGCAGCACAGCAAGCTCTGCGTGACAACCCGCTTCCACGTGCGGTGATCACACGCACACACACAAAAACACTCAACGCATTCGTCGTGAACACCGCCCAAAGATGGGGGAAAATATATTTAATATGCGCGTTTTCCGGCAATGGGCCATCTTCATAACACGTAGACGATGTCTCTCATTTATCCGGGCATCAGCGTCGTTATCCCACGGCCAATTCAGCAGTCGATTACCTAGCACGGTTGGCTAATAGGTATGGTGCGGAAGAAGTTCAACATAGTACATGTACTACGTTGAACTTCTTCCGGCGTAGTGTGTTACCAATTGTTTTCTTGGTGACTATGGTCCCAGCTGCCTTGAGATCATTGACAAGATCCTCCCGTGTAGTTCTGGGCTGATTCCTCACCGTTCTCATGATCATTGCAACTCCACGAGGTGAGATCTTGCATGGAGCCCCAGGCCGAGGGAGATTGACAGTTCTTTTGTGTTTCTTCAATTTGCGAATAATCGCACCAACTGTTGTCACCTTCTCACCAAGCTGCTTGGCAATGGTCTTGTAGCCCATTCCAGCCTTGTGTAGGTCTACAATCTTGTCCCTGATATCCTTGGAGAGCTCTTTGGTCTTGGCCATGGTGGAGAGTTTGGAATCTGATTGATTGATTGCTTCTGTGGACAGGTGTCTTTTATACAGGTAACAAGCTGAGATTAGGAGCACTTCCTTTAAGAGTGTGCTCCTAATCTCAGCTCGTTACCTGTATAAAAGACACCTGGGAGCCAGAAATCTTTCTGATTGAGACGAGTCAAATACTTATTTCCCTCATTAAAATGCAAATCAATTTATAACATTTTTGACATGCGTTTTTCTGGATTTTTGTTGTTGTTATTCTGTCTCTCACTGTTCAAATAAACCTACCATTAAAATTATAGACTGATCATTTCTTTGTCAGTAGGCAAACGTACATAATCAGCAGGGGATCAAATACTTTTTTCCCTCACTGTATAATGAGGCTGTTTTAATACCTTGAGTCATCTTGTTTTCAATAGTGGGCCCAACGCAGATTATAAATTGAAGTAATTTCTGAGGTAATCGAATGTAAATTCTAATGTAAATTGTTCACAACTGTTTAACTGTATAACACATGCTGTAAGAAAAAGCTGCTCGTTCGCGAAATAAAATCCCTGCATTTAGACTAATTTATTTTGACACAAACACATATAAAACAAACACCACAAGGATCATTTGAAAAATAATAGTTTATTTTAAACATTTTATACAAATATCAAAAACTTTTGAACACATCTCCTGAAATGCACTGGGTCTCCTCAAATCTTAGAAGCTAACCCGACTTGAGCCTGGATAGTGCTTGGATGGACAATCTTTAATAAAACGTCATAAAATCCATGAAGCTATATTGTGGGCAGAAGGCAGTGCAACAAAATCAATTTTTGTACTGTACTTCTCTGCTCCCTGCCTTGATCAATACTCACTGACCAGCTTGGTGGTCAGTGCCTCCGATTAGCACGGTTGGCTACATTCGGTGGCAAAAGAAGTTCAACCATACGCAAAGAATCAACCGCCAAAACCCAGCAGTGGATTGACGCAAAAGGCTGTACATGTACATGATTAAGAGTCAATGAAAGTATAACAAGCATTGGGAGTCGTGTGTATGATTGCATAAAAAAAATTAAGTGTCTCAAGTGAAATACGTTTTTTTTATGGAAATGGAGTAAGCGTACGCATGCGTACTTGATTACACAACTGTCTGATATATGGAGTGGGCATGAGTATGTATTCGTACAGATGCAATAAAGGCAAGGTACATTACGTTGCCATAGAGGCACGATTTCAGCATTGACTCGGCTTTGTAATCATGGTGCCTTAGGCTACTAAGTGAGAGTGAGCGCGAGTGAGCGTATCGTTGCGTGTGCATATCGGCTGACGTGCCGAATACAACACAGATAGATTTTGCTTGTGGGAGCACCTGTGCTGCGCAAAGCGCCTGTGTGCGCCGAGTGTACGCATCACTGCCTCCAGCCCGTAACGCGCATCATCAGTGCATGTAGCAGCCGCGCTTCGTAGGTCACGGTGTTCCTCCCGCCATGCGCTCGCTCTTCCGCAAGGGGCTGCTCCACCATGGCTGGGATGTTGCGGCCATACACTGCACACACACACACACACACGTGCATTGCGTCCGGTTGGGGAAAGCTGAGGCTTGAATGACGCTATATAAAGTTCAAGTATTATTATGTCATGAAAAATAACATTGGTAAAATGCATGTCAGCCACCAAGCATGAACTGTAACTTTCACTAAAACGCCACTCGATGGAATGACTTCCTTACAGTCACCTTTAGCCCAAGTAAATCACTAATTTGACAACTTTAATTGATGACTTGCAAAGAAAAATGGGCTAACAAGAAGTACATTGGTGCGTACGTTAGTATTTTGAATAAAAGACAGCACAAGCTGGTCACCTGTTATACCTTTTTGCTCATGTAATTAATGTTTACTGAACTCATGATTTTCACAGTCTACAGGCCATAACCACAAAGCGGCAAGTGAGGTGCAGAACAGTGGAGACATACACTCGCACTGCTGCAGGGCAGCGAGGCAGTCCTGCAGAACACCGTCGCGAAGCAAGAGCATGTGCTTGGCCATGTTCTCCAGCATGGACAGGAAGCAGCGCTTGACGTAGAACCACGTGTCCGTGCCCAGCTTTAAGACGCACGCACAATAACAGAGAGCAAGGCGGGTTGTAATGTTTTTTTTCACAAATGTAATGATACTCTCAACATAACATGTGTGTCCTACATACATTTCACAGTGGTAATAAGATACCGTACCTGTAAAAACCCAATCGTGAACACAAACACGAATAGACAAACCAGTGCTTCAACTTGATCTTGGTAAATGGTTGTCACTCAGTATTTCCCTAAAAGCCAAGGGCTAACAGTGATGATTTTCTCACTCAGCTTTCGGGTTCATACCTTTTTCTGGTATGGCTCCAGGCTTTTGAGCACTCTGGAAATTCCAAACTCGTAATTTCCTTTTGCACAGTATAGAGTTCTATGGGGAAAAACGTGTGCACACACAGGTTTGTTCAAGTGTTAACAGACTTTGGTAAAGCTGTGTTGCCATCAGCATAGACATTTACAAACTGAGACACTCAAACATAAGATTTACATGAGAATTAAACAGATCAAGGAAGTTGAATAGAGTCAGAGATTTGTACTGACCTAAAGTGGCATTCAATTATATTGGAAGGGTTGATACTTATCGCATGTCACTCTTGTTTGGAGAAAGTGTATTGTGATGGCACACTGTCAAATGTTAGTTGAGTACGTCTTGTGTACACACCCTATGACGAGGTTGACGATGCAAAGATGATACGTCTTCTTGTCAGGGTCATCATATGCAAGTTGTTCCTCCTCCTTCTCTATCTTCCTCATGAGCTCCTCTGCCTTAAGAAATATAAAACAGCTTTAAGAAATGTATGAGTGCAAGGAAGTCTAGCATTACATTTGCAAGGCATCAGAGGCCTCTGTTACTACAGTTATCTTTGTTGCTCAGTTAAGTGCTCTTTATTAGGGTAATACGGGCTTTAGAAGTTTGGACGTGAGCATTAAAAAGAATAATAGCATAATACCTCCTTAAACAACATATCCCACTCAAGGAATTACATATTGACACGTCCACATATATTCATTTTAAATAAATGCATATCAAATAAATTTAAATATTTTTTTTAAAACATGTTTCATGTAAGTGGGGTATTTAAAAAAATATATGTATAAGTGCACCCACTTAACTATGTTCACACAGCTCAAAATGAGAGGTGTACTCGTTAATTATAGCACTTCAACGTCAGTGATGGTAAATACAAGCGGTTGTGCTTGGAATTGTCCAAATGAACTCCAATCTTACCTATAAAAGGCATTTTTTGTCTGTCTGTCTGTCCGTCTGTCTGTGTGTCTCTGTGTGTGGACGAAACTTGCGCAGGATTTGGCTCGCAAACCGTGGGGTTTACGTTTTTAAAAAGTAGCCAGGTGCCACGCCATAAGCCCCGTGGTGAGCCAGCGCTATTCCATTTTCCCATCCGCCAACTTTAAAGTAGTTAAATTAGCAATTTAGCGCTATTTATGATTTATTTCCTTACGCCGCTCTGCGAGCACCAAAGCATGCATTCGCGCATGCGTGACAAAGCTGACCCGGGGTTGCCCCTAGCAATGCACACGCGCGATCCGTGAAGGGGGGTGGAGGAATTCTCTTTCACGTTAAAAATGCTATAAAAATATACACAACGCTGAGGTTCATTCTTCACAGTGTGATGTCCTGTTCTCCTCCCTCCACCCCAATGCGTGCAGTTACTAATATAGAGTCGGTAGATGCTACTACTATAGGCCAAAGATATTACTCCAGAGCGGGCGGGGAGATCGTGGGTGGGGGGGGGGGGGGTAGCAGCCCAGCCCCAGCCTGCCAAGGTGCTACCTCGGCCGGCTGGGCAATCTAGGCCAGGCCGGGGACCCTGCACGGGACTAGGCCTCACCACGGCACTTTAGTACTATTTTCTTGCTTCTTTCGCTAAACTCACGTAGATAGAAAACTCATATTTAAAAATTCAGTTCGAAAATATTAAAAGAATATGTGCGTGTAGACAACTAATCTTTCAAAATTAAGTTAATTAATATGAAAATGTGTGTCCAAGTCCATGTGTGCGTGTGAGTCGATGTGCATGTCTGCGTCGATGTATGTCCGTGTATGTATAAGTCGATGTGTGTGTGTGCAAGTCGATGTGTGTGTGCGTGAGTCAATATGTGTGTCAGTTGATGTGTGTTGTAAGTCGATGTGTTTGTGTGTACGATGTGTGTGTAAGTCCGTGTGTGCGTGTGTAAGTCTATGTGTGTGTAAGTCGATGTGTGTGTGTAAGTCCACGTGTGTGTCTAAGTCCATGTGTGTGTGCGTTGATGTGTGTGTGTGTAAGTCCATGTGTGTGGAAGTCCATGTGTGTGTGTGGAAGTCCAAGTGCGTGTGTGAGTTGATGTGTGAATCGATGTGTGTGTGTGGATCGATGTATGTAAGTCGATGTATTTGTGTGTGGGTGGATGTCTGTGTGTGTGTAAGTCCATGTGTGTGTATATGTCGCTGTTTATTTGTGTAAGTCCATGTACGTGTGTGTAAGTCGATGTGTGTGTGTGAGTCGATGTGTGCAAGTCGATGTTTGTGTGCATCGATCTGTGTGTGTCTGAGTCGATGTGTGTGTTTAATTTGATGTGTGTGTAAATTGACGTGTGTGTAAATTGATACGCGTGTGTAAGTCGATGTGTGTGTGTAAGTCGATGTGTGTGTGTAAGTCGATGTGTGTGTGTCAGTCGATGTGGTGTGTGTAAGTCGATGTGTGTGTACGTTGATGTGTCTGTGCGTAAGTCCATGTGTGTGTGTCAGTCTATGTTTGTGTGAGTCGCTGTAAGTTAATGTGTGTGTGTAAGTCAGTGTGTGTGTGTGAGTCGATGTGTGTGTGTGTGTGAGTCGATGTGTGTGAGTCGATGTGTGTGAGTCGATGTGTGTGAGTCGATGTGTGTGTGTAAGTCGATGTGTGTGTGTCTGGGTCCATGTGTGTGTAAGTCGATGTGTGTGTGTACATCGATGTGTGTGTACGTCGATGTGTGTTAGTCGATATGTCTGTGTGTCAGTCGATATGTGTGTGTGTACGTCGATGTGTGTTAGTCGACATATGTGTGTGTGCGTCTATGTATGTGTGTGTTTAAGTCGATGTGTGTGAGTCGATGTGTGTGTTTGAGTCCATATGTGTGTGTGTGTAAGTCGATGTGTTTGTGTGTGTGGGTCGATGTCTGTGTGTGTAAGTCGATGTGTGTGTGTGTGTCTTTTTTGCCCGGGCAACGCCGGGTACTTCCCGCTAGTGCAATATATATGCTGGATACAACATACTTGTTGCGACAGCCCTTGTTGCAAATGTCTAACTAGGCTAAAAATTGTAGTTGATTTTCCCAGTGGTCTTCATCACAGCAAAGCTACGGAGATTCAAATCCAACATAGTTACACACTAACAACAGATATTAACAAGTCCACAACTGTAGATGTAAATGTGTAGTAATATATACTCCTAGGCTGTATTCAAATTTGGGTCTAATAAATGCCAATGTGAAACTGCTAATTAAGGGCTTGGGCAAAATGGATGCCAATAAAATGAACTGCTGTCCCTTTTTCATTGAAAATAAAGCATTTGCTTTTGCAATTATTATTTTTAGACTTGTTTACCTCCTCGTTCTGAGATGTCATGATGTAAGAAACGCAGAGATTTGCCAGTACAATGGCACTGACACCTAGAATCTGCAGAAACATGTGATTGCATTTTACAAGTAAGAACGGAACAGATATCATGCAAATAATTTAACAGCATGCCAACCACACACAAAACATGGAACAGGCCACACACAACATACATCTATATTGCAGGCTGTATAGGATACACATACGTAACAGAATTAGTACGATTTGGATTTGAGGCATATGCCTTTATCTGACTACATATAACTGCAAACTTATATTCCACATCTGCACTACACATATTTGGAAGAACCCCTCTGTATTGACTATGTTGAGGTGTACTGGAGGCTCGTCACTGATAACCTGCAGTTTACCTATATTATGTTTACTATTGAGATGAATACAGTTTTGAAATGTATTCCTAATTTAGAATTATGTTACTTCTTTTCATGGGCACTGTGTTTGTGTTTCCTTAAATTTTTGTATTAGAATTTTTCAGGCAGTATTACATTATCACAGAAATATATAAATATTAACTTGTTAAAGGTATAATCTGACAAAGAAAATGCATAGAAGTCATCTGAAATGCCTTTAACGAAATCATGAAAAATGTGCGTGATCTTGTCAGGTCTCGGGAGCTAAGCAGGGTGGTCCTGGATAGTGCCTGATTGGATGATCACCACGTACACAGAGGTTGCTGAAGGGCTTGCGGGGCCATGATTTACGCAACAGAGGTCAGTGCAGCAAAATGCATCGTTGTATTGTACATCTATGCTCGCCACCTTCATCAACTGGCACCAACAGGCACGACAAAGCACAAACATCCCGCCCCATGACTCACACAGCATGGGGGAGTCCATCATACAGCGACGGACTCGCAAAAATGCGGTACATTTACATGCACGGGTAGTTCGTTACGTGAGTCACCTTGAAAAACAAAATGCGACTAATCGCTATTGTGCTTGGAAAGGAGGTTTTTTTTTTAAAGTAACCAACAGTGGGCATAACAGGACTCATGTGCCACGGTGCAAAAGAGAGACTACAGCGTACATTTCCGTAGTTCTTCTTGACAATGGGCTCATAGAATCCGGTGGCCTCCTTGTACTTGCCCTCCTGCATGAAGAGCACATGTGCCACGTTCAACTTCCACACATCGTGTTCGCTGCAGAATTCCACCGATTTGCGGAAAAGCCGCTCCACCGCCGCATAGCTCTCACGCTCCCAATAGATGCGAGCCTGCGCCATCAGTACCGGCACGAACCTACGGGGCATCCGACCACAACATTCTCAAATGTTATCAAACCAACTGGGCAACAGAAATCAAAAACAAATTTAGGTTTCACTGAATCTGTCATGCAGGGCTGTGAGATACCAGACTAAGATAGGGCAGTAAATATTTGTATTTGTGAACATTGAATTGTTCTTGTTTAATGTGAGTGGATTTTTTTCTCAGTGCTTTGGTGTTTTTTTTTCTCCCCCATATACAAACCTGTCAATAATCAGTGAGTAATGATTTGAGCTCTATTGTTGTTAAGGATAAAACAATGGACATAATCCTGTGGTTCTGGGTTTAATTAATTATTAGTCAAAATAGTAGACACCAAGAGCATATTTCAGCAACACTTGACTTGTACAGAAGACTCAATGCATGGGAAGGACAACTAAACACAAAAAGCAGTTAGAAACAAACGAGTTTTCAATCTAGATTTACAAGTGCATAGCTCAGGTGTCTTCCTAATATCGGAAGAGCATTCCAGACGGCCGCAGAAGCGCATCTGAAAGCGCACAATGCGTTGACCATCTTTGTTCAATGGCTAGCCAAAAGCAGCTGCAAAGATGACTGGAGTTCATGTGATGGTTTATACTCCGTGACAAGATCAGCAAGGTATTGTGGTTCATTTGTGGCAAGCACTTTGTGTGTAACGAGTGCGGCCTCATAATGCATTAGTTCGGCAACCGGAAGCCAATGCAGCTCGGCGTGCACTGGACGGACATGGTCGGATCTTGCAGTACCTGTCACGACACGTGCCAAAGAATTTTGTACATGCTGCAGCTTGGTAATTTTTTTGCCAGACGTCCCGTAGAGTAGTGAGTTGCAATAATCGAGCCTTGTCAATACGATGCTACACGCCACCGTGTTGGCTATGTCACGACTCAAAAAGTGCTAGAATGTGTCGTAGAGCCCTGATATGAAAATTTCATGACCACTTGTAGTAATGAGACTGGGCTGACCCTTGAGCTTCCCTCACCTCTCCAGCACTTCGTCATAGTCGTTGACGGCTTTTTTCACGCCGTCGTCATCACGGTTTGCCCGGGCATCCTGGACCTGCTGAGAGACACAGGGGCGGGTACCCCACAGGACACTCAGTTCCATCTGTGAGAAGCCTTGCTTTACATATCCATGCAACAAAAGTTATCTACCGACCTTTTTTTGGCAAGGCAACTGGATACGAAAATTAATAGTTCATTGCATACCCATCTTTATAAATTTGATACAACACTGTCAGCTCAAAGGAACTGCTCCAAACTTAAGACGGGGTTCTGCCTCATAAGCACTCAAGATAACACAATGTGTCTATCAGTCTAGTCACTGTAAATATTTAGGATGCTTTTGTAAGCCATAAAACATGACATCAATGATATCTGATAACTTGTCATGAATGTAGATTTAATGTTAATTTCTTCTGTGATCAGGATTACTGGTATGTTTTCTACCTGAAATATGCATCTTGCAAGATTCTTGCTGAACCAGTTGATAAGACAGTTTTGTATTTCATTGCATTGTGGTCAAAATGCACTTACAGTGAGGGAAAAATTATTTGATCCCCTGCTGATTTTGTACGTATGCCCACTGACGAAGAAACATCAGTCTATAATTTTAATGGTAGGTTTATTTGAACAGTGAGAGACAGAATAACAACAAAAAAATCCAGAAAAACGCATGTCAAAAATGTTATAAATTGATTTGCATTTTAATGAGGGAAATAAGTGTTTGACCCCTCTGCAAAACATGACTTAGTACTTGGTGGCAAAACCCTTGTTGGCAATCATAGAGGTCAGACGTTTCTTGTAGTTGGTCACCACGTTTGCACACATCTCAGGAGGGATTTTGTCCCACTCCTCTTTGCAGATCTTCTCCAAGTCATTAAGGTTTCGAGGCTGACGTTTGGCAACTCGAACCTTCAGCTCCCTCCACAGATTTTCTATGGGATTAAGGTCTGGAGACTGGCTAGGCCACTCCAGGACCTTAATGTGCTTCTTCTTGAGCCACTCCTTTGTTGCCTTGGCCGAGTGTTTTGGGTCATTGTCATGCTGGAATACCCATCCACGACTCATTTTCAATGCCCTGGCTGAGGGAAGGAGGTTCTCACCCAAGATTTGACGGTACATGGCCCCGTCCATCATCCCTTTGATGCGGTGAAGTTGTCCTGTCCCCTTAGCAGAAAAACACCACCAAAGCATAATGTTTCCACCTCCATGTTTGACGGTGGGGATGGTGTTCTTGGGGTCATAGGCAGCATTCCTCCTCCAAACACGGCGAGTTAAGTTGATGCCAAAGAGCTCCATTTTGGTCTCATCTGACCACAACACTTTCACCCAGTTGTCCTCTGAATCATTCAGATGTTCACTGGCAAACTTCAGACGGGCATGAATATGTGCTTTCTTGAGCAGGGGGACCTTGAGGGCGCTGCAGGATTTCATTCCTTCACAGCGTAGTGTGTTACCAATTGTTTTCTTGGTGACTATGGTCCCAGCTGCCTTGAGATCATTGACAAGATCCTCCCGTGTAGTTCTGGGCTGATTCCTCACCGTTCTCATGATCATTGCAACTCAACGAGGTGAGATCTTGCATGGAGCCCCAGGCCGAGGGACATTGACAGTTCTTTTGTGTTTCTTCCATTTGTGAATAATCGCACCAACTGTTGTCACCTTCTCACCAAGCTGCTTGGCAATGGTCTTGTAGCCCATTCCAGCCTTGTGTAGGTCTGCAATCTTGTCCCTGACATCCTTGGAGAGCTCTTTGGTCTTGGCCATGGTGGAGAGTTTTGAATCTGATTGATTGATTGCTTCTGTGGACAGGTGTCTTTTATACAGGTAACAAGCTGAGATTAGGAGCACTCCCTTTAAGAGTGTGCTCCTAATCTCAGCTCGTTACCTGTATAAAAGACACCTGGGAGCCGGAAATCTTTCCGATTGAGAGGGGCTCAAATACTTATTTCCCTCATTAAAATGCAAATCAACTTATAACATTTTTGACATGCGTTTTTCTGGATTTTTTGTTGTTATTCTGTCTCTCACTGTTCAAATAAACCTACCATTAAAATTATAAACTGATCATTTCTTTGTCAGTGGGCAAACGTACAAAATCAGCAGGGGACCAAATACTTTTTTCCCTCACTGTACATGCATGCGTGCTCTACTGTGTTGTCGAGCAAGACAATACATCGCAACCCTATTGGAGGGCACTGACAAGGGCTTTAAGTAGCTTCCTTCTTAGCTGAAAGGGCTGTGAATGCATTCCTTGACTGAGTATGTGGGTGTAGGTGCCGGGGTGTGTTTAGACATTAGGCGTCAGTGAATTTGTGCCGTGTGTTTGTTGTCTGGTGGTGTGTCACTGACGCACTATCCCGAATTGAAAATTCCTATTTGGTTGTAGCTGCAAGTTAAAGCAGGCTCAACTCGTCCAGTCTTGTTCACATTCCCACACCATAAATCGTGCAAGTCCCGTGTAATGACAAGGCACTAGCGTCTCAATCCATCCGTGACGGTGTTTGTTATTTGAAGGCATTGTATTGATCTAATATTAGACATATGCAACATATGTTTTCCTTTTATGACTGTGGGATCGGTGCATGCAGGGGCAGCAATGTAGCGCTTGCTGTAGACACGACACCTGCTTGGTGAGCTTGCGGAGCTGCTCCGTCAACTTGGATGCCATTTCGTCAAACTTGTGGAATGCCTGGACAGAGCCACGTAGATAATAGCTCTTTAACAATGTTAAGAATATCATTGCTTTACAGTAAAAAATAATACTGGCAGGATGAACGGAGAAAAAGTGCTGTTTGGTTAAGTGTAAATAAGTAAAGTTGGCGGGAAGCCATTTACCATATTGAACAATGAAAATGAAACCATGATAATATGTATTATAAAAACATGCAGTCAACATTAAACAAACTTTATATATAGTAATGACATTAAATATACTTGCATTGATTTTATTTTTATATATACAAAAAGTGGTCACATAAATAAATTGAAATAGCAATGTATTTATGTGACCACTTCAATGATGATATTACATATAAACATTTAATCAAAATTACATGTGTATAAAAAATAACTCTACGTTACCTCCTCAGGTGCAGTCTGACATGTTATCATGGCGTCCAAGAATTGATATAGGTACTGTAAATCCACCACAAGACAGACAGACGTGTAAGTAGGTATAGTAGCATTGTTAAATATAATCATTATTTCACGCTGGAACTGCTAGTCAACTGTAGTAAACCAATTTATACTGCTGGGTAGATGTAGGCAGCAGGATTTAACAAACTTGCCCATTGTTTCAATTGCCACGCTGAGAGAAGGTGTGGATTACTAGTCCAGTGTGCTAACCATTACACTACAGCAAATTAATAGACCTAAAAATTAAATACAGTAAAACCTTGGATTGCGAGCATAATTCGTTCCGGAAACGTGTTTGTAATCCAAAGCACTCGTATATCAAAGCACTCGTATATCAGTTGTGATCACGTGACGCTCGGCAGACAAAGCGAATATGTACTACTCGTATTGCAAGACCTCGCTCGTTTATCAAATTAATATTTATTTAAAAATTTTGCTCGTCTTGCAAAACACTCGCAGACCAAGTTACTCGCAATCCAAGGTAGCCTAACTCAAACTTAAGAAAACGGGATTTTAACTCCACAATTCCACCCATGTACATCTCATCCAGGTAGTGTAAAGCAACACAATTGCGTGAAGACAACTGCGGACCATGTCATCTTTCCAAGGTGGTGCAGTACTGCATGTGGTATGCATTACCGGTGTAAGCAATTTGTATGTGAGATGAGCGTTTTCTGCCAGAACATCCGCAGCAAGGTCATAATACTGCAGACACACAGGGAGACAAGTAAATAGCAAGGGTGAGAGCAAGTGAGCGGAATTTTATTTTCAATAACGTAATCCCAATGCGCATGCAAGAATGTGTTTAGTAAATCTCTGTAAGATATAGAGCAGGGCAGAGTTTGGGGCAGTTGAACGTTTTTTTTATAATTTCTAAAAGCAGTCATGTGATTAATTATCAACCAAACTATATTAAACATCTGATATATGTGCTATTGAGAAGGACCACTCCTTTTAAGGCAGTGTTCTTGATGGATGTGAGTTTTTGCTATATTCAATTAATTGACAATGTATGTCAAGTATGTGAAAGGTGCACTGATATTGATAAGCCCTTGACATGCCCACATGTGTGCTTAAGTTGGCTCCACCACTACTTGCTCAAAGACCATGAGATAATGAAAAGCAAAGCAAAACTTGATGTTGCTAGGACAAGTCATAGAGGAAGTTAAGTGTTTTCAAAGACAAATGGGCTCAAACCATTCATAACATGCTGTGAAACAACAGAGACCACCTGCAAAAGGCAAGTCTCACAGCCTCACTATGAAATCATACCTCATGCTTACAGTACAGCAACAGAAGGTTGCCAAAGGTCTCCGGAGGGAAGGTCTCTTGCTGCAGCAAGAACTGCAATTTTTCAAAGCCCTCACTGGGCCGGGTATCCATGTTCATGAGTGCCTGGTTATGCAGAGTCACTGGATCCAACTCCTGCGTGCAAATAAAGGGGTTAGCAATGTCACATTTTTACTTGACCAGGAATGTTATCACCCACTGTCCATTAAGCTCTGTCTCACAGTGAGCCGCATCACTTTTGAAACAAAAACAACTTTCTTGATATGATTACACTTTTTACATTCACCGCTAAGGTATAAACATCTGGCATAGAATTTTGTGTCAGTGGATTTCTGGCCAGATGTGGATGCTGCGAAGTGATGCTGGATCTGGCTGCCTGCAATGTTTTTGAGCTGTGATCTGTGAGGAAACAACTGGTAGAATATATTAGTATAGAAGCATATTTTTGGGGGATTCAAACTTGTATTATATGGATCTATAAAGTATCACTTATATTGATTCTAATCGACAGATCTTGATAAGCTTATCAAACTTGTATATTTTTCATGTGGAATGAAATTCATAACCATTCAAGTATAGGTTCCACTGAGATACAAGGAAAAGCTGAGCACATAAAAAAGAACAGTTTAAAAGGACTTAAGAGTAAATTCAGGAAATACAATATCTATATAAAGTAATCAATTGTTTTATTTAAAATAAAATGTCCACACACTTACGATAGAATTAACATAACAGATAACAGATTGATGGTGAGGTTAGGCAGAGATATTTGTTCTTACATGGTGAGCGCTTACTGCACAATTTATTGACATGAATTTCCCTGCCATTGTATAATATTAGATCACCCAAAACACCCCATTATCATTCCCATCTTGTATGTATGTTGAACTTCTTTCACACCATACATAGCCAACCGTGATAATCAGAGGTGTGGGGAATCTTACACATTTCGAGGGCATGACATCACCAACTCATACCAAGCAGGCTATAGGCATGACAGGTCATGTATATCAGGTTGGACGAATTGATTTGCAATTTTACGTAATTCTGCAACTCCATCCAGACAGGTTAGTATGTTGCCAGTGGTGCACTTTAATACATGTGTTTTTTTATGCAGCACCATACCTCTTCTGATCGTGGGGGCATGTCTGTCAGTGCTTCCTGTGCAGCCTCAACTGTGGTGAGACAGCAATAAAAAATATTTCAATCAAAAGTAAACAGTAATTTGTAAGTCATATAATGTATGTGCACTATGTATCTGGCCATATGATTCAGCAGTTGGGTGAGCAGATCGCAATCAGAAAATTACAAGTTCAAATCCTGGTTAGGGGTTGACTGAGCATATCAAGCCCTCTGGGGTCAAGAATTGATTGATTTTATTTGTTTACACGGGTAAGAAATAGTCAGCCTTAAGCTGATTCACAAGAATGACCCGCAGACGATCTTGGTGAAAAACATTCAGTTACAGCAGCGTATAAATCAGTGATTCTTAACCTCGGGTGCACGCACCCCCTGGAGCTGCGAGATGCCCTTTCTGGTGGTGCGAGACATGCGATATATTTTTTCAGAAGGAAAATCATCGAAACATAAATTAAGCACGGGCACGTAAGTACAACTACTTTGTTTCATCAATCCTACGTATTTATTAACATGTCTTACAACTGAGAACCAAAGGGGTGCAAGGTTAAATCATAATATTGCAGACGAGTAGCAAATAGGTTTGAGGAAGAAAATGAGTCCCGCTTTGTGGTTGTCTGCTTTATGGCCTCGCCCCCACCATAGGCATTTCCACCATTGGCTCGCGGCTGTAAACAGATGGGTGCTGCACTGCCTCAATGCCCATTTGAACATAAAATAATTTGACAATATAAATACTATATATGCAAAGTACGTAATACTCTTTGGTTCTTTCGGTAAAGTCACGTATGTAGGAAAAACATAATAGATCACGACGTTTTGATCGCAATACAAGCAACCGTCATCAGGTGTGAAACAAACACAGCAGGAGAACTGCTGACGTAGGAGAAAGAGCTGCTGCAACAAGAGTTTATATAGGATTTTGGTGGGACAAACCCAAGGGTAAGTAGGCGGAGCTAGAGAAGTAATTTGTACGTAAATGTGAGAGATTAGCATGTCAATGTGAGACGGCCCAGCCACCGGAGGCGTGCCAATGAGAAGATTAGCATGTCAATATCAGAGAGCCGGGCAACAGGAACCAAAAAACTCGAAGAGCAAGAGGTACACATGATGAGAGCGAGACACAGTGAGAGAGAGACACACAGAGAGTCGAAAATAACAGCTGACATAGGCAGGCAGGTAGGTTTGCAGGTAGGCTGCCTATGTCAGCTGTTATTTCCGACTCTCTGTGTGTCTCTCTCTCTGTGTCTCGCTCTCATCATGTGTACCTCTTGCTCTTAGGGTTTTTTGGTTCCTGTTGCCCGGCTCTCTGATATTGACATGCTAATCTTCTCATTGTCACGCCTCCGGTGGCTGGGCCGTCTCACATTGACATGCTAATCTCTCACATTTACGTACAAATTACTTCTCTAGCTCCGCCCACTTACCCTTGGGATGGGCTCACCAAAATCCTATATAAACTCTTGTTGCAGCAGCTCTTTCTCCTACATCAGCAGTTCTCCTGCTGTGTTTGTTTCACACCTGATGACGGTTGCCTGTGTTGTGATTTAAACGTCGTGATCTATTATAATTTTTCTACCTACGTGACTTTACCGAAGGAACCAAACAGTATGGATTCCTGCAGTCACGAAAGCTTCAAATCAAAGTACTTAATGTCGTGTAATGCATTTACATTTTGATTACAATATATTCGATGAGAATAATGTACCTGCATGTCAATGTGAAAGTAACCCTTGTACTTTGTATTTGCACAAAACATATTCTGTACTTTATAATATAATTATGTAGAGTAACCTATATCAATAATAATTACCATATTTATATGTTGGGTAGATTCACAATGCAGAGACAAACTTTACATAAACGTCATGTTAGTGGCATGCTATATTATACAGTCATCATCATATAACTAATAAAATGAAAGATGTTTGTCATGTTTACAACGTGAGAACCAAAATTAGTTCAAAGATCAATAATACAGAAAATTATCTGAAATAATATCTTCCTTTCAGAATGCAAGTTTGATTTTTTTTAGAGGGTATCACCTGACCTGGGCAGCGGGGAAACTATAAAAGCTAAATGGATGGCACTAACTGCCTCACTGCCATTTGCAAGTTTCAAAGAAATAATATATTTTGGCATGTATTACCCTCCCACATGGTAAACATTCATGGAATAGGCCAAATATCCCAATGTAGGACCCTGAGTTTTAAGACTTGGTGAGTATTTTCTGGCAAAACTGCAATTAGTAAAACAAAAATAGTATCAAATATTGATAAAATACCAGTGCTAATGTATTGTTGAACAAGGTTAAGATGGAGAGTGGAGAAACTGCGTCATTCATGATGCATCCATTTCTGTGAATGCACAACTGCGTATTGTTGAAAAGATAAATGGATTTTTTTAACAGGTGACAAGAAGAAATTTACGCACTAAACTGTTTACACAGTAGCTTGCTTTTCGTGTAAATGTAACCTTCCTGTGTGCACGGAAGTGAGACGTCACTGAAGTCACCACTGGCGATATTTATTGAGCTAAAATAGCACAAGTTAAAAATCCAGTTTCGAAATTGCAATGATATACAAAATCAATGCAGGACTCTCCTGCAAAGGATACATCAGATTTGGAGAGGTTTGCCTGGATAAATATACCACATTTTTACTATTATTGCTGTGCTCACAGTTTTTCAGTTGATATTCGATGGCTGCCTTGAGGTTGAACGCCTCAACCAGGGCTGTCTCATGCAGAACCTGCGTGTTGCCCACACTGCGCACTTCGATGCCCTCTGTAGTCATTCCCACACTCAGCTCTGGAATCAAATGAACGGGTAGAAAATCAATCGCCAGAAATGAATCCACTCGACAAGAACATTGATAATACCAGTTATTACACTCCCCAACGTATTAAATCATGCATGGGATAAGTGATGATTTTTTTACAAAAGATACATGCAAATGATATTGTGAATGTTATATTTCGGCAAATTTAGTGGACACAACTTGTACAAACAAGACAAAAAAAGTTAAATTCAAATGATACAATAAAATGTGACAAAAATTGTATTCTTAAATTTGAATTGCAATGCCACTCATGGAACCTCATCAAATCACCAGGTGAATTATTGTGGATATAATCCACGTTTATGCTGGATAACAACTTGTCTTGGGCGCCACATACCTGGTTTAACACTTATAGGTAAGATCATTCTGGCTCAGTTTCAAAATGAATGCAGAAAAGTGGTTAACATAGAAAAATTAAATTGTCTGGTTGGTATCAATTGGATGTAAAATTTTGAATGAGGCAAAGTTGTAAGGTGTATTCTCTGATATGCATATCTTTTAAGCATCTGGCCTTATTTTGAGGTATATCTCAATAAAAATGCTTCTGTTGTGTTATTAATGATTACATTGTTCATTGGCACACATAAGATAGTTTGATTTCAATTCCTCTTTAGTACTGGTCAGCTGTGAAGACAACTGTTTTATTTATTTAAATTAACATTATATAAACAATTATAATATATAAAATTGATAGGAATTTGTGCAATAATTCAGAGATGGGAAACTTAATTTTGAACTTTGTTTCCAGAAAAACGAAACAACCCTTCATAAACATAAATTAATGCATTTGACTGGAAATTGAAATAATAATGCCAAGAATGCACACATACACACAAAAATTCCCCGTATAGCCTTTAACAGACTGTTGGGGAAAGTGCTGCTAATGAGCACCTATGAAGGCCAGTACGGCACCTGAGGGGGTGGGTGGCCAACACTACACCCAGCTCCCTTTGTCCGTCTAGTGGCGATGTTTAGATACCGCACCAGGTACTCATTTGAGGCCGAGTCTACCCAGGAGAGGCACATGACTGGTTCAAATAAGCTTCACCGGTGTTGACCGTGAGTGGGAATCGAACTCAGGTCACCAGGTTTGTAGCACAGCATGCTAACCGCTACACTATCGCTCCCCACATATACACACAGGCACATGCATGGTGCCTTGCCTACCAGGATGCGTGCGAATGCCCTTCTCAATAATATCAGCAATATGCTTGAGGGCAGGGGCGTACTGCTTCATGCTGTAGTAGCAGAGCGCCAGGTTGTAGGATAAATCTAGAAAATGGAGCAGCAGTTAGACATACACTCATCCATTGCGGTATTAGAGCAGAGTACTGCCAGCACAAATCAACACGTGTGGCCAGCAATTGGAAAATGCTTCCATTCCAAGCAAGCAACTATTTAGTCCTGAATTAAATGTAATCCCACAAAAACAACTGATCAATCGTCGTACCCCATTTAATGTTAAAAGTTGCTAATATGGTTTGAAACAACGGCACTTAATGTGAATCAATTGTTGTATGCATGCCAATTTTTTCTACAAGTACTAGCATAGAACTCGTTGCTCTAATGTAAAATAAGCGACAGCTGTAATGTTGATACTCTTCTCACAATGCTCACTCGAAGCACTAAAAGTAATCGGGTTTTTGCATAATAAAATGCCAAAATAATATGTAGAGTCTTTTGTATACATTCTCTAGGATTTAAATAATATTCTTGAGAATAACAGGGACATAAACTGAAAAGTTAGAGTAATTGAAATTTAACCGTGCCAGTCATCTGCATTCGTTACGCCCACCTCTTCGGTGTCGCTATAGATGATATGTCTTCCAAACTTTTTCCATCGTTTCATTTCAATGGTTATTTATTACATGGGAATTTCCATATAACCAGTTATTTTGGTTCCCATAAAGTTGGCACAATAATGTGTGTCTGTGTGCTAACTGTAAAGACTACTGATCCTTACAACATTGTTTGCCAATGACTGTGGAGAGAAAATCTGTTTTTTAGCTTTGTTGATGTACATCACTACGGCATGTTACTCAAACGTTTAAATGTGTCTTTTCTGAAATGTTTACTTCTGGTAAATTTTACATAATAATGTGTGTAAACTGTAGTAACAATTTACCATGAGAACATTGTTTACCAATGACTGGGGAAAACCCTGCCTGTAGGTTTTGTTGTACATCTCTACCATTGCACAATTATTTTCTGAAGGTAAATGATAAGATATCTTCAATACAGCTGGTAAATAACTTAAATGTCTAAACACATCTTAAAATTACATTTTGCCGTGTGTGTGTGTGTGTGTTTGAGACATTATTTGTTGTCTTTTTAACAAAGTTATATTTGGATAATTAAGCGGATTATGGACACAATTGCTTAAAAATGCAAATTGACCAAATAGTTGTTTTTTTAATCTAGAAAGACTTGCAAGAAACAAGTCTTAATTTTGTCATAAAATCTTACCCTCATTACAAAATCTAGAAGTGCTCATTTGTGTTATTTCACTCACATTCAGGCAGTGCATGTGTTGGTATTGGTTAAAGGCAGAATTAATGAGGAAATATAGAGTAATGAATCATTGTATGTGAGATACACGCCGATTTTACATTGTATTTCTCAAACGTAATTTTTACGTTTTTTCCTTTACAATACACACACAGTATATGCCTGTTTTGTAATAAACACTATACAAATTACAATAACATTTATAAAAACGAATTTGAAAACATCATCTGAGAGTAAATACCTGAAAAGTAAAATTTACCACAAATTTACTGATATACAAAGAGACATAAATAAAGTAAAACAAAGTACAATTATCTCCACTGAGCGTTCATCTTGGTTCAACCTGTTAATGTAAATGACATAGTTCATTGATTTGACATGGGCATGAGAAGTTTCCAATGGATTTACAGTCTCTAATCACAAAATCTTTCATGCAATTCTCGTGCTTGGTTAAATCACAGGTGGGGATTCAATAATGCACCACATTCAGTTGCAACCCTTGACACACTCAAACTCGTGCAGCATTCGCACCAGCATTTTAAACTGAGCTAGCCCATATTCTTGGTTCTTTCGGTAAAGTCAAGTAGATAGAAAACAAAAAGCAATATTAAAGTTTTCTATCTACGTGACTTTACCGAAAGAACCAAGAATATGAATTCCTGCAGTCACAAAAGTTTTAAGTCTGAGCTAGCCCAGTTTGCATGTCGGGAAAATGTCCTCAGCTCAGATACCTATTGCAGCTTTATTGGGCCAATGGACTTGTAACCATGCCACGTGACCTGCTTTAATTGGGCTGCACTTTCCAGCGGAGGGGACTCACTTTTACCCAGCAGCTCTTGTACACAGTTTTGACATCACTGAGTCAATGCATTAGATATGCATGTAGTCAGTGGTGCCTCTCTTATAGGATAACTTCAGGGCCGTCATTTAATGGACAGCGTGAGTTAACCTAAGCCTTATACATTTTTTTACATTTTTTACAATAATTTGTCTCCAGATGCACAGAGGAGCTGAAGCATTAAAGAGAATGGCTGAGCCTGGTCCGTGCCTGGCTTATAATGACCGTGGAAACATATACATTTTCCTAAATCTATTAAGCAGTGCCAGATTAAGCGAGTGCGGGGCCTGTAGCATATGTTATAAACGGGCCCTAAATAAAAAAAAGACACGTAAATATATAAAAAAAAAACTTTTTTTTACTTGCATAGTAAAGTAATTGTATTTTTTTCCTTTGCTATACAGCCAGATAATGACAAATCACTAACCTTAAACACCGAGTTGTTCATAAAAGTTGAAGGCAGTATAGTACTAAAGAAATAGAGCAAGTTCAGAATCACTGAACCGGAATTGATCGCTTGAAAGCATTTAGCGCGGGGCCCCTGAGTGTGCGGGGCCCGTAGCATATGCTACTTTTGCTACGAGGATAAACCGGCACTGCTATTAAGTCTCACTTAATGAATGTGAATTATAGTAATGGCATTTTGATCAACGAGTACTGCCACTATTATCTGTGTCACCAGGTGTGGTCCTGACCGGGGCGGTAGGACGCAAGCTGCATGGCAGTGGTGAAACGCAAGCACGCTTCATCAAAGTGGCCCTCCTTATATAGCAGGCAGCCCAGATTGTTCTCTGTGTCTGGATCATCTGCAGCACACTGTTCCACCAGGCTCTGGGGGATACATTACACAACCACGTGAATAATGATTCTCAAAAACGCCATTCACTGTGTCCCACTCACGCCTCTCCTCCCGATGGACACGCTTTTTACATATTCTTCCCAACATGATGTGTGCAATGTGCATATAGCTTGAGATTAGCAATCAATGAAATAGGCTGGATTGGAAGTTTATACAATTCAGAATGGCCATTTTGTGACAAATTTTCTAAGGTGTATATGTAGCGAGCATAATGTCCCTCTCTTTCACAAACATTGAGCTGTGTGCAGAGCAATAGTACGTAGAATATTGAGCAAGCTAAATTTGCTAGCATGCCCTGAACATTGTCTTTCCACCGTACATTCGATGCGCAGTTGGCTACGTACGGTGGGAAATGTCGACATAAACGGGCTACACCCATTTTAAACCTTTAAAACAGTCTGCCTCAGCAGCTGTCCCCCTTTTTTCTCCTTCCTGATGACAAACGCTTGTGTCGCGATCGAAACGTCGTAGTTTTTTAAAAAATTTTGTTCTTTTCTTTTAACCTATCTACGGGACTTCACCGAAAGCTTTAAGTCAAGATTTAGTATTTGTATCTCGATGATGTTCGTGAACAATGTATATAGGTGTGATGAAAGGCTCATATTTTTCATTTTTTGTCACCCCTTCATATATGACGAACAACTGAGGCATCATTTCTTTATTGAGGTATTTCATTTCTGTGCAATTATACAATAACTATCGAGGTCTGATCTTTTCTATCCAACAGCTGGTCCCATTTTCTTTATGATCTCCAAAGTTATTCCATCTGATAGTGGAGTTTTCCCATTTTGAATATATTAATACACTTTAAACATGTAACAAAATACAGTGAGGTCATACACATTCACACTTGTAAGTGTATCACCTTGGCGCCAGTCAGGTCATCTTCCCCATATTTAATAGCGGCTTGCAATTTCAGGACCTGAGATTATAGACATGAAGAGACAACAGTAAAATGAGCACTTAAAAAGTTCAATGTCAGCAGCCATAGGGAAAATATATTTATATTAATATAAAACACCAGGAGTCTGGGCATGAGGAAACTTCCACAGCTTAGTTTAATCAATTGCTGCAATGCTCATTGGAACTAATTCCAGCTGCAACACTATTTACATATTAACAAGCAAGAAAAATCACACAAACACACAGATTACGTAGCACTTTACAACGTGAGTTTTTCCTTGGAAGTACTTAATTTCGTCATGACAACTCGTATCTATCTGTTTAATCTATTCAATATCAGGAAAATCTGCCCTCTCATTTTATCTTGTTGCCATACTCCTGGTTTATACTCGGATCTTTACCCGTCTGGACTACTGCAATTCTCTTCTTGTTGGTCTCCCTGCCTATGCACTCACTCCCCTCCAACAAATTAAAAATGCTTCCACGCGGGTTATTTTCAATCTACCATTTAATTTTCAGACTTCGCCTCTCCTCCGTCAACTTCACTGGCTTCCCGTTGTCTATCACTGTCTTTTCAAATACCTTACACTCGTCTATAAATCTCTCCATGGCCTTTCCTCACCTTATCTCGCCTCTCTTATCTATTTTTATGTCCCCTATCGTCTTCTTCGTTCACAATCTTCTATGTCTCTCTCTGTTCCTCGTTCTTCCTGTGCCTAATCTCGTTTTCAATCATTTTTCTCCCTACTTGCACCCTTCTACTGAAATAAATTTCCCCTGCACATTTAGCAGTCCCCCTCCTTAACTTACTTTCATTCCTCTCTTAAAGCTCACCTCTTCTCCATTGTCCATTCTCTGCATCTCCCCTCCAACCCTTCCCATCCCTCCCCTTCCCTATCGTGACCCAATGTCCCTTCTGTTACAGTCATTAATTCCTTGGCCACTACATACCCTTGCCATCTAAATCAATCTATTTTGTTAGCACCTTTAAACTACTGAAAGCACCTTGAGCAAAGGTTCTCTATACATTTAAAATAAGTTAAGATCAAAGTGCTCATTGAGGTGAACCCCTGCACCAATGAACCGGAGCTCAGATACTGGCTCTGCCTCAGCGGCTGAACTGGGATGCCGAGTCAGGTCTTATTATAGTGCTGGTTTGCGTCTTAAATATTCGGCTGGTTATCATTAGGGTACGTCCCTATCAGAAACAAAACTTGAGACTGATGTTTGGTTCATGATGGATCATCTTTAAAAGTTATTGTTCCCCCATTATGGACAGACAGATGGACAGAGAGAGCTAATGCATAAATTATTTCAACCTGCGTTGAAAAGCGTTACAAATGTATAAGGTCGGTAGAGATGGACATGTGAAACACACAGGCAACACAAGACCTGAGATGCGCTGCCACCGAAGTTCTGGAAGTGATCAACCAAGCACACACATGTGCACGTGCACACGGGTACCTTGGCTTGATAAGCAGGGCCCTCCATAGCGAGTGTGGCCTTGAGTGCCTCAGCATAGGCGCTGGCACGGTACAGAGACTGCGCATGACGCAGCCGATATTCGGCGCCCTCGTCCCCAGGCCCAGCCTGCTGCGCCAACGACTCGTAGCATTCAGCAGCAACAGCAAAGTCCTGCATCTGGAAGGAGCAGTATGCCAGCAAGGAGAGTGCCGGTCGGGACTGTGTGTGTGTTGGGAGTGCGCAGAAGGAGGAGTAAAAGGGAACATTGGAGTTGAAGCAACATTTGGTGGAATGAATACAATTATTCGTAAAAATTGGTCAAGGAAAAATGATACATACAATCGTAACACAAGCATTACTTTAATTTTATGATATACCATATTGATGGTGATATTGTAGACTGAAGCAAGTACTAGTACCATAGTTCTGAAAACTGCTTGCTTTCAATACTTGTAAATTAAAAAAAAATACCTTATTGGAAATGGTATTAAGTATAGACACTGGTCATGGAAATGAACAACTCATGTATGTGAACTGTGGGCGGAAAACTGTACAGGTTGATCAACGGCCATGTTTAATACTGTTTGTTCGATTCAAAGTTGGTGAGATTTGAGTTAGCATGCAAATATGGTCACTGAGCTGTGTGATATGGTACTGCGGGAGCCCTGACAAGAGTTGGAATAGGTACACCTACATATAATGGAGCGGTTTATGTGCAAATATTAAATACCTCGCATTGCATCATACCTTGGGCTGTTTCTGCAGCTCATTGTTGAGGATCTCGATCGCTTCTCCATAGCGACCATCTTTAATCTATCACACATGTTAACATTGCATTAAAACACAACTGTTGTATGCTACTGAGTCTCTTACAGTATGTAGACCCAATATTGAAAAACCAACATCTTGCGAGCCATACACAGGCCATTCTATTGTGTTGATCTTATCTGAATGTATAAAATTGTGTGTAAAATAACGTTAAAGTTTATTGGACCTTGGCCTTTCAACCCTTCTCATTCCTCTTCCAGTCTAAAGCCCCCCTCCTCGTAGCAATATCCATGGAATCACTTGCAGTAGCTATCTACAAAATCCTATTTATCCAATGCCTGCAACTCTCTGCACCATAAAGGCAAGCTATATGCGAAAGAAGTTCAACAACATACAACAATAATAATGAATCCCCAACATTGTATAACTCATTAGCAATGTCATCCCAGCATCTGCATACAGGGGGTCCCCAAATATGTCGCCTCGACGTTTGCCAGGAACTCGCGAGTGGCACTTGTCCTCCACAGTCTATAAGGGCTATACGGTAGGGATGAAAAACCTTTTTCTTTACTAGGGCCGCAAATCGATTTTCAAATACCTTTGCGGGCCACACGTTCACACGCACTTGTAACCTTCATCCAATGATAGCGCAAAAACAATTAAGGGACACAAGCGACAAGTGACCTAAGTAAGAATACGCTAAAATTAGATACATGGGATTTCCAAGTTAAAAATAACTATTTTTGTGCTCGATCAGGTTTCCACCCCTTCCTCCACGCGGATTTTATCTGATGTTTGTGTATATGTGTGCGTGCGGGGAGCGGTGGTGTAGCGGTTAGCGCGCTACGCTATGAACCTGGCGACCCGGCTTCCGATTCCCTATCACGGCCAACACCAGTGACGGTTATCTGAAACGGTCCCGGGCCTCCCCTAGGTCGACTCAGCCTCAAATTGGTACCCGGTGCGGTGTGTAAACATTCGCCACTGGGGAGACAAAGGCGGTCGAGCGTGGTGCTGACCACCCACCCCCTCGTGTACTGTTGCGGCCTCCATAGGTGCTCGCAAACAGCACTTTCCCCTACAGTCTGTTAAGGCTATACGGGAGGGGGGGGGTGATCTTTTGTGCCAGCTATGCGAGTCTGCAAAAACCCTGGGGGGGGGAGTAGAATCGAATATGTAGGAAGGGAAATTCAACCGTAAAATAATAATTTTCTATAATTGTCTGTACATATAAATTACAATCTCTCCCACCTCTAAACTCAGTACCTGTAAAACCCTTTCTCCAGGACAATTATAACACCCTCAAACAGCCAAGAACCATCTTCTTTGGTTCTTTCGGTAAAGTCACGTAGAATGAGAATAAAATAATAAATTGATAAAATAAAATAACACAATAATATTCTCACGACGTTTCGGCCACAACACAAGCGGCCTTCATCAGGTGAAGGGAGCGAGACTGTCTGGTAGGACAGCGCTGGAGTGAGAGAGCCACGTTCAGATCACGGCTTTTAAGCTGTGTGAGAGGAACAAAGAGCCTTGACGAAGGAATTAGCATAAAATTTAGCATTGAAAAGGCTGAATGATTAGCTTGTGACTGGTCACAGAAATAGCTATGTTAAAAGTTAAAGCATACACATCTGCAGAGGCACCCATTGTTAAAAGGAATTAGCATAGAATTTAGCATTGAAATAGCTAAATTAAGGCATTCGCTTGTAACTGCTACAGAAATAGTTACGTTGAAGTCAGAGCATACACATTCACCGAGGCACTTAGTACAAATCAAAACAGGAGAATTTAGCATTGAAATAACTAGGCGAATTTAGCATTGAAATAACTGGGTGATTTGCTAGTGACTGGTCACAGAAATGACTACAAATCTGAGCTATTCACAGTACTATATAGTGAACCAATAAAAACTAAAATATAAATTACCTTCATGTTATCAATAAACTCTATATTCTCCAATCAGCTAAGCTACCAACCATAAGTCGTTATATATCACAATGCTATATGGCGAAAAAATGGGTGGATTCTTACCCTCAAATTTCCGTACCACGGATAGCTACGGGCCCCGTTCAGATGGACGAGTTCGTCCATGGTCGGAACAGAGGAGGGGGAGAGAGACAGCTGCGAAGTCCTAGTATACTCCATGTTGTAAACCATACCATTAACCGTGGTGTGAGAGGTATTAAGAGGCAATGCTGGCGAAAGAGCTGCGGTCTGAAGGTCATCGTAAAATTACAATTAATTAAGAACAGAAATGATTTAACACATCTTTCCAGTGGTTACTGAGCCTGAATCCATCTTCTCGGTTGAAATTGTCTCTGTGCTTGTATATGTGAATGGCCTCATGAACGAATCTCTCATGGTAGCCAGTTGGTTTGCAAAGAACCTCCGTCTTGGAGAAGTCAATGTCATGTGAGCCCACTGAATTGTAACAGTGATCTGCCACGGCAGAGGAGTTCGTCTTACCGTGTTTCAAGTCTGCTTTATGTTCGCGGATGCGATCCGAGATATGTCTTTTGGTTTCTCCAATGTAGCTACTACCACAGAGGCACTTTAGTTTGTAAACGCCCAGGTACTGTATGTCTGGAAGAGCATCTTTTACAGATGGAACTAAATCACAGATTTTGTGTACTGTGTTGAATCGGACCTGGATCTTGTGTTTATTCAGGATTTTGGAGATCTTTTTAGTGACCCCTGCAATGTAGGGTAAGGTGATGGTTTTGAGTGGCTCCACAAGAGGATCCTTCTTCATGACTGGAGTGATGGCTTTGCGGATTGTGTAGTCGGAGTAGCCATTAGCCCTGAGAGCCTGGTGTACGTGTTTGAGTTCACTGGTAATGTGTTCCTGGTCGGAAATGCATTGGGCTCTATGGTATAGAGTCTTGATGAGGCAGTTCTTCTGGGATGGATGGTGGTGGGAATCCGGTTTCAAGTAAGCATCTGTATGGGTAGCTTTCCTGTAGACAGAGTGGCTCATTGAACCATCATGTCTCCTTTTAATTAAGACATCCAGAAAGGGTAGTTTGCCATCTTTTTCGACCTCCATGGTAAATCTGATGGCTGGGTGTATGGAATTGATGTGGTTGCGGAATTGGTCTAGAGCAGGCTGGCCATGTGGCCAGATGACAAAGGTGTCATCAACGTACCTCTTCCATAAGGTCGGGCGTAGAGTGGCAGTCTGGATGGCGTCAGTTTCAAATTTTTCCATGAATACGTTGGCTACAACCGGAGATAGGGGGGAGCCCATTGGGGTGCCCTCAGTTTGTTTGTAGAAAGTTCCATTCCAGGTGAAGTATGTGTTGGTTAAGCAATGTCTCACCAGGGGGGGTACATCAGTATGCAGTCCTTGATGAACCAGGTCTTCAATGATAGCGATGGTGTCAGGTACCGGGACTTTGGTGAACAAGGACACCACATCAAAACTGACAAGCAGGTCGTTTGGGGACAGGGAAATGTCTTTGATTGTCGATACCAGGTGAGTAGAATTTAGTACCGCAGAGGTGGTTTTTCCAGTGAAAGGTCGCAGTATATCAGCCAGAAAACGTGCCAGTTTGTAGGTGGGGGAGCTGATAGTAGAGACGATGGGACGAAGGGGTGTATCTTCTTTGTGTATCTTTGGAAGGCCATATAATCTTGGTGGTCTGGCAGCAGAGGGTTTCAACAAGAACTGTTTGTTCTCATCAATTAATGCTGTTGAATCAGAGATAATTTTGTTCGTTTTGGTGACCAGGCTGTTGGTGGGATCTCTTTTTATTTTTGTATAGCTGCCATCGTTGAGTAGTTCTTGAATTTTGTTGTTATATTCTGTTTTGTCCATGATGACAGTGGCATTGCCTTTGTCGGCTGAGAGAACGACAATATCATCCCTCTTTTTTAATTGAGATAATTCAAAACGTTCGTCTTTGCTGATGTTGCTAGGTGGCAACTTAGCGTTTTTGAGGGTTGCAGCGATTTCAGATCTTGCTACGTCTGCAGAGATGTGACTCAAGCCCTTGAGTGCAACGTCGACATGGGCAATGATATCATTAACCGGTAAGTGTCTCGGTGTGACAGCAAAGTTTAGACCTTTAGCTAAAACGGATTTCAGACCATCAGAAATGGAACTGTTACTGCGATTAATTACGACTTTGTTGACGTCTATCTTTTCGGTGTGTGGATCCGATTTTTTGCTGGAGAGGTGATTGAATTTGGAAATCAAATTGTCCCTACATTTGTTCGACATAGTGGCAGCCGAAGAGGTAGTCATATTATATTCTTAGTTTTTTCGGTAAAGTCACGTTGAAGAGAAACAACAAAATAACAAAATATATATAAAACAATAAAAAATTCTCACGACGTTTCGACCATAACTCAAACGGTCATCATCAGGTGTGTCGGTTTGCATAAATTTATTTTGAAAACGGCATATTTATTTATATATATAAAAATAACGTTTGCGTCACGCGCAACGATGGCAGTTTGCCAGGACTAGTCCATCTATTTTTTTGAAAAGAGGAGGGGGGAGACGAAATTTGTTTTTATGTATGCTGTCTGAAAGGCTCTGAAAGGCACTGTAAGCGTGAACAATCAATCAAGAACTGAAATGATTTATCAAATCTTTCCAATGATTGCTAAGATAGAATCCATCTTCTCGGTTGAAATTGTCTCTGTGTTTGTATATGTGGATAGCCTCATGAACGAATCTCTCATGGAAGCCAGATGGCTTACAAAGAACCTCCGTCTTGGAAAAGTCAATGGCATGTGAGCCTACTGAATTAGAACAATGATCTGCTACGGCCGAGGTGTTGGTCCTACCGTGTTTAAGGTCTGCTTTATGTTCACGAATGCGGTCCGAGATATGGCGTTTGGTTTCTCCAATGTAACTACTACCACAGAGGCAACTTAGTTTGTAGACACCAGGGTATTGTATGTCCGGAATCACATCTTTTACAGACGGAACCAGATCACGGATTTTATGTAATGTGTTGAAACGGACCTGGATCTTGTGTTTATTCAAGATTTTGGAGATCTTTTTTGTGATCCCAGCAATGTAGGGTAAAGTGATGGTTTTGAAAGGCTCCTCAAGAGGGTTCTTCTTCATGGTTTGAGTGATAGCTTTGCGGATTGTATAGTCGGAGTAACCATTAGCCCTAAGAGCTTGGTGTACGTGCTTGAGTTCACTGCTTATGTGTTCCTGGTCGGATATGCATTGGGCTCTATGATACAGAGTCTTGATGAGAGAATTCTTCTGTGATGGATGGTGGTGGGAATCCGGTTTCAGATAAGCATCCGTATGGGTAGCTTTCCTGTAGACAGAGTGGCTCATTGAACCATCAGGTCTCTTTTTAATTAGGACATCCAAAAAAGGTATCTTGCCATCTATTTCGACTTCCATGGTAAATCTGATGGCTGGGTGTATGGAATTGATGTGGTCGAAGAATTTGTCTAGAGCAGGCCGGCCATGTGGCCAGATGACAAAAGTGTCATCCACGTACCTCTTCCATAAGGTTGGGCGCAGAGTGGCAGTCTGGATGGCGTCAGTCTCAAATTTCTCCATGAAAATGTTAGCTATAACTGGAGAAAGGGGGGAGCCCATTGGGGTGCCCTCAGTTTGTTTGTAGAAAGTTCCATTCCAAGTGAAGTATGTATTGGTTAAACAGTGTCTCACCAGGGGGGGTACCTCAGTGTTTAGTCCTTGATGAACCAAGTCTTCAATGATTGCAATGGTGTCAGGTACAGGAACCTTGGTGAATAAGGAAACTACATCAAAACTGACAAGCAGGTCGTCTGGGGACAGGGAAATACCCTTGATTGTTGATACCAGGTGAGTAGAATTTTGTACCGTAGAGGTGGTCTTTCCAGTGAAAGGACGCAGGATTTCAGACAAAAAACGAGCTAGTTTGTAGGTGGGGGAGCTGATAGTAGAGACTATGGGACGAAGAGGTGTATCAACTTTATGTATTTTTGGTAAGCCGTATAATCTTGGTGGCCTGGCAGCAGAAGGTTTCAACGAAAACTGTTTAGATTGATCAATTAATGCGGTTGAATCAGAAATTATTTTGTTGGTTTGTGTGACGAGGCTGTTGGTGGGATCTCTTTTTATTTTTGTATAACTACCATCGTCGAGTAATTCTTTAATTTTGTTGTTGTATTCTAAAAAGGTAGTCATATTGTCTACATGTTCCCAATCCGATGTAGACATTGTTGCTGTCAATTTTAAGTGTGATTTGTAGAGTGTCTTGTCTAACTGATCGAGTTCGGTGCGTGTAAGTCTGTGGTAGTAGCTACATTGGAGAAACCAAAAGACATATCTCGGATCGCATCCGTGAACATAAAGCAGACTTGAAACACGGTAAGACGAACTCCTCTGCCGTGGCAGATCACTGTTACAATTCAGTGGGCTCACATGACATTGACTTCTCCAAGACGGAGGTTCTTTGCAAACCAACTGGCTACCATGAGAGATTCGTTCATGAGGCCATTCACATATACAAGCACAGAGACAATTTCAACCGAGAAGATGGATTCAGGCTCAGTAACCACTGGAAAGATGTGTTAAATCATTTCTGTTCTTAATTAATTGTAATTTTACGATGACCTTCAGACCGCAGCTCTTTCGCCAGCATTGCCTCTTAATACCTCTCACACCACGGTTAATGGTATGGTTTACAACATGGAGTATACTAGGGCTTCGCAGCTGTCTCTCTCCCCCTCCTCTGTTCCGACCATGGACGAACTCGTCCGTCTGAACGGGGCCCGTAGCTATCCGTGGTACGGAAATTTGAGGGTAAGAATCCACCCATTTTTTCGCCATATAGCATTGTGATATATAACGACTTATGGTTGGTAGCTTAGCTGATTGGAGAATATAGAGTTTATTGATAACATGAAGGTAATTTATATTTTAGTTTTTATTGGTTCACTATATAGTACTGTGAATAGCTCAGATTTGTAGTCATTTCTGTGACCAGTCACTAGCAAATCACCCAGTTATTTCAATGCTAAATTCGCCTAGTTATTTCAATGCTAAATTCTCCTGTTTTGATTTGTACTAAGTGCCTCGGTGAATGTGTATGCTCTGACTTCAACGTAACTATTTCTGTAGCAGTTACAAGCGAATGCCTTAATTTAGCTATTTCAATGCTAAATTCTATGCTAATTCCTTTTAACAATGGGTGCCTCTGTGGATGTGTATGCTTTAACTTTTAACATAGCTATTTCTGTGACCAGTCACAAGCTAATCATTCAGCCTTTTCAATGCTAAATTTTATGCTAATTCCTTCGTCAAGGCTCTTTGTTCCTCTCACACAGCTTAAAAGCCGTGATCTGAACGTGGCTCTCTCACTCCAGCGCTGTCCTACCAGACAGTCTCACTCCCTTCACCTGATGAAGGCCGCTTGTGTTGTGGCCGAAACGTCGTGAGAATATTATTGTGTTATTTTATTTTATCAATTTATTATTTTATTCTCATTCTACGTGACTTTACCGAAATAACCAAAGAAGATGAATCATTGCAGTCACGAAAGCTTTAAATCGAAATAAAAGCCAAGAACCATTTGCGTCGCTTTTTTTAAGGCTCCGTGAACGTCAGAAAATATCCCCAATGCATTATTTGTTATGCTATCCATCATCATTAGCTGCGGTCAATCTACAGCTGCATGAAGGGCCTCAACATCTCTCATGCTCTCGCGATGTTCGCAATACATGGTTGCACCTTCATGCAGAAACAACAATAACAACGAGTTGATGTCATCGTCCCATTTATGCAGAGGACGACCACACTTCGTGCGCTTGCCCTCTCCTGGCCGACACGAAAAATCCTTCGTCTCGACCGTCGGCTAATTTGATCTCCTCGAAGCGAGGAGTCCTGGGTCCCAGCACACTTTTTTTTGTAACTCTTAAACAATGTCTTTCTCCAATCCTCGTGCCTCTACTATACAGCCCATAATTATACTGCCCATAATAATAATAAGGGTCGACCATGCAACCCAAATGATGGGCTGTAAAGTAGACAACAACAGTCTGCGCTCCTCAAACCGAGGCGGAATAGCAGAAACAACGCGAAACTCTCTCCCGAAGCAAATCGTTCAATTTGGCAATCATCGCCTATTACTGGCAGACTCTTCTCCCGGGATCACTTGCCTGGCTCTCTTTTGAGTTCTCACACGGTTAAACAAAACAAACGTGACACTATTCTAACGTCAGTTCATGGTAAAGCCATCGGAAGGACCACGTTCAACTCCTCCTGCATGTACAGTCCTCATCGGATACGAGAAAGCAAAGAGTGCGGATTTGGCGAGGCATCTCAGTTTTTAACGCGCGAGTGAAACATTTCAAACAACGACCACGACTCAACCGATTGCTTGCAAAAATTGTGGTGTTTGAACATCGTAGCACCTGTTTTATTGTCGGAAATTGTTAAAACCTATTCTTGTTTTTCATACGTAGTCGTACCTGTCAACCCCTGATCAGTGCCCCTACATTTATTACAGACCAATTCGGACCTTATTGATCACCCCGTGCCCTTTATAAATCTCAAAGCTCATCCTACAAAGTCCCACCACAGGAGAGAAATAACCAAACAAATAGACAATCTCCCTGTACAAGAATGACGGTGTTAAACTGTATGGGTTGACAGGCATGCCTGGTAGACGTGTGTGTGTGTGGCGAGCAAGGCGAGGCAATGGCCTCGCTCGCCACACACCGCTCCCCCCACCGGACGCACCATTGTGTAAATCGTCGCCGTGAACTCCCCTTCCTTCACTTGATGCATGGTGGCGGGGGGAAGGCGACGTACACCGCGCGGCTGAATTAAGAGACGGGTAACGTTTTAAAAAAGACGTCGTGAGTATGCGGGCGAGCGGGCGGCCACCGTCAGCGATATCACCCAGCGAGGCCGCAGCAGCGCCGCTCGCGTCACCACGCGGCACGGTGGTTGCCAAGGCGACCGTCGTTTCCGTTCGCCGCCGGAAGTCAACTTACGAGTTTAAACAACAACAACATTTTTGATTTAAAGCTTTCGTGACTGCAGTGATTCATATTCTTAGTTCTTTCGGTAAAGTCACGTTGAAGGGAAACAATAAAATAATAAAAAATATATAAAACAATAAAAATTCTCACGACGTTTCGACCATAACACAAACGGTCGTCATCAGGTGTGTCGGTTTGTTTTATATATATTTTATTATTTTATTGTTTCCCTTCAACGTGACTTTACCGAAAGAACTAAGAATAATAACAACAACAAACAAAACAATCTTCCAACGTTAAATTTTTTATTTAAAGCTTTCGTGACTGCAGTGATTCATATTCTTGGTTTTTTCGGTAAAGTCACGTTGAAGGGAAACAATAAAATATAAAAACACAATAAAATTCTCACGACGTTTCGACTGCAATAAATACAAACCGCCACCTCTTTCAAATGTTTCTTGTTGTGGTTTTCACACCTGATGATGATTGCTTGTGTTGCAGTCGAAACGTCGTGAGAATTTTATTGTTTTATATTTTTATTAATTTATTGTTTCCCTTCAATGTGACTTTACCGAAAGAACCAAGAATATGAATCCCTGCAGTCACGAAAGCTTTAAATTAAAATTTAACGTTCCAACGTTTTAATAGCAAATGAGGTTGGGGGGGGAATGTGTGAGAGAAATACGAGTCGTGACGTCATCGCGATGTTCGGCGTGACGTCAGCCTTAATAAATCGAACAGAAGCCTCCTCCCCACCCCCATCCCCCCCAACCACCATCCCCCCACCAACCACCACCCCCACCAACCACCACCCCCCACTACCACCATCCCCTCCACCCCTCTATCCCCATCCCAACCATCCCCCACGACCCCCTCTCCACCACCCTCCAGCACATCCTCCCCACCAGCATCCCCCACTACCCCCCCCCCCACTTACCCCCTCCCCACCACCACCCTCCACCACATCCTCCACACCAGCATCCCCCAACTACCCCCCACTTACCCCCTCCCCACCACATCCTCCCCACCAGCATCCCCCACTACCCCTCCCCACCACCACCACATCCCCCTCCCCACCAGCATCCCCCACTACCCCCCCACCCCCACATCCTCCCCACCATCACCACCCCCACGTAAGATGGCCGTCCAAGTGCGCACGCTGCCCCCGAGTTTGCGTCCTGGCTCGCCTCGCCCCTGAGCGCGACTTGTCACGCCGCTCTTGCTGGCTGGGTGCGAGCGCTCTCTCGGCCCTGTCAAGTGAAACCTCTTCCTTCAGATTTCTTTTCGTTTGGTCGCAACAATTTAATGTCGGGCGAACGTTTGCGATTGATGTGCAACATTTGTACTTTGTGCTATTTAACGTTTTCCTTTAGCGGCTCTCTTAGCTTTTCGCTGTCTTGATGAACTGTCGTCTGTTTGTATTGTTGTTGATGTAACTCGCTCACCCTGCCCTATTCCATTGGACTTTCTGTGGAAAAAAAAGAGCTTTGTAGCTCATCGGATTCCTCCAGGATAAGTAAAGATTTCGATTCTGATTACCGGGCGTCTTCCATCAGCGAACCGTAAGTAACAACACACCCGATTGTTGCAACACTGTTAAGACGAATCCTGTAAACAAGTACGTCTGTAATCTGTTGTGGACATCAAGGAGTTGTGTTGTGTTTAGACATTTATACAACTTCTGTTACGAGTCGACTTATTCCACCCAGACGGTGAAGAAACTTCTAATCATTCTTGTCACAAACTTAAATCATTTCCATGATGTGTAGCGAAAAGCCCCACGCGAAACAAAATGATCTCGTTATCAATGCACCTAAACTGCACTTTAACCTAAAAGCACAAGTTAAATACCGTATTACGATAATGCGTTCCCCCAAAGCGTACAACGCGATGTCTCTCAAATGTCGCATGCACCTGGAGGCGAAACCTCTGACCCGGCATCGCTCTACTCCACCGGCATCCGGCCCACACGCCATCTCCCCATCCATTCATTCATTCACCCCACCCACCCTCTCTCGTTCGTCTCTCTCGTTCTATTCGTAGGCAAGGAACACGCACGGAGAAGTCCTCTCGACAAGCCCCCTCCACCCCTACCACCACCACCACCACATTCATGGAGCTGTCACGGCTGCACGGCCGCTTCATGGCCGTACGTCGGGACGGGCCCGACTCTGAGGCCACCCGCACCGAAATCCACCTGCTGCTCGACCAGATGATCTCGTTCAACGCGGAGGCCTCCGCGCCAGACCCGCGGGTGCGTCGCTACGTTGGTGGCCCTTCCCCGCGTCTGGGCCCAGAGAGTTGTCACGCACGCACGCACACACACAAAAACCTCGCAGACACACGTGCCAACGTCGCCGCACCTTTTTTTTTGAGCCGATTTCTGTTCGACGTTGGACTTAGCTGGGCCCATCGATAGCCGATGCTTGAACCCGTCACTCGGGCCCGTTTATCCAAAGTTAACCGTCGCCATCTGATGTGATGTGGCCAAAGGTGGACGCCGGGCATCCACGGTTGGCTATCAATTGGACATTTAGTAAGTATTGTCCAGAGTTTCAGTTTATTTGTTTTGGTATAGCCCTGTGAGCCATTCGGCTCTTGAATCGGGTGCAACCACAACAAACAAAAAAACAAAAACACGAACAAGAAAAACATCTTAAAGTGGCTATGTGACTGTGCAAACAGAAAATCCATGAAAAAAAACACAGCAAAATATTCCTGAAAAAAAAGCACCGTACACCAACGCTGTGTGCAAAAAAATCCCAATGGGATGCAAGTCAACAACAACCACAAGAAAACTTAGATTAAGGCCATCAGTCATCACTGGGCCATTTGTAAAATATTGGCCTTCACCGAGGCAGATTTCCCATCGCTACACACTTTCATAGCTTAGCAATGAAATTATATAATTAGTGCACTATGAACATTTTTTGAGGATGTTGATGGTTTGATTCTTATAATGTGTGAGTGATATATGATTGCATGGGGTGGAGCAGTAGCCACAGTGGTCATCGCCCTCTACTATGCACCCAGCTACCAGAATTTTGATTCCTGACCACAGCTAATATCTGTGGTTAGTGATATCTGAACTGCTCCTGCCCACCCCTCCTTTCCACCAACCTGCACTGACTCGCTTGGTGAAGTATGAGCAACCACAACCCTCATGACATGGATTTCATCCAGCAAAGGGTTGTAAACTATGATGACTCCAACAAAACATTATTTATATGATCATGAATTGAACATGATAAGTCCATTACCTCCCCAAACCATGTCAATCATAGCAGTTGTTTGATCATGCTTCATCACGTTGGTCAGTGCAGGTTGGTGAAGGTGAGGCACCTAGGACCAATTTAGATATCACCCCCCCCCCCTTATTTTCACCATATCTAGATATCAAACTCGGTTCACTGGGTTCATCGTGCAGTGCTGTTTAACAATCACATTGACTTTAATATTTGGTTAATATAACTCCGAGGCCAATATGTTTGTGTTTAGGAGGTGTCGGCACTCCTGGTTCATGCTACTCACCTGGTGCCTTGGCAGCAAGAACATCTGCTGGTCAAGGTGTGCCACCTCATCAGCCACCTGATAAGCAGGCTCCAGGTAAACTGCTGTGAATCTCTTTTACTGAACTTTATTTAAGCATGGTGCTATCTATGAGATTAGGGTTTTATTTACAATATTTTCACAACCACAAGATGACACCTCATTTGCACCCTTACGTTTATGTTTAACGTAGGCAGGATACTATTCCTAAATTACCCCACTGAAGGTTCATTTAAACTCATCGTGCTTTTGGTCGTGTTTTTCAATAATAGCATGACGTTTTTCCACATACAGTCATTAATAATCTGTAGTTTATTAACCACTCATACTTTGAACTGCATGCTCATTTAGAAAGAAATATAAGTTAATTCAGTTATATAATTTGTTTTAATGTTGGAAATTATAACTGTTTGCCAATTATCTGTATAGCTTATATTTTAAATGATTGCATTGATGCAATAATGTTTGCTTTGTGAGTTAACTTGGCTTAAGTTTAATGTAACTGCCAGGCCACGTTGTGACTTGTGCCCCTTGTTGTAGGTTCCAATTGACGATGACTGTTTGAAGCATCTGGTGTCGTACATCATCACAGCCATAAATGAGTGCCGATCGTGGCTTTACTATGAGCTCCTTGAGGTTTTGGCTTCACTCGTTTACAACAATGGATTCCGGTGTCAAAAGGTATGGCTATGTGTCTCCTGCAATCACCACAATATACAACAGTGTTATTCACTAATTTTCAGAGGGTAGCCACTTTTGCCAATAAGACATCAGTACAGGGGCCGCCACACATTTGAAACCATTGAGTTTGACACCATGATGGAGTGTTTTCACATTTGCATATTGTCTGGGGCTGCACAGTGGTCGCACTGAAGGCCACCAGGGGACGCCAGTGGCCCGTGGGCCTTGCAATGAGGAACACTGATCTACAATATAAAACTATATTAATATGTCAATATGCGCGATAGTATTATGCTTTATATCTATCCTTCACACTGTGCTGCCAGTTTTTACCAGAGCTGGTGGGAGAGTTTCCCAAGGACCCGCTATTCAGGCTAGGAGGCCTGTCCTTTTCTGATGGAGAAGTACGGGTCAAGGCTCTTCAGTGCATCGCACATCTCTGCGCAAGGTGTGTACTTCTTCACAGCCTGTAATATTCATTACTCACCAACTAGAATATACTTTGCAGATAATGATGATTTTATATGGAGGACTAACATTTTACAGTATGATTTGAAGTTTAGATATCCAGTCCAGAGTTTCAGGAGATGCTCAGTGAGTCTCAGATGTGTTTCCAGGGAATGGAGTACAGTGGACATTAAATCCCCCTGCACGTTCCATTGTTTTACGGTGTTCACCATATTCACACCATGGAGAGTTCTTGAGTCTCCATTTGAACATATGGTATCCTGAGTGCCCATGTAATATTCTGGTGTTTTTGTCCAATTGTTGACCAAACTGGCCTAGAATTCCAACCCAGGATCTTGGTAGTGCTGTCTCATTTTCTGGCATGAGTATCAGGTCCATGAACAACACAGCCACTCCTATTGTATGAAGAAGTACCGTTATAAACACAGTACGAAAAAGTAGTCCATTTCGAAGGCGCTACTTATAACATGAAAATACTACACAATGTAATTGCCACTTGATCAACGTTACATTGGATGTAGTTGAATAGAATTGTAGTTTCCCTAATGATCCATTTGCTATGAAAAATGTATTCAGCAATTGATGTATCAAAGAGCACCTTAAAAAACTTTCACCTCTTGGTACGTTATTTCCCACTACCCTCCATTTACACTCTGCAATAATCTTCAAATGCAGTTGCGTTTTACAAGTAAACTATTTAAATCCACAGGCAGCCCGCAGAGGCAGCAATGGGAGAGCCATACCGAGAGGCCTGTTTCACCCACTTTCTCACCATCCTTCGTGCCAGCAAGCTGGATGACACAGATTACATCACATACTGCAAGGTGAAGTTTGCATTGGGGGACACTGCACACAACACTTCTACTGGACACCTGTAAAAGAGTTTAATAGCTCATTGGAATCCTCCACGATAAATAAAGATTCAGATTATTTAAATATCTTAGCACACTGCTTTTAGAGCTGTCATGATATAGAGCAGTGTTTATCAAAGTTTTTTGGCCACCAATGTAAATATTTCCGCGGACCACCCAGCCCCCCACCTCTGGTGACAAAACGCATTCACTCATCTCTAAATACCAGCAATATGAAATTATTCATATGACAAGAACATGAAAAAAATGATGCAACTAAGGTTTTTTTCACGGGGGTCTGGGGAGGCATTTATGTCAATGGGTTAGGGTAATTTAATTTATACTTGCCGGATTAACCTACATTTGCATCAGCCCGCAAACCACCTGGAGGACCATGACGGACCATTGGTAGTTCGGGGACCACACTTTAAGAACCACTGGTATGGAGGGTAGCACACTTAACTAACAATCCCCAGGCATTTCATTTCATATCCACCCAAAGCAAATGAAACCTTGAGCAATGTTCTTTTGGTCCTAAACTTGCACAAGGCAATACGTGACATTTTAATGCTCACACATTTTGTAGGTGATTACGAACTTTACATTTTACGTGCATTTTTACGTAATTGATTACATATTTAATTCAACATCTAATTAGAACCATGTAAACAATGAAATCAAGATGAAAATAAAAATTCGAATTCTGCTAACCTTGGACCTGGTTACCTAGGCTGTGTGTCCCAGGCTGTCTTGACGTGAGTTTGAATCATTGTTCGTAAGAAAAACGACCTTACAGTTAGTTAGATGTTTCATGGCAACGGAGTGATGTCACTCGCAGATGCCATATGTTTTTACATGTCAATTCAGTCATCACGAAGGTGCTTTTCCAGAGTACCTGACCCTGATTTTAAAATGTATTTATTATTAACTGTATTCTCATTAACAATTGTTTTTAGTGAATCTTCAAACTCGCATCAGACAGCCCAGAGCACACATAATGCATGTACAGGCTAAAAGCTGTGTGTTTTCAGGGTTTTTTCATGAGCACTTGCTGTTTTGATGTTGTTTGGATATTCGCAGACTCTGCAAAATGCTCTGAAAGGCATAAATGCAATTCTTTTTACTTTTCGACCAAGTCCTACGGAGCAGATGGGCATACTCTTGGCAACGCTGAAGGTTCGTCTTTTTTAATTATTGTGTTTTATATGTGTGGCTGCTTGAACAATGCAATTTAACATGAACGTAGCTGAAGAGTAATTACATAATTTAGGTTTATGTAGTTGGTTAAGGTTTGGGTTAAGTAAAAACTAAATTTACATTCCTTCATGCACATTTAACACAAATGCATTCCACATCTGCTGTAGTGTGCACAAATGTATGAGTACATTCCATTCAATCGCAACACATGATTTCTTGTCAACAAAATACAGTGTTCTGCAGATTGTCATTTAAATAATTTCTGCCAATAAAAAGAATGCTATACTTTAATCAAATGTATACAGTAGTATATTGAACATATGCATCATGTCTAATAACTTTGTAAGTACCTAGTTGAAGTTTAGGCTGTATATTAATCCAGTAAGTAACATGATATAGTACCTCCAGCTTGATCGGGCAGCTATCTGGAGGCAAAAAAAATATCTGTGGCAAGTATCCTTACAGACTAAGGAGGCCACAAATGTTGTTAAATGTGGTTGTGCAGCTCACATCTTATTTTGTTTGTGGTGATACAGAGGTGTATGTTCTACGGGCTCCCTGGTGCACCGCAGCTCACGGCTGACATGCTCTACCCCACCGCGCTGCCCCAGTACGATGGGGGCCAGGCACCCATGCGGCCCCCACAGGTGCCGCCTTCCCAAGAGAAGGTGAGTGGGAGTGCCAGGAACTAAGGCTAGATTGTCAGGTGGTTTATATTTCAGACGTGTTAACTTGAGTTACGTCAGAATCAGAATTTTGTATTTATACTAGAGGAATTCTATTAGCTATAAAGCTGTTTCACAAATATCTAATGATTCACAATACATCAGAAGCTGTATATATAAGCACACTTGAACTCAGCACAGTTCTGATTAAGAAACACATGCTTGCATTACACTGGGGGGGGGGGGAGGCTATGGGGAACTTCTGATACAAGCACACTTCGGTTACAAGCGCGCCATGGCCTTGTTTTTTGGGTTAGATCGCGTTTATTTATAAATGTGTTGTAACCCTCCACCACCCGACATGGCCAATCAGCAAAAAAAAAAGTGTCACGTTGACAAAAGACTATTAGTTCACTACTTTAGCCCACCGGTGTGTTGAAGAGTGAATCCACAACATTTACAGTTTGAATACGACGTTTCGCTGGTAATTACATCCAGCATCATCGGGCAATTCGCCAGAATGTGTGCTTATAACCAACGTCTACTCTTTTGCGGTTGATTAATGGTGAAAGTTTTTCCTCTCAAAGAAATTTGAATAGTTTGGGAAGCACTAAGACAGTTTACGGTTGTGAACTTTGTGAAAGTGAATTTGACTAACCAACTTCAAAAAGTAGCACCCCAGGGACGAGAAAAGTGAGAGAATGTACTTTGCTGAAAGATTGGGAGAAGTCTTCAGGTGGCTTGGTTCAGAGTTACAGGCTACCAGGGTTTTATTTTGCCATAATTAGGAGTTGCAGCTCTAAAGTATCTTCATTAGTACTTCAAAGATTGGGAAATGTTTTTGCAATTTTGAAATGGGTTATGCTTAACCGCTCATGCGATGTGATTTAACTTGTTCTCTTCAGGCTCCTCATATGGCAGGTAAGAGAGGGGGAAGGACGACTGATCATGTCCATAATGACCCAGAAGGGAGCCCCATGGCCTCATGCACGTCTCAAGCAGAAAGCCTTTCTCTGGAGGTGCGGTTTCACAATGACAGCTGTAACCAAGCACGTGACATTTACTGCAATTAATGACATAATCATATTTTATTTTTGTCAAGGGCTTTGGAAAGTGATAATGTTTCAACAATGTGTGCATCCATTTAACCTCATATTTCTGCTCCGAGTATTTAAACAGGGTGCACAGTAAGAATGAAGTAAAATTCAGATTATAGACAAGCACTGCCATGCCTGCATGACAGTGATGTTTAGTTAAATTGGTTAATTTTCATGACCATGTTCTGTAATAAATGGAGGTGAATTGCAATTGTATTGTGCATCTCTGCTTGTGTCTACAGGAAGAGGACACTCCCTGCCAGTACACTGCAAGATCCAGTAAGGACCACACTGTAGCTCTTTACATGTGGATATAAATACATGCGTTAAGTTGTACGTGTAATCATACGTTATTTTAGGTTAATATGTTTGTGTAATTTGTTCAAATGACCCCTGAATCCACTAGAGGTACTCAACTACCACAATGTAAAAAAAAAATTCTTCCATCAAATTGTCATCCCAAATCATGACAATTCATTAAATCGCAAAGAAGGAGAAATTGTTACATGCCTCAATGTTATTAGCAGTATAAGTGATCATTGATTTTGTTTTGTTTTAAATCTCAAGAGGAGAGTAGTGGAGATGCAGTATCTCTAACACCAGCATGGCGGCTACGCACAAGCTCCGAATCGGACTTCTCTGACAGCGAATCTGGACACCAGCGACGCCTCCGGTGAGGACGCAATTTTATATTCGGAGTGTGTAGCATGCATGACTATACCTGCTTTTATGTTAAAGTGGGTATACAAAGACAAAGATCCCCCGTATAGCCTTAACAGACTGTTGGAACAAGTGCTGTTAGCGAGCACTTATTTACACCAGCACGGCACACGAGCGGGTAGGCGGCCAACACCACGCCCAACTGCCTTTGTCTCTCAAGTGGCAATGTTTACGCACCGCACCAGGTATTCATTTGAGGCTGAGTCAACCTAGGTGAGGCTCAGGACCGGTTCAGATAATCGTCACTGGTGTTTTCCCGTGAGCAGGAATCGAACTCGGGTCGCCGGGTTGGTAGCGCAGCACGCTACCCGCTACGCTACCGCTCCTCTCACTTGTACACATATGTACAAGTAGATATACGTATATATGTACGCAGACATATACATACATGTGAACATAGTCAACTCTCAAATATCCGGCGTAATGGGAAGAACGGGTTGCCCACAGAAAACAAAACACGGTTGAATCCAATCTATATGTAAATTAGGCGATTAAAACATTGTTTATATACATAGAATGCTGGTGAAGATGTAGAATGTATCATCTGTTTATTGTTTCTTAAAGTAATTATTCACAGAAATGTGGAAAATGATTAGCTGACAATTGACGTGCTGCTAATAATAGTGAGCACGCTTAATCTACAACCTGGATAATCCGCAAACAAATAATCCAAAGTTTACTACGTTACGAGAAAGAATATATATTTTTTTCTGAAATAATTTTGCGATAAACCTCACTGGTAAACCAGCATCCAGCAGAGTCGGGTGCGACAGGCGGCGCTGTGCTGTCTGCTGGCAGCCTTTAAGGCGGCAGAGAAGCGCGTCGTGTACGGGTACTGGGCGGCCTTCATCCCCGATGCACCCTTCTTGGGAGGAGGCCAGACACTCTCTCTCTCCACTGTCATCCTCAAGGACTCCTCCAACAAGGTAAGTTGGACTTCCCACCCCACCACTCCACGTATGTGTTGATTTGAGCTGTGTATTTTTTTAGTTTACAGTCTTGATTATCCAGCAGTCCATCAACAACGTAGCTCACCAGCATGCAGCTCCAGGTGTCCAGTCGTGGACTGTTGAAGTCGGGGGCATAGTTACAGGTTCAGATATCACTTGCCACTGATATTAGCCATGGCTGGGAATCTATCTAAATGATGCAGGATTTTATGTGCCTCCAAGTCCTGCTCAAACTCTTTAATGTTTGCAAAATTGTGCAGGTTATAAATAATATATTTTGGGCAGGTGATTTATATACGTATATAATATTCATAATGCAATATACTAACCCTGAACCACTGTTCCACCCCAAATTACATACATTTTTGATAAATTTAAAATAAATTATCGATGGAGCCTTGCCTTCCAAGTATATTTGCAATTAAAACTACCATCATCATACCCTCAGCATCCATGCAGAACTACATTTCCATTAATCTTTAGTTGGGCTTGAAATGGTGAGCATAAACCCAAAGACAAACCTACCCACCACTGGTTTATACAATTCCCTGTGAATAGTAGCAGGAACCCTTATCCTAAATGATTTAACATGTTGCAATTGTGCGATTAGCATTCTGTCGTGATTTAATTAATCCATTTGGAACTCTTTTAGGACAGTGCAACCCCACATGTTAGAGAATGGTACTCATAGGTTAACCCTACAAAACTACTTGTTAAACTCAAGTGACCTTAGTTTCTGTCCAGAGTCAAACTGCAAATTTTTTTCCCCGCTCATATATCTCACGGCTAAATTTAGCCAAATTAGGTGAAAACCATCAACTCGATGACTTTGAAACACAGTTTCAATCGCAGGCAATTGGAACCCCAATTCGAATCCAGAAACTCAGCGGCGACAGCTCAGTGCTCTGGCCCCTGCGCCACCCGACAACCTCCTTCAATGTCGTTCCCTTCTGCCCATTGTAACGCGGTGGGGTGGTGATGCCAGGTGCGCAGCGGCGCTCTGCAGGCCCTCTCAGCGCTGCTCGAGGGCTCACGGCAGTTCCTGTCGGCGGCTGAGGAGGCGGCTCAGGGCACCACGGCGTTCACGTCACTCTCTGCCTCACTGGCATCAAGCGTTCGAGAACTGCACCGCACTCTGCTGCTGGCGCTTCTCGCCGAGAACTCCGTCCTCACCCTCACGCAGATCATCAAGGTGTGGCGCCACCTCGCTTGCTTCAGGATTTATAGGATGTGGAGTCACTTTTTGCAGGATCAGTGGTTTCACGTTATGTTTTGGACAGGTGATTTATATACGTAATTTTGTTTACTTGCGCGGTGTGTGAAATTCCATGAGGTTGCTTGGTTGTACTTCACTGTACAGCTTGGTGAAGGGAGCACATCGCATTATTACCACTAACAGATTACTTTACTGCAATATATATGTAATGTTTTTAGAAACTGGTCTAAGAAGTAGCATAGTTTTTAGGAAATGGTCTTAATTCCTGCAGTGAAAATACCTTCAGTGAAAGAGGATGGTATTCCTTTCGATTTTATAAAAGCTGAACTTGATATTGAAGAGCAGCATACCAATGCGCCTGAGGAACACTTGTTAAAATCATTTCCTTTTTCCAACTATGACATGGATCAGTAATAGAGAAACCAAGACAGAAAATGGAACAAAGAATGAATATTGCATCAAGAAGCATGGAGGGAAATTTTTTTTTAACAAAAATTTACTGACGGGAAACAGAACGTTAATATCAAGAGAATAAATATTACGTATGGCTGATGTAGATGCAGAGCAATAACTACAATTTCACATTCAGGTTGGCAAACCAGATATATGATATCGACAGCTAAGAAAAGTAAATTGTTTGGGCATGACCAGCTACAAAGGATGCTAATGGATTGACAAGACTAGTAAAGGAATGTCATCCAGAATAGAGAAGCTGCATGAGAGGACAACTATTATGGAGATGCAGCAATGACATTGGTTGATGTGCAGAGGTCAGATGGATTGTAGGATTGCAGGACAATGAAGGAAAGTGATGTCAGGGGGAGACTTCCATCTTGCAGTGGGGAGACCATGCGTAATGATTGTGATAATCATGAGTTTTCGCACTTTTCACTGTTGGTTTCTAGTGCCTGGCCACACTGGTTCTGAACGTGCCTTACAAGCGTCTTCACCCAGGCCTGCTCAGCAGAGTTTGGAGGCACATGTGGCCATTCACACGCCACAGAGGTATCATTTTCACGCGAACCATGTGCCATCTTGACTGGAATAGTAAACCCCACCAATAGTGAGAGAATCGAGAGGAAATTACTTAAAAATCACAATTGTGGAGTTGATAGACAAAAAAATAAATGCATTAATGACCTATACACATAACATTTAATGGCAATAATTACACTGGAACAAATCTTTTTTTTGGTTGTGGGTAGTAAGTGTTATTTCCTAATTGCTTATGCCTCAACTACAGAAAATGGCTTTTATTCCCCACAAACTTTGCTTTTGTGACCAGGACAGTGATATTTTGAAATTTACCTCTTTTTCAATGAGAAAACGGGAAAATTTGTGTCTTTTCGTTCACATTAAGTCAGAAAAAAGCAACATTTGAATCAAAATTAACATGTATTTATACTAAAGTAATACAAAAATGACTACAAAAGATTTAGACACCAAAGGCGCACTACCACAGGCGGGACTGGCCACAGCGGACCGAGTTCTCTGTGGGGAGGAACAATCTCGAAAAATGTATTTCTTCTAAATCTTTTGTAGTTATTTTTGTATTACTTTAGTATAAATACATATTCATTTTGATTCATGTTGTTTTTTTCTGACTCTATGTGAATGAAAAGACGCACATTTGCCTGTTTTCTCATTGAAAATAGGTACATTTCAAAATATCGCTCTCCTGGTCACAAAAGCAAAGTTTGTGGGGAATAATAGCCATTTTCTATACTTTTTAGGCATAAGCAATTACGAAATAACACTTACTATCCCAGAACAAAAATTGTGTGACAGTGTTATTTGTATATTGTCGAGTAAATTCGTTTCTCTATTTTGCGGCATACACATGCATATGCTTGTAGCTGGAGTCCGTGAACCACCAAGGTGCAGAGGCTAATTCAGTGGTCACTGAAAGCCGGTTTGTATGTGCTGTACTCACAGATGTGAATGTACGCGTGGCGTGCCTCACCCTGCTGGGAGCCGTGCTGACGGCCCAGGCTCCGCTCACGGAGGTGCACCTCCTGCTGACGCAGCCCATCAGCGCCAGCCCTGCCTCCAGTGGGACCAGCACCCCAGGGGCGCTCCCAAGGGGGTCGTTTGACCAAAAGAACAGCGCCCCTTCGTCCCCCGCTCCGAAGGGGCCACCGAAGGCCGAAGACGGCGAAGACGGGAGGGGTTATTCATCTCCGCTGCAGGATGGCACCGACTCGTGGAGGAATGCCGGTTCGAGGAGTCGCAGTTGGGACATGGCATTAAAGTGCTGCCCTCAGGGCTGCTGGTTGGTCAGCTTCTGCTCGACGCTCATTTTAGGGCGGGAGATGGAGGGACGTGGGCTGCCCGAGCCCACTTTTAGTGAGCCCTTGCCTGTCCGGCTGGAAGCGTTACAGGTACAGTGTATACATTTCGCAAGCGCACTTGATGTCATTGGCAGCGGGCAGTACAGCGCAATATCCATTGTACTGTAGCTCTATGATCCCATGTCTGCTTGCCACCTTCATACAGTGTGGTGGAGTATGGTCGAATAACCCCCATGTCTTGTATGGCATGGAACGGCCCTCCACTCCCAGTGGGTTAACAAAAGGGCTGTAAATTTTGATTTAAAGCTTTCGTGACTGCAGTAATTCATATTCTTAGTTTTTTCGGTAAAGTCACGTTGAAGAGAAACAACAAAATAACAAAATATATATAAAACAATAAAAAATTCTCACGACGTTTCGACCATAACTCAAACGGTCATCATCAGGTGTGTCGGTTTGCATAAATTAATTTTTTGAAAACGGCATATTTATATATATAAAAAAATAACGTTTGCGTCACGCGCAACGATTGGCAGTTTGCCCAGGACTAGTCCATCTATTTTTTGAAAAGAGGAGGGGGGAGACGAAATTTGTTTTTATGTATGCTGTCTGAAAGCCACTGTAAGCGTGAACAATCAATCAAGAACTAAAATGATTGATTGTTCACGCTTACAGTGGCTTTCAGACAGCATACATAAAAACAAATTTCGTCTCCCCCCTCCTCTTTTCAAAAAATAGATGGACTAGTCCTGGGCAAACTGCCAATCGTTGCGCGTGACGCAAACGTTATTTTTTATATATAAATAAATAAATATGCCGTTTTCAAAAAATTAATTTATGCAAACCGACACACCTGATGATGACCGTTTGAGTTATGGTCGAAACGTCGTGAGAATTTTTTATTGTTTTATATATATTTTGTTATTTTGTTGTTTCTCTTCAACGTGACTTTACCGAAAAAACTAAGAATAAAAAAGGGCTGTACATAAACAAATGTAATGTAGGACTCCGGAGACAACTGTCGAGGCACCTTCTTTATAGTACTCGTACTCACGCTACACAACTCACTGAGCAGATGTCACGCTGACCATCAAGCTCGACGGTGCTAACTGACTGGATAGCTGGCGGACTATCCATCAGTGGCGACGTCGGGCGATGACAGGGACGACGGCGACGACGAGGACGACTTCCACGGCGAGATGACCCTAATTCCCACGGACAGCCCCGAGCTCCCTTTTTAACCCCCTTTTATGCTTCCAGCGGGGCCTGGCCACGCCCTGGCCACGCCCTGGCCACGCCCTGGCCACGCCCTGGCCACGCCCTGGCCACGCCCCCCTTCTCGAACCTTCGAGCTGGTTCTGGGAGCTCAAAGATGGATCCCTTCTATGACCCTTGGCCCAGATCTTATCCCTTCCATGACCCTTGCCCCAGTTTTTCCTCTGCAATTGCTACTTCTGGTCTCCAGTCGGCACTGCTACACTACACAAGCATACCGGAAGTTATTACGTACTTTAACGATAGTTACTAAGTGTGGAATGGTTCAACCCCCGATCTAAGATTGCGATTGAGTGTTTAGGTGCATTGTTTTCAAATGTTTTGGTCTCATTTTTCTCGTTCTCTCGGATCCATTAGCCGAAATGTAACATTAGTTTATTAAATGCACATGTTTTGATGCATATATCATTAGCGTAATAATTTAATAAAGCAAGGAATGACTGCATTCTTACATGTTTAATGGTTACTCATACATTAAAGAAAAAATCACTGGGAAATATAGGGTAAGTCATTCACTTAAAAGAAAAACTAAATTTGCTTTGAATCAACCTATCTATAGGTTCTTTATCATCTGCAAATTGATCATAAATACTTTTAGATTTAAAGCTTTCGTGACTGCATAGATTCATATTCTTGGTTCTTTCGGTAAAGTCACGTAGAAGGGAAATAATTAAACAGAGCTGTCGGAAAGACAGCGTCCTCATTAGGATAATTTTATTATATTGTTTTAATTATATTATTTCCGTTCTACGTGACTTTACCGAAAGAACCTGATTAGCATGGTTGGCTACGTGTGGTGCGAAAGAAGTTCGACATACATTTAGTAGAAATCAATTATGTTTTAATTAGCCTGTCCATTCTTAACAAATGTCTGAAACCATGCTTATTACTTGTTTCTTCTCACTTGCTGCTGCAGGTGCTGGCATATCTCATCAAGGGTTATTTCCCTGTAGCGCATGGCAGCCTGCAGGAGGTGACCGATATTGTGAGTCTCTGCCTAGGGGACCGCAATCCTGTCGTGCAGCTGCACGGAGCTAAGGTGAGCATCGTTTGGCCATAGTGAACGCCAATAATTATTGTCGTCACCATCATCAGCATGTGCTGACATTTCCTATCCAGTCAGGGTGGAATTATGCATCGATTTTTGTTGATTCTGAAGCGCACGATACGTGCATCGAATTGTGTGTGTGATGGTTTTTAATTGATATGTGTTGCATATGGTTGCTTCATGCCACTTCTGTATGTGATTGCATTCGTTCCCTGGTCTACACCCATGCATGTCATCACTACTATCAATGTGTATACCTCAACATATGGGTTTGTGAAGGAGGGGATTAGCAATTATATATATAAATATTACAATTTCATTTTAGCAAGACGGAACAGCTAAAAATGCATTACACCAGGCACATGCCATTTCCTCTAATAGAGCATTGAAAGATAAAGTATGGGGTCTTTTAAAAACTGATTTCACACTGCAACACCTGAACTGGGCCACCCAGCAATCAAATGTGAAATTTATTTCTATAAATCTAATAAACACATGCCTGAGCATCACTGTCAATCCTAATCTACTTAAATCTATTATAACAAATCTTGACTTCCTCAGTCTCGATTTCCCGACCGGTATCGACACTACTTGTGTTCAGGATATCCCATGCTGTGGTTTGGCTATTTGAAGTATTTGAGCTGTGCCTGTAAATCGAAGATCCCTCTGCCTTTCGCATCACTTCCATTCGCCACGCCTTACACTGGCGCTCTGCAAAACCTGATCCGGGCCACCCAGAAGAAGAATCTGGAGGTTATTTCTGCTCTTACTATTCTAAATCAAAAATAACTATTTATATGAGGTATTGTGGTATGTGTGTGTCTTCCGTCAGCTTTTGGAGGAGCTGGGCACAGCCATAAATATCATGTACAGGTCGAGCCTAAATCAGAGTGCCAGTTCTATCAAAGAAAATGCATCCCAACCACTCCCTGGGGTCTCCTTGCAGCAGGTACCGCTTCATCCCTGTGTGTGCGCTGATGTGGCATTGTTGTGAGAACCTTGTGATGCTGTGTACTGTGTGTATATGGAAATAATGATGAAAAATTGTTTGGTATGGGAGATACTGGGGGAGCGATAGCCCAGTGTATAGCATACTGCGCTATGAACCCAGGCTAAGTTTGTTTACTGGCCGCAATCAACAGTGAGAAATTATATCTGAACTGGTTCTTGGCTCCGCCTTTCCCAACCAGCGCTGACCAGCATGGTGAATTATGGCCAAACAAGCCCAATCACATATCTGATATGGTGAGGTCTTTACCCAGCAGTGGTTAAAGGACTGTAAATTGTGTTTTGAATATGGGATTGAATTCTACTTTTCTGTTTTCTGCCCAATGCCGATTGCCTCTTGCACTTAAGTTTGTAATTTTACCATATTCTTGTATCATCTTCCTTTTGCTCTATAGCCTCCTCCCACTTTCCTCGGTGCATTTAAAAATAATCAATTCAAGACCTTCCACCTCCTTTCTTGTGCATGTTCCTCCTAATTGTTCAGTGTCTTCTGTAACATTTAGTCATAATAATAAGAGTGCTTTGTCAGTCCACTGCTGAATGAAGATCTCCCTACACCATATTGTTTTTGGGGGCTGCTTAGCCATACTTCACCATGCTGCTTAGAACCAGTTCAGATATTGCCCACCACTGATGTTAGCCATGGCTGAACTGAAACCGTGCGGCAACATTTCTTTGCGTATTATTATTATACAGCCTCTCAGGAGTGCTGGGTATGTATATTGAGCTTTCGCACCGTACGTAGCCAACCGTGCTAATCGAAGAGAGAGGCTGCTGGGTGTGGTGCAAGACGCGCGTGTCATTGGGCGGCGTCGTGTCGCAGATTGTGGGCGTGTGGAGTGCAATGCTGTCGGGACCGCTACCGCCGGCGCTGCAGAGCGCACAGAGTGCGGCCCTGCAAACAAGCGCGTGCGACGTGCTGTCCACCATCCTGCCCGACGCCTTCCCCCTCCTGCCAGTGGGTGGCACCAAACTACCCTGCGCAACATTGTCAAGTCAAAGTGATTTAATGTTCAAATGAGCATTCAGGCGACGCACTTCTCTCTTCACAGCTCTAAACCAGCAGTTAACATTCCATGTTGCTATGACAGGTGTTGACAGCTTCTACAGGAACTGTAGAAGCTGTCAACACGTGGAGCGTAACGTCAGCGCAAGCATGAAAACCTACACTGTTCATTACGCAAATAGTTTATAAAAAAAAATAATCAAATGATCCTCGCACTGAATTCAACGCATGTATCATGAACGTAATAATTTATGCTAATGGTACCAACGTATACAAAAGGTGCAGCTAAAATTTTTAAAATCAAGAGTCTAGAAGTTAAAACTAAAGCACTGATTCATTTGTTTTTATTATAGTTTGGAGAGCAATTTGTGAAGGAGTGCTTATTTAGTTTGTTACTGATTGTTTGGCTTGTTTTTGAAGTGCTTTATCAAATCATAAAATAATAAGTATTTCAAGTATTATAAGTCAGCCGCTTAGTACTAAGATAATATCTCACGCTGAAATTATTTTAATATTTCGACCGCCTATTTATATTGCACAGCATACATTCAAATAAAAGCTAATTGATTTTGTCCACATGTGCAGTGGGTATTGCTGAGCCAGCTCTGGTTTTCCGTGGAACCCCCCACATTGCATGACGCCTGCACGGTTAATGGTGTGATTGATCGTTTTATATGCGGCTCACATTGACCGTGTTGGTCACACCTGACGTAGGCCTATTGGGAAGCCTTGAGGCCTAATGCTTCCACCACATGTGCACTCATAATGTAGCCTTGTGTTGTGGAAGCTCCAACTCTCAAGGAGGTTCCCAAACAAATCCAGCCAACTTTTTTTTGGCTTCAGACAATATTACACGTATAATACAACAAGTCCATATCATGGAAATCCAATAATATTCATTATCTTCTCCAGCATTGGTGCAAGTGAGTTACAGTGTAATCCCTCAACATATTTTGTGCACGGCAGTTAAATGTCAGCACCCAGTACTTCTTAAGGCCAGTTGGGAGGCATAATCCTGCGCACATATTGGGTCCCGCAAGATACAATACTCATATTTGTATCTGGTGATATGCAATTATACATTGTTAGAGTAGTAGTGTAGTGCTTTACATAATGTTAATAAATAACTTGCATACAGTGATATATGGTTATATATTAACAGGGTAATAGTGATTTACAAAATGTGAATAAAGAACTTTGACCTCTAGCTTCCAACCACCAGCAATTCAAACTGCATTCAGGCCTCCCACATTCCTCCCACCTGAAGAAAAAAAAAACGAGTCATTTGTAACAGATGTGAACTTGACAACATGTGGAAAACATTGTGGTGGTGCGTGCAGGTGGACAGGCAGATGGTGTGCCTGACGGTACTGCTAGGTTTGAGTGCAGATGAGAGCCTGCAAGTGAAGGCCGCGGCGGTCCGAGCTCTCGGCGTCTTCCTGCTGTTCCCATCACTGCGGGAGGTGGGCGCCATATTCCTGTTTCATGTTACAATGAGATGTTTGTGATTACTTCCTTTATTCTGTTTGACACGTAGGCTTTCACGACCAATATCCATAATTAAGGTTTTTTTTGGGTTAGATCGCATAAATATAAATGTGTCGGTAACCCACCACCACCACCCGACACAGCCAATTTGCAAGGTTTGTCACGTAAACAAACCGTGTCCGTTAGTTACTACTGAACAAACGTGGGTTAGTAAACCCACAACATTTACAATTTGAGTACGACATTTCGCTGGTGATTATAACCAGCTTCATCAGGTGATTTATGAAAATTGTGAAGAAGTCTTCCTTTTTCGGCCTTGAATTGAGTAAAGGTGATGTCATCACTTGTGGATGATACTGCTGTATGAATTCACTCATGTTTGTGATCTAGCGTTTTGGAAATGAGGGTTAGAATATCGCATTAGTTCAGCAAAACTGCCCAAACCGACTGGTTTGTGAGTTGGCCAGGAAATGGCAATTATTGTATCCATCTTTGAAGGCCCCTAAGTGTTATCCCATAAGCATGGGCTCTCTCTATGTTTACCAATTTCCTCTCATGTGCAAAACACGCAGAAAGGGATTAATTTTTATGCGGGACCTTATAAATGTACCTTGACACTTGGATTGTTCATATTTATCTATCACATTGGATAGATGTTTTTACTAAAGAAACATCTTTTCACTATGTCCCAAGAAAATGTATGGTATCTCTTGGCTTTTCACAATGGATTTTTGTATTCTCAAATTGATACGTGGAAATGTTTTTACTGTTCATGATTTTGTCACTAAGCATATGTTTATGAAAAACTGTCTAAATATTGAATGAAATGCGATTTATATGTCAACATGGAATTTCCCAGAGTTTTCCATGCACCACACTGTAAAACAGCACTGTTTTCTACTGAGGAAGGGTCATTGCCTGAAATATTATCTACGATGTATTTGTAAAAAGCCGCGTTATAAGGGAAGAAGCTAGTGAGTTTTTGGTTTTGTGTTTATAGACGGTGTCACATTGGCTGCGGTGTTCCCACTGGTCTGGGAGTTTGATCGTTGACTGCTCCTAAAATAACTGCCCACCTCTGCAAGCGCTACTGGGGTGCAAATAAACTCATAAGCACCATCAAGCATAACTTTAAAAATAAACCTTAAGCCCCAAACTACGGAGGTTGTGGTGGTCCATGAGTGCGCACGTGTATTATATGGATGGAGAAAAGACGTTTGTTCTTTGGGATGCTCGTTTCAATATGGAAACCTGATGCAAAGGCAGTCAGGTCTTCAACAGGCAGCTGGACCACAGGTGCGGTGTGGATCGCTTGAGGTGGCAGTGGTTGCCGTCTCTCATCCACAGGACGTGCAGTTTGTGTCGGATGCCGCCAGCGCCGTGCTCCGGTGCATGGAGGACCCCTCCTTCCTCGTGAGGACCAAGGCGGCCTGGTCATTGGGCAACCTCACCGACACGCTCATCACCAACGTGTGAGTGGCCTCAGACTGTCGGAAGCCCTATGACTTCTGGTCACGTCTGGAAAGGTTTGGTTGGATCCTCACTAAAAATACATTTCACTGCTCATGTACACATACAGCTTCTTTGTCAATTACTGGATGGGGCCATCCCCATGCCATGCAGATCATAGGGGCTACGTGACTGTACTTCACACTGGTTCAGTGTGCATTGGTTAAGTTGGGGAACGTAATAGGCAAGGTTAAACGTATAGTATGACAATGGATTTTGCTGCACTGTCCTCTACTGCCCACCAAGTAGCCCCGCAGCAGCCTTCAACAATCTGCGGGGGATGGTGGTGACCTATGTAACCAGCATCCAGGCACATTCTGCTTAGCTCATTGAGATCCGAGGGGATCGGGCACATTCCAGGTGATTTTTTTGGTTATAAAATTGACTGCTCATTGTGAGTAGAACTTTTATTTCAGCATGTTAAAAAGCACGACTGAAATAGTTTTTAAGTTAGACAATGTCTAATGATAATATTACTTACATTTACTTTACTTGAAAGTTACAGGAACACATATGCACAGCCTAGTTTAATTTATGTGTGCAGCTTGTTGATAAAATATGTTCATGCTAACCCTATGCCTTACACTTTCTTCACATGGTTCATTAACCGTGCTACCAAATCTGCCAAACCATCCTTAATATGCCTCACCTTTTCAAATAATACTTGGATAGGAAAACTTCGAGGAACGTTTTAGGTTTGGGCTGTGTGGTGGCTAAGAGGTGATAGTACAGCAGTGGATTCTTCAATATTTGCAGAGCGTTTAATGTCACCCTCTCATCTATGTGGGTGTATTTGTGGACACTCAGGTTTACTCCCACATGCCAAACACTGTTAATTTGGAATTGTCCAAACGTTACAGTGCAGGATCCTCTGCAAAAGGAGTCTTGAAATTCCATAAAGCTATTCTGGGTAAAATAAGCGGCATTATTATTATTATTATGTCTGGCCTCTGGAAATACTCACAGGGAGACGCTCGGAGATGACTTCCTGATGGAGGTGCCGGATATGTTGCTTCTGCGCATCATCCGGACAGCTATTGGAGCAGCACAGGACAAGGACAAGGTGGTGACGATCGCTGCTGGACATCTTATACCTGTCCACAGCCAGCATCCATGCCGGACTGCATGGATGCTGGCTGCATATAAATGCTTTCTGTTCAATAGTATTTCTTTCGTCAGTATTGTCTTATTTTAGTCTTAGTCTAGTCGACCGCAACCTGTGGAATCTTAGTCAAGTATTTGTGAATTAGCTTTTGTTATTCGTGTAGTCTATACGACTAGAGGAGTGACACATTGTCCACTCTTAGCTATGTTGGTGTGGACTTTTCCCGTCAATATTAGCAATATATCAGGTCAGTAATTAGTGACCTCAGTGTAAACCTTTTTTTTACAAATATCACCAATTACCGTGTTTGGTCTTGATGATTGTTTACTTTGATGTAAATAAATACAACTTTATTGACAAACCTATCGCTCGTGGCTAAATTGCAAATGACGCGCAAATGCTTTGCAGGTGAAGAGCAACGCGGTGCGCTGCCTGGGAAATCTTCTGCGCTTCCTGCAGCCACGGCACGTGGCGGACGTGCGGTTTGGGGCCGCGGTGGCGGAGGCGGTGGGCGCGCTGAGTGGTGCCGTGTTGAGCGATTCCACCATGAAGGTGCGCTGGAACGCCTGCTATGCTGTGGGCAACGCCTTCCACAATGCCGCCCTCCTGCCAGGCAAGCGCACGCACACACACATGGCCACTGCCTTGGCACCAACGCTCATGCCAGCAGCAGCTGTGTTAAGTTTTATCGGAATGTGACATCAAACAACCTAAACTGTCCTGCTCAAGGATGCTGTTATGCTCACGGGAAACTATAAACAATAGTAACAACAATATTGCAGCCTAAACGTAACACCAATAACAGCAACACACCGTCGTCGTTGGTCATGACTAAATCACTGCTGGATGAAGGCCTCCCCAGGCCGTTGCCATCCCTCATGGTTTTGTGATTGAATAATCCATGTACCACCTGTGCATGAGGTGAAATCATCACTGCATCTCCGCGATAAACACCCTCCCAGGCATGTTCCCTCCTTTGCTTGCCACTTCATGACCATTAATATTTTGTATTTAACTAGGAAATATTTTTTTAAAACATAGCAGCCAATGTAGCGGAATAGGGACATGTGTATTTAATTGAGGTTTAGATTTTGTCTTCTTGTCAACTCTTGTGATAGGAAGTTTCACAAATCTGCGTGATACATCAATTGTTTGCCTTTAGCGTTCTATTTTACACGCTTGCTGTATAAATGCTATACAAATGTTACGACGGTTGTCACAGCAGTGTAGTGCTGAAAACAGAGGGACCACACATTTTTTTGTAATTATGAACCAAAAAAGTAGTGTAGCTTTACTATTTATGAGCCTGTTTCCATTGGTGGGTCTTTCATAGTGCCAAGTATAGTAGTTTTTACCCTTTATCATCCCTGCAGAAGGAATGAGCGTCTGGTCATCCAGATCATTCTGCAGCGGCTGTTTCACACGCTTATGATGTCACACCGACGCGCCCTGGGAGCAGATTCTATTAATAGTTCTCTGATGAAATCCCACGGCACTCTCTCAGGCCTTTGCTTGGGCATGGAGGACAGGCGATGTCAAGGGGCAGTTTAAACAGCCTCATTGCACAAACTTCTTTGAAGCTAATTCCAAATCCAATATTTAGGTTATTTAACTTTTTAAAGTAGAAATTGTTAAAAAAAAAAATTAAATGCTCTCCAATACTTGTTACGTTTTTTTTTACATATTCAATATTATTTCCATTTACTCTGTATAATTAAAATGAAAAAGTTGAAGTAATTTCATTTTACTGGGCTGATTTTCTCAACAAAACATGCTTTGAGTGCCTTCATTCATTTAGCACTTAGTTCCTTTTGCAACCCAAATATTTGTTCCTTATTTCAGATAGCATAATTTTAGAAGTCATAAAAAATCAAATGAACATTTCTTCTATACTCCCTTACAATGTACGGATCCCCTGTTCTGTGCTAATAGGATTCTCCTATCGCGAACATGTTTCAGGACAGGTAATTGGTAAGCAGACCATAAATAGGGTAATGTGACGATTGTTTTTTTTTTGTGGTGGGTGTACAGTCTCCTCCGAGTGGCGGCCTATTGCCTTCAAGGCGCTGACGTCCGTCGTCCGCTCATGCAAAAACTTCAAGGTGCGCATCAAAGCAGCTCTTGCGTTGTCGTGCCCCGGCAGTCGGGCCTGGTTCGGCTCTGCGCCTGAGTTCGCGTCCGTGTGGGATGCCCTTCTGGAGGCCCTGGACAAGAGCGAGGCCCTCAGGGACTTCTCTGACTTCCGATACTCGGAGAGCCTCCGCGAGCAGGCCTGCATCGCCCTCCTGCACCTGACCAGTCTCCTGCAGCTCAGCGACACAGCTGCCCTGCAGCCAGTGTTGGCCCGGAGGTCACACGCTCTGGAGAAGCACTTCCGCAGTGGGGCCGCCCACAAGATGATTACGGCGGATGTGGAGGGAGATATACCACCACGGAAATTCACAGAGCCGGTGGTGACTACCGCGGGCCGACCGAATGATGGCCAGGAAACCGGCGACGGGCTCGATCCGGGGACTGTGGAGCAGAAATTGGTGGAGGCCACGCTGAACCTGCAGGCTTTGCAGCAAGATGCTCGAGTGGAGGTGGAAGTCTCTGTCGTACAGCAGCTGGAGGACCTATTCCATTAACATTAATTTCTGTATTGCGCTCATCATTGTTTAAAGCAAGACTATGTTCATGCACAATTGTAATATTTGATTAAAATTGTATTTTATCATTAGGATATCAACGAACTGCTTGCTTGAAGATAGAATTCACTCAAATGTGAATCCTCTAGCACTTGAAAATATGTTTAACAGTTACCATGATCATTTAGTTAGAGACATAGGCCAATATCCCTGGCAACATGCCAGACATTGAATTAAGTGTTGTGGGATGAGGGAATGTATAGTTAAGATCACACACTTGTATAGGTTTGATCCTTAGCCGAAATAAGAGATTTTAATTATGTCTGTAATTTTAAAAGGTATATCCTGGTAACACCACATTAAATTGAAGTTGAACATGCATTATATTAAAGATTGATACTTTTGTGTTGTAAAAGTTGTCTTCGCCTGAAAGTTCTGTAGGAATGCACACTTGTCTCGCGTGACTGCCCAGGCCCCTATCCATATGGAGGTAAATATGATATTTAAGAGGTAAGTCAGTGGCTGGATTTGGTGTGGGGGGAGTGCATTTTTTCATTGCATGGATTCTATTAACCAGTGTGGGATATAAGGCTGTGCAAGAATAGAACTTGTACTGCAAGAAAAGAGTACAGTGTAAATACCTTATCCTAAAAAAAATACAAGTTTCGCTTTGGCTTGTCACAGAGCACCATAACGGGAAGTGAAACCAGTCGGCCCACTCAGTGAATTGGACTGTTTGAGACATGTTTTCATGAAATCTGACTTCACAGTCATTCATATACCATCACTTGAATGAAAGGGAGTCACAGTAATCAAGAGTGGCAGCAGGAAATGATGTGCAGCAAAGATCACTTCCAATAAATGTTGGACATGGGTGCATATTAGGAATTTCCAATGTTGGTACAACTTTACTGCATGACAACTCGTACAATGTGGATGCTTAGTATAAAACGGGCAGGAAAAACTCCACCCTGATTGGCATTGTTATTACACGACGGTCTACACTGCTGGAGGAGGACGTGTTGCAAATTCGAAACGTAAAATACGAGGCGCTCCACATTCGATGGCAACACTTATTTTTAAATGCCGTACCTCTAAAGGGCAACAATGTGTTTTTACTGAGCAAGTCTGCAACGGGGCCTCCCATTATCCATGTGGCTCGTGTGCATACCTCGTTGACTTGAGAGCCCCTCCAGCCACCTGCAGGCCAGAATCAATGTTGACCGCCCGTGTATATACATGTATTACTGAAACTGATTGCAAATGAGGACTTTTTCTGTTCCTCGTCGATGTTGGCAACTTGGCTGATCGGATAAGCCACACAAGCTACAGCTGCTTCAAGAAGTTGAGGTGAACTCACGGTTCCCTTGAGTGATTTCCTTCGGGGTTTCAATTCCATGCACATTAAGTGCTTACTGTTGACCCTGAGTAATGATATTTGTAGTTGTTGTGCTTGCATGGCCATGGGGTGAGAGTTGGTTTATTTTTGTTCGGGCTCGTGTACTGTTTAGCGGCTTCGTATGTTTTGGGTTCAAGACGGAAGCTTGGCAAAGCCCAACAGGCTTGTGGAGCCTTAGTTACAGTGCGCTATGCGAGGGAGAAACAACGGAATGTAAGAATAATCGTGAACATAGACGTAATAAAATACTTTGTGCATGAGCAATATTAAACCTCGGGGCAAGCTCTTATTTGACCAAATTAAGAATCGTAAAGCGATCAACGGGGGAGTTTGTTAATGTCAGGATATTTCTGGATTCTAAGCAAACGGCGTTGTGAACTTTGTCCAAAATAATCTTCGTATTTATGGAATTGAATTTGTTATGGCTGCAACCTGCAAGTGGCGCATGAAGCTGCGTTTGTTGTGAAGTTTCTGTTCAAGCCTGTTAGACTCCTCCTGATTGTGGAAATGAAAAGTGGAGCAACGTTAATGAACTGTGGATTTAGACCTGTATAATTGCACAAGGTTATTTACTAAATCGAGGCAGTGCTCATCTGTTTACAGCTCTTAAGCCAGTCGTGGAAATTCCACCTTTCTATGGTGGGGCAGAGTTTATCCATAGGATAACCACCTGCACACTGGGGCAAAATATCCGTGCTAAGAGATATAACATGCATTCCATTGTGATTTTGCGTAGAAGTGATTGTTAGTTGTTTGCCATTGCTTTATGAACCCGGTGACCTCAGTTTAATTTACCATCCAACTATAACATCAGTTGCGAGTTATATGCAAACCAGTCCTGCCCCCCCCCCCCTTCACACCATTTGCCACTGACTAGCGTGGTGAAGTATGTTCAAACAGCCCCTATGACCGATACAGCATCAGGAGGCATTCAGCTCTTGGTGGACTTTCAAAGGGCTGTCCGTTATTATTTTATAAATACAGTACAAAGCTTCAACCCTTCTTTAAATGAACTCAACATGTTTTCTACATTGATATGTGAAACATACCACACAGGGAATGTGTAGCTTTTCCATGTAATTAATGCTTATCACCAGTAGAGTACACTCACTGGCAGAGCCAGTGGGGGGGTGGCACGTGCCCCCCCCCCCCCCCCCAATGATCCGATCGAAATCCCTAATTTCGATCGGATCATTGGGGTTTATTAGTAATAAATCGGAATTTTGCGACTGCCACTGTGTAGCATATTATTATGTGCCAGGGACTATATGAGATGATAGGACAATAGTCTGAGTCCACAATTGGCAATAAGTAACGGCAAAGCGGTTATAAGTGACTGAGAATTGTGCGCAGTTGTGTATACACTACACTACTTCCCTGAAAGCATTCACCTTCAGCGAGCACGATGCCGATCACACACGGTTCGAATTTGACCCTCGATCGATGGCTACGCCATCGCCGCACACGCGTCTAATAAAAAGCAAGGGACAAGTCCTTCCTTGCTAACAACTCCTATCATTTTTCATTGCTGGAGGGGTTGCCCCCCTACCTAAAAATCCCGGCTCTGCCATCGAGTACACTTAATGACATGAATAACTTTGCATGTCACTGTGAAAGATCCCACCAAGAGACACTGGCAGAGCACCCCACTCGTAAGTGGAAGGTCGTGGTTTCAAATCCTCATCGGGCATCGACTCACCCTATCATCTCTCGAACCGACTAAATGAGTAACCCCCTTTGTAGGAAAGCGGCAGTGGATATCATGTGACACGACAGCTTGTCGCCGTAGGAATTGCCATAGATTAGCACTGCCAAGTGCTTGTTCAAGTACGTGGACACACACACTGGTAACCAGGAGCTGGCTTCACCCGCTATATCTATTGACATTAGCATTGCACTGCAGGGGAGAAATATTACTTTGTTCACTGATGATGGGGATCCCTCACCTCCGATTAGCACGGTTGGCTACGTACGGTGCGAAAGAAGTTCAACATGCATACATACACATGATGTTGTATGTGTTTATCACAAGACTTCAAGCAAAGAAAAACTTTAGGCTGACCCTGCCTTATGAGTAAAACCAATCAGTCCTACTTTGTGGATCCCAAATTAGACATTTTAGATTTTTGGATATTTCTAGTTCAAAAAGTAGTCGACTCGACTGCACTTATGCCGAATTTTAGCTTTCTGTCGCCTACAGCCCTTCTAGAAAATCGTTACAATTTAAATCCCTCGATCAGGATCGTGCCTATGTAGTTCTATACAGAAACTTAAGAATACTTGTAGTTAAATTTCGATTTAAAGCTTTCGTGACTGCCAGGGATTCATCTTCTCGGTTCTTTCCCTTCTACGTGACTTTACCAAAAGAACCAAGAAGATGAATGCTTGTAGTGTTTGAATGGCATGTCAGCCATGCATGCTTAAGCTCAGCAAGTGACACCAAAGAACAGACGTGGGCCCCCCCCCCCCCCCCCCGGTGCTGCGGGGCTGGTGAAGGCAGTGATTGGGTTTCAGGGGAAGAGGGAGGCAGGGAATGGATCGTTCGTGCAGCTAAGGGCAACTTGTGGGGGCGGTGGGAGTGAGAGCGGGGGTCTGAACGCTGCACAAAAGCGCCGGTTCTAATCGAGGCGGGAGCACATGACTTGCCGTGTTCGCTTTGGTGGGCGAGAGCTTTTCTGCCATCACTCCGCGCTCAAAAAAAAAACCCCCACGTGAGTTATGAACGTGTGCCTGCAGTTCCATGCTCGTAATTACAACATAATATGTAAAACAAAAAAAATCAAATGTCCAAGTTAAACCCTTTTGAGCCATTGTTATTGATTCGCTGTTAATATTTTGCTGTAAGCAGACGTGATTGTTTTGCAGCTTTATGGATGGCTTGCACTGTGTCTAGATGTGTTGCTTAGCGGCACATCGTGTTTATAAGTTGTGCAAATATTTTTTAGCAGTGCATGTAATGTTACTATAATAGCGTGAAATTGGAAATTAGTTGGGGGTTTTTTTAATGATGTGCCTTACGAACAGCCTTTTTTTTTAAACCAACGGCTTTACGGGCACAACGCCTATTTGATATATGTGCCAATATGTTTGGGGGGAGTCGAAAGCGTAAGTGAAAATTGAGAAAGGTATTCAAGAGTTGCCTGTGGAATAGCGCTCCTTTGTTGAGTTAGAAGAGCTGTCTGCTGGTGGTATAGCGCGGCCAGCTTCAACAACTGTCTCCTATGAACTCCTGTCTCCATGCTGCTGCTGTCTGCCACTAAGACAAGTCCTTGGTAACAATGTGTACCTTGTCCACCTGACGAATCGAACCTTTCTGCATAACTGCTCTGCCTACAGTGGAATATTCATAATAAAGGTTGTTTTTGGGGTGAGATCGCGTAAGTATTAATGTGTCGAAACCCACTATTTGAGGTCGTAACTATTTGGCGTTTTGTTTACGTGACAATCCTTTACTGATTGGGCGTGTTGGGAGGTTTGAGGGTTTCGACACATTTATACTTATGCGATCTAACCCAAAAACAACCTTTCTTATTAATAATATCATGGTGTGCAACTGCAGTTTAAGTTTTCAGTTGCATTTATTTGGTATAGCCCTGTGAGCCATTCGGCTCTTGAATGATGCTAAGCATTGTAGAGAAAGCCATTCTTCAGTCAGCATGTTTACAATACAGGACTGTCCGATATGCTTTTCCACATTTAAACGTTCCGAAAGGCATGAATCCCGTGTATTGGTTGGTTTGCCTGTGTGTGTTTTTTTTTAAGTCAAAGGCAAGGTATTGTGGTTATGTATATGTAACCACCTGTATGCAGGTTTTCTCGATTTGTGCGATAGATGCTTTCCAACAAAACTGCGTACAAAGCAAACCCCGCACGAGACGGCTGCCTGCCTAGTAATGCATGCACGACACACAATGTTGTCCCGCCTCCGATCTCATAACTGCATACGAGTGCATTTTAACAGCATTTCGCAAATTTTGGGTAGTAATAGATTTGCTGCATATACGCAGAATCGCACAAACGAACTCGCATAAAACGAGGTAAACCTGTGTCTATAATAGAAGCCTTTCCATGAGTTACGATAGGGAATGGTTTTTGTATGTATGAAAGTTTTTGTTTATTTAAAAAAAAAAGTCCATGGCAGGAACACACCTAACGACGGCTGTGATAAACGCGCAGCTTGTGCTGTTAACACCAGCATCGCTGTGAAGTTGACCGTGACCCTTTCGAGCTGTGGTTGCATGTGACAGCACAGCATAGCACACAGCGACATTGCACGGAAAAGAAGGAATGATACGTTCGTTGGCCAAGAGGTTTCCATCTCTCCCCGAGCATTTGCTGTGTTCGTCCTTTGATAATGAATAACGTGTTGCTCTGTCATGAAATTCTTATTGCTGGCATATACTATACATGAAAATAAGAAGCGGTTTTATCTGGATGTGTTCGAATGGGGGTTGTTACATTCTGCCAAAGGTGCCTACAGACTGAATACAGATATTGAGGAAAATAAATATTTAATATCCACAGGAATGTACACACGTGGGTATTGGGTGAAGCCAGACGTTTGTTTTTGAGTTTCGTGTTGACCGCACATGTGTGCCCAAAGCAAGCATCGCACGCATGGCTTAATGGATCCCGTGTGTTGCCGTGTGCTGTGGGGATGGTGTGCGAGCTATTGGTGAGCAAGGCAGGTCTGGAATGATTTTTAATTCCACGTACTTTGTTGTTGTTGCTGTTGTGGGTGGTGGTGCTCTGTTGTACTTTTGTTTTTAACACAAGGAAAACTGGGGTATCCTGGGGTATCTCTGTGGTGCTGGGTGAGCTTAGTTGAGTGTCTTTTTCTGTCACGCGGTACGAAATTTTCACACGGACCGGCATTTGCACAGGTGTTTGCGTGTATATAATCCCTTTGGTGAATGGGATGTTAATTTTATTTTGTTATCACGTTTCGAACGCCTCCTCTTACCCTTGCGGCTTCATTCAAAGGGCAACCTGTCATATAAATAGTAATGACACGTAGCAATTACCTTTTACTTTCACTTCAAGACAAAGTATAGTTCGCATGGGGTGGAGCAGTGGTTAGCCCACTACATTGTGAACCCGATGACCTGAGTTTGATTTCCGGCCATGGCTGATGAAGGCAAAGCCAAGGGATAAAATTCCCGTCTACCGGCACCATACAGCATGGGTTGAGTCAGGAATGTTTCTTAAAAGTTTAGTGTCAATGGGCTTAGTGTAAGCAGGATTGTTTTTACACAAGAAAAGTTTTAGCCAAAAATTACATTAAGAAATATTTCCAAGAAAAATCAAATACTGTAGCTTGTTTATTCAAATTTACTTTACAAATATCAAAACATCAGGGGGCCGGTTGGTTGATGATAATAATACAATATCAGAACATTGAGCCGATAACCTTGTGATCCAGAGTTTAAAGTTTGGAAGCCGCTAGTTGTTAAGCCGGGTTCTTCAAGTGGAGCTCGTTGATGACCTCAGTCTGATCACTAATAACTGCACGACACATCAATTTAAGATGGGGGTTTCCTCTTAAGTTGGTTAAATTTAATCCCATAGGAATACACATTTTCAGTTTGACATGACATGGATGCTCTTTGCAGGGTCTGTGAAAAGTGTACTCACTGTGGATAAAGTGGTCAATTGAAGTGACTTTAAGGTGATGTCCTTCCCCAGGGTGATGCACTGGTCGCTCCGATAATTGTTATTCTTGGTTCTTTTGGTAAAGTCACGTAGAAAGGAAACAATACAATAATAAAAATATTAAACAATACAAAACAATAAAACAATATTTTATTGTTTCCCTTCTACGTGACTTTATCGAAAGAACCAAGAATATGAATCCCTGCAGTCACGAAAGCTTTAAATCCTAGAATTGTTTTTAGATAATGAGGTGACACCAAATTCACAATTGGAATATTATTTGTACATTTACATAAATATATGTTCATATCAATAGATGCCATACATCGTGTTGATATCAAATCTATTCAAACATGTTTTGGAATGTCTTACTTTAAGAGCAGCTTGTTTTTCGGTTTAACTCTACCTTTTTCCTTTTAACAACAAATATTTTGGCAAATTTCACCTTAAAACTAAAATTTTCCAACATTTCGCCAAAAAATATGAATCTATCTTTGCTGTTTGGTATTTGAATAAATATATACTGTATATTCTTAGCTCTTTCGGTAAAGTCACGTTGAAGGGAAACAATAAAATAATGAAAAAAAATCCTCAAGGCACATGGCATATTGCTTTTCAGTATAAAACCGTCTCGTGCTCACTTTTTTATATCGTAGTTTAAACCCTGGCCCCACATTCAGTCGATGTGCTCGGTATTCCGTGCTTTCCAGTTTCATCCCTCCAACAATGTCTTTTTCTAAAATCTATTTTTTGGGTAATTCTTCTTGTACCATTGATTGTGATTCTCTGCCTGACTCTTCTGACTTGTATCTTGTTACTTTATGCAATCTTATTGGAAATGTTCCGTCGATTTTAATGGCTTTTGATAAATTGTATACATTTTACTCGTGCCATGTTTTTGTGAGACCTTAGATGACTTGTCAGTTGCCACTTTCATTATGTGATACTATATCAGATCCATTTTTAGTCTGAACAACACATGCATTTGATTTAAAGCTTTCGTGACTGCAGGGATTCATATTCTTGGTTCTTTCGGTAAAGTCACGTAGAAGGGAAACATTAAAATAATAAAAATATTAAACAATAAAATTCTCACGACGTTTCGACTGCAACACAAGCAATCATCAGCAGGTGTGAAAACCGCTTTTCTAATTTTCTTGCTGTGGTTTTCACACCTGATGATGATTGCCTGTGTTGCAGTCGAAACGTCGTGAGAATTTTATTGTTTTATATTTGTATTATTTTATTTTTCCCTTCTACGTGACTTCACCGAAAGAACCAAGAATATAAACTACATGCATTATTATCATGATTATTGTTTGTCTTCTAATAAAAGAGACTGTGTGTGTAAAAATGTAAGCCACTATTGGCTGGAAAGTGCTTGTGAAGAGACAGCTTTTGTAACGTTGGAAATAGTTTCCAAGAGGAAACAAATAAAAGGCCAAATAGGAAATTAAATTCCGAGAAGGTCAAACCTCGGATTTCTTTTAAAGCTTATACACAGCGATGTGAGTTATAAACATGCATTTAGCGTATTTGAATGTGATACATTTCCACATGATGAAGCCACTTCGTCGACCTATCATTTGTGGCCAGGTGGCTTCTGAGAAAGATCTGTGTAGCTCATTGGGCCTTACCTGGTTAAAAATGTTTTAAACCAAACTGTTGCAACCTTTTGATTTAAAGCTTTCGTGACTGCAGTAATTCATATTCTTAGCTCTTTCGGTAAAGTCACGTTGAAGGGAAACAATAAAATAATAAAATATATAACAATATCTATATAATTATATTTATTATTTTATTGTTTCCCTTCAACGTGACTTTACCGAAAGAGCTAAGCATATGTTGCAACCTTACTTACCTTTCTATTCCAACTGAAAGCCTTTGTGAATGCAACTGCACTGACCGATGATAATTGGGCAAATGGGTTAACTAGTTTAAGCATCGAACTGAAATGCTAACCAAGGTGCACGTAACGATTCCACTGCCCAGTGTTGCGTTGAGTTGCATTGGATTGCATTGGATTAACTCGTGATTCATGTGAGGAACTTAACTTTGC